ACAACATTGTTGCCGAGGGCATTGAGAGGTACGGTGTCCGCACCTTCTCGCAGCAGGAGATGGCTTTCAACCTTTTGGGTCTCATGTCTCCGTCGATCGTCAACCTCTGCCAGGTCGAGCCTGTCTGGGCTGATCTCAACGGTGGCTTCCAGTACCTGCCCAACCTCAAGGATCTCATGACCGACCTCCGCAAGGAGTACACTGAGACCAGCGAGATCCGCAAGGCCGTCACCAAGGAGACCTCCACTGAGAACAAGATTGTCAACGGCGAGAAGAACGAGGCCCTCTACCAGAAGGTCACCGTTCAGCCTCGTGCCAACCTCAAGTTCGACTTCCCTAAGGTTCCCGACTGGGAGACTGAGGTCAAGCCGCTCAACGAGAACCTCAAGGGTATGGTTGACCTTGAGAAGGTTGTTGTCGTTACCGGTTTCGCCGAGGTCGGTCCTTGGGGTAACGCCCGTACCCGTTGGGAGATGGAAGCCTACGGCGAGTTCTCTCTCGAGGGTTGCGTGGAGATGGCCTGGATCATGGGTCTCATCAAGAACCACAACGGTATGATCAAGGGCAAGAGCTACTCTGGCTGGGTTGATGCCAAGACTGGAGACCCCGTCGACGATAAGGACATCAAGAAGAAGTACGAGAAGTTCGTTCTTGAACACTCCGGCATCCGTCTCATCGAGCCCGAGCTCTTCGGCGGCTACGACCCCAACAAGAAGCAGCTCCTTCAGGAGGTCCAGATCGATGAGGATCTCGAGCCTTTCGAGGCGTCTAAGGAGACTGCTGAAGAGTTCAAGCGTGAGCACGGCGACAAGGTCGAGATCTTCGAGATTGCCGACTCTGGCGACTACAGCGTCCGCTTGAAGAAGGGTGCCTCCCTCCTCATCCCCAAGGCCCTGCGTTTCGACCGTCTCGTTGCTGGCCAGGTCCCTACTGGTTGGGATGCTCGCAGGTACGGCGTGCCCGAGGACATCATCGAGCAGGTCGACACCGTCACCCTGTTCGTCCTGGTCTCCGTTGCTGAGGCACTCCTGTCGGCCGGTGTCACCGACCCGTACGAGTTCTACAAGTACGTCCACATCTCCGAGGTCGGCAACTGTACCGGTTCCGGTATTGGTGGTTCCGGCGCTCTGAGGGGCATGTACAAGGACCGCTACCTCGACAAGCCGCTCCAGAAGGATATCCTCCAGGAGTCCTTCATCAACACCATGAGCGCCTGGGTCAACATGTTGCTCCTTTCTTCCACCGGTCCCATCAAGTCTCCCTCTGGTGCTTGCGCCACCGCTGTCGAGTCCGTCGACATCGGTTACGAGACTATTCTTGAGGGCAAGGCCAGAATCTGTCTTGTTGGTGGTTTCGATGACTTCCAGGAGGAGGGCTCGTACGAGTTCGCCAACATGAAGGCCACCAGCAACGCCGAGGATGAGTTCGCCCACGGCCGCACTCCTAAGGAGATGTCGCGTCCTACCACCACCACCCGTAACGGATTCATGGAGTCCCAGGGTTGCGGTATCCAGGTCATCATGGACGCCCGTCTCGCCCTGGACATGGGTGTTCCGATCTACGGTATCCTTGGCTTCACTGCCACTGCCACCGACAAGATCGGCCGCTCCGTCCCCGCTCCTGGCCAGGGTGTCCTCACGACTGCTCGCGAGGAAGTCTCCAAGTTCCCCTCTCCTCTGCTCGACATCAAGTACAGGAGGCGCCAGCTGGAGCACCGCCGCCGCCAGATCAAGCAGTGGCAGGAGTCCGAGTTCCTGTACCTGCAAGACGAGGTGGCCGCCATGAAGGCCCAGGACCCCAACTTCAGCGAGTCCGAGTACATGGCCGACCGCGTCGAGCACATCGAACGCGAGGCCAAGCGCCAGGAGAAGGCTGCCCTGAACAGCTTGGGCAACAACTTCTGGAAGCAAGACCCCAGGATCGCCCCCATGCGCGGTGCTCTCGCCACTTGGGGCCTGACCATCGACGACCTGGATGTTGCCTCCTGCCACGGTACTTCTACCGTCGCCAACGACAAGAACGAGTCCGACGTGCTCTGCCAACAGATGAAGCACCTTGGCCGCAAGAAGGGCAACGCCATCCTCGGTATCTTCCAGAAGTTCCTCACTGGTCACCCCAAGGGTGCTGCCGGTGCCTGGATGATGAACGGTGCTCTGCAGGTCCTCAACAGCGGCCTCGTCCCGGGCAACCGCAACGCCGACAACGTGGACAAGGCTCTCGAGAAGTTCGACTACATGGTCTACCCCAGCCGTTCCATCCAGACCGATGGTGTCAAGGCTGTCTCCGTCACCTCTTTCGGTTTCGGTCAGAAGGGTGCTCAAGCCATCGCCATCCACCCCAAGTACCTCTTCGCCACTCTCGACCACGCCGAATATGCCAACTACAAGACGCGTGTTGAGTCCCGCCAGAAGAAGGCCTACCGCTACTTCCACGACGGCCTCCTCAACAACACCATGTTCCGTGCCAAGAGCAAGGGTCCTTACGAGGAGGCTCAGCAGAGCGAGGTGTTCCTCAACCCCTCGGCCCGCGTCAGCGTTGATAAGAAGACGTCGAACTGGGCGTACCCTGCCAAGATCCCCGCTCAGTCCCCCGTTGAGAAGGCCAAGAAGGAGCAGACGCGCCAGATGGTCGAGTCTCTCGCCAAGGCTACCGCTGGTGAGAACTCCAAGGTCGGCGTTGACGTCGAGAACATCTCTGCCATCCCCATCGACAACGAGACTTTCATCGAGCGCAACTTCACGGAGAAGGAGCAGGCTTACTGCAAGGCTGCCCCGAACCCGGCGGCTAGCTTTGCTGGTCGCTGGTCCGCCAAGGAGGCGGTCTTCAAGTCGCTGGGCGTTGCTGGCAAGGGTGCCGGTGCTGGCCTGAAGGAGATCGAGGTTTTGAACGACGAGAACGGCGCTCCCGTTGTTACTGTAAGTTAATTGCATTCGATATCTCCAGAATTCAAAGGCTAACAAGTTTCACAGCTTCACGGTGACGCCGATGCCGCTGCAAAGGCTGCGGGTGTCAAGTCGGTCAACGTTAGCATTAGCCACAGCGACGACCAAGCTATCGCTATTGCAGTCTCCGCTTTGTAAACGAGATTCTAAAAGATCAAAAGGAGGGCAAAAAAAAAAAAGACCAGGGGCGGTCACAGGATATGGAGCGGGATTGCTTTTTTCAGGTCTGAACAAAGCGTAGATCAAGACCTTGGGTTTTTATTTGCTTTTAGAGATTCACCGGTTGTACTTTGGGAAGGCGTTTTGATTCATTCATGTGGTTTACGATGACGTTATAATGCGGATCGGATCATATAGTTGTAGTTACTGGGTATGGTTTGTCGTCCAGAGGGCAGGATGGCATCTCACTCTCATGTAAGAATGGAATGATACAACTTAGACAAGTGTTTTCGTTTCACTGTGGCTGTAGCGTGTCTGAAGATTTGAATCCGTAGCCGCTTTGTTAAGGATTCGCGGATGTTTGAAGTGGCTGGCGCTCTTGACCAATGAAGCTCCCAGTTTCAGCCATCTTTCTACCTCATGAAAGCGCCCTGCCGGAGGTCCCTTTGTCAATAGGTCTAAAGCTGCCCAGCAACTAATCATTAATCACTCATCATAGTCGATTAATGGCCACTTGTACCTCCGAGAAGCTAGCGTGGAGCTAGGTGTATCAATACATAGACATAACGTGGCAATGTAATTATTTCCGTCGCGGGGCCAGTTTGCCTGAGACGATCACTTTCCCTACTTAGGAAAAGCTTAACACTGCATTGATGTCCACGAGCCTTGACCATCTGACCCATCCCCCACTCGGGTGTAGTCAAAACACCCTTTTCCTCGAGATCGGACTCGGGCAGATAGCCGGAAATCCAATCGTGCATACACGAGCTATCGGTACGTGCTCCTACTTAGGAGGTGCGCCATCGCGCAGGGGCTGGCGCTTCGGATGATGCACAAGGGCGTTTGCGGATCTGCACTCGATAATTGCGTACGTCAGTGTCCAGCTGAGCAACTCAACACAGCGTCCGAGAGTGCTGCCGACGATGGAGAGCACCCCATTGTATATCCTTTCTGCTATGCACCCATCGGCCATCTCGGGCGCGCCGTTGGGGTCAACTGACTGCCGACACTTGGCCGCTGAGCGGCCCTACACGTCTTTAGCCGCCGAATCCCACGCCACGCTACATCTTTCACAACATTATTGTTCCTTGCTGATGGACCAGCTCCTTCAGCGTCGTGTCCCCCCAGAGCTATTGCCGTCACAACGGAACCAGCCAGGAAATGACGGCAGCATTGGAGAGGGCATCCAATGATCTTCCGGGGCCGCAACGTGCGCAGCTGCCGAGGAAGCCGGACGCCAACCAGACGCCAAATCAATTGGCCCACGGCGTAGTTCCTGCCCCTCTGGGATTCGTCGCTGATCCTGATCGCCCCCACAAGGCAGCCTATTCGCCCGCTTCCTTTACAATCGCGTGGTTTCCTGACTCTCACGCCCTGCCACGGGCCTTCACCGGACGCTTTTGGTTGAGTTTGTTTCGTTAGCTGATTTCGAAGCCTGCGCCGCGCCGGAGTGCTGATGCAACACCACCGACTAGCAATGTTTTCTGACCAGGGGCACGATGCGGCTGTGGGCGCTTGGTCATCGATCTGACCCGGGATGAGGGTCTCGATGCTATATGTAATCAATTCCTCCATTCTTCTCGCGGGGTGGGGTTTTCTCTCTTTTCGACCTTCTCTCCGGCCTCGGCGTCCTAGACGGTGATTCTACAGCCTGAACTGCTGCTGGTCATCAGTCACGACCTCTCCAATGTTCTCAGCCTAATACCCATCATTTACGCTCGCTTTCTGCAAAACCGCCGACCTCTATCAACACTACGCATCCAAAACAAGCTCCCACTACATCCAGCATATCTACAAGTTTTACTTGCACCTGCGAATTGCCCATCAGGCCAGCCACACACACGGCGCGCTCATTGCGAGCCTTTCTGGCCCCCTCGACCAGGCACACATCTCATCACGATGAGCACGCTCGCAGATTATATCGGACCAGAACTGGCCGGCGCGCTCCCTCCCGCAAACCATGTCAATCCGGATACAGACGTTGTCACGGTGCTAGGCACAGAGATATCACTAACCATTCTAATGTTCATTTTCGTCTGCATGCGTTTCTACTCGCGACTCTTCATCAACGGGCTCTTCGGCACTGACGACGCCGTCATGGGCCTGGCAGCCATCACCGCCATCGGCCACACCATCGTTACCTGTTTGGGGACCCGTCACGGACTCGGCTACCATATCTGGGACGTTGATCCGGAGAAGATACCAACGGGGTTCAAATATACGTTCACGAGCATCTTGCTCTTCCATCCGATCTCGGCGTTGACGAAGATCAGCGTCTGTTGTGGATACCTCAGGCTTTTCCCTGGCACCGGGAACCTATACTTCTGCTGGATTATGATAGCTTATAGCGCCATGTGGGGGATTGCCAGCTTTTTCTCTGTGCTTTTCATGTGCACGTAAGTCGATCCCTCAACTTACTCTATTTGTGCCTTCAGGAATCACTACTTTGTAACTGCGCATTTCAAACCTCCTCCTCCACAATTAATAGCCAGTATCGGAATGCTAACATCGGCTCTCTATTGTACAGACCAATAAACCTCTTCTGGAACCAACCTTTCAATATCCAACGCGATTGCGTCGATGTCCTGACGCTCCTAGTCGCCACGGCCGCACTCAACAGTCTAGGCGATCTGCTTGTATACCTGTGGCCGATCAAGTTTCTCTTCAAGCTGCAGATGCCGCTCAAGCACCGGCTAGGCCTGATTCTGCTCTTCTCCTTTGGCTGTATCGTCTTCGCCGCCAGCGTCTGTCGCATTGTCACCCTGCCGCCCGCCGTGGAGTCCGTCGACGTCCTCTGTAAGCGACCACCCAGTCAACCCCCATTCCCTTTATCCCCCTTCCTCAAGAAAGAAAAAAACACACAGGACAGCAGAGCTAACGCGTGTCTTTTTTTTTTTTTTCCGCGAAACAGACAACTCCTCCACCCTCCTCCTTATCGCCAGCATCGAGGAAAACATCGGCATCATCTGCGGCTGCCTGCCGTGCACCAAGGGCACGCTGGCGCACTTCTGGCCGCGCATCTTCGGCAGCAGCGACCGCTCCTCGCACCTGCACTCGCACACGGCGACGACGACCACCACGCCCAACTTCGTCCACACGGGCGCCGGCCGCATCACCGGCTACGGCGACCACTCGCACAACCACAGCGTCAAGGTCGTGTCCGCTTCAGGGGGCAGGTGTAGTAGTAGTAGGAAAGGGAGGAAGGGGTCGATGATGGACGAGTTCGAGTTGGAGACGGGGTTGGGCGGCGGTGGGGGGTTTGGGGACGAGAGCAGGTTGATGGACGAAGAGGTCGGGTTTCCGGGCATCGTGATGACGAAGGAGGTGACTGTCAAGAGGAGCGCGTCGATGGGGAATGAGGAAGGTGGGATGAGGAGGGTGGCGAGGGATCTTGATGCGGTCAGCTCGATTGGGGAAGAAGTGTCGACAATGGGGGACGCGGAGAGCGTGGGGAAGGGGAGTAGGAGGAGTTTGTGAGGATTGGCGTAGAAGCGGCTCGCGGTGGAGATATGAATGACTGGCTAGGGAGGTGGATGCGAGTTTTTTTTTTATCGTAGTTATGATACCCAGGGTCTTTGGCTACTCGGCATGGTCTCTCTTTTTTGCTCTTTTTTAGGTACGAGTTTACGTGTATACGCTTCCGATCATTGAAAGGTTCAAGGTTTCAAAAGGCGATGGTGCTTGCTAGAGAGTGGAAATTATGTAGAGGTTGTTATTTTGTGTCTAAGCATGTAACAATTCATGTTATAATGCCGTTCCTTTGTTGTAGCCTACCAACTCATCAAATTTGGTCACACCTCTTCTAATTTCCGGGAATGCAATTAATCTTGAATGTTCCGCGTTGTGTACGACTTGGACAGCACCAACCCCGAATCTATTGGCAGAAGCATTTCCCCTATCCAGCGTAGAGCGGCGCCTTCGGTCTTGTTAGTATTCCAACGAAACACACACAGCCGTCCACATTATTTCTTACGTCGTCATCTGTAACTCTATAGGGCACTCGTCCCGATATGTCTTACACCCAGCAAGTGAATGAATTCATTTTTCCCGACTGACATATTCACAGGTACAACAACCACGACGAATGTTGGACATGTCTTCTCAGCGTATCTCCCGGAAACCCGGGAAATTGAATCTCAATGCGCAACCTTGATCCGACTGATTTGTCTGCGGTACGTATGTCTGGTAAACATGTTCCTCGTTCCTTCACACAGGACACCAGTGAAGTTCCAACACTTGAGCGTGGCGAGACGAAGGACGCATCATCCTGACTAAACTCGGGCGTATCATTGCTATCGTCCCTCATGGCGAGTCAAGCAATCAGACAACGAGTCACAGCACGTATGTAAATCTCACTATGCAAGGGGATATGTATGGGCGGGTGGCTTAACGCAGGCGACCAGGGCTGGCTGACGGCAGCAAAGGCTGGCGCCACCAACGTGATGGCAGCAGGGGCGAATAAAAGGCATGAATTCCATTTTGCTGTCCTGCAAGACGAAATCTCGTCTGGATGCTGTGGCACATGCCGACTGATCAGACGTTCGACAGTGTTACCGCTCGCAACCCAAGAGACCAGGGTGTGCGGCTTCATTTTCGGGCCAGGTGCAGAGCGCTTTGATGTCCTTGTGCGACGTCGCGTATGCAAGCACGGGCGGCTGCGGCTCGCTCGGGTTGCGCTCGATAACCAACGCGGTTTGGAGCAGCAGTGTGCCGTTACACGGACTTCTTGTCCAGACGTCCAAAGTTGTCCTGCTTCTCCGCTTTTCCGGACTTGGGAGCCTGCATGAGTCTGCTACGCTACGCGCACAGTACACGGTGATTGTCGATTTCTGGGCTTGCGTCCCTTTTTGCTTTGAGGAATTAGTATCTTATGAACAATCAATCGGGTGCCCGACGACGTAATTGATGTCCTGCCGATGCAGAAAGGATTCCGTGAGAATAGGTGGACGGCAGTGTTGCTGCATGCGACTCGCTTGACGTATCTACGCGTCAAGCAGATGAAACCCAGCGAGGCTGCAATCATCCAATGGAAAGGAAGTTAAAGTCATGTTGAGATGATTGGAAGAGATGTTGACTGTGGATTGAAAAGTGACGGCCCGCCGACGACGGCATCACGTGTTTCCCTTAGCGTGGGAATTTCTGGGGCGGCCGCTCGAAACAACCACCAAGCGGAAAGGCGAAGCTCTACCTTCACGACGCCCGCATCCAACCACGTCCCGCACGCCCGCCATGCGCAGAATACCACGCCTCTCGCGGCCAATTGACCGCGCGCTCAAAACCGCCGCCGCTCCCCGCCGCCCTCTGCAACAATGCCGCGCCTGCGCCTTCTCGACGACGACGCCGGCACGCGAAGAGAAGCCCTTCACCGAACGCCTGCGCAATAAGATCTGGGGTACCGACTACGCACCAGGCCGTGAGGACCCTTACTCGGTCACGTCGCCCATGCGCCCCGCGGAGCGACCGGCGGCGGCGCCGCAGCAACCCTCGAAGAAGACGAAGGCCGCTGCCGTCGCCGCGGCCTCTTCCTCGGAAGAAGCAGCAGCAGCCCCCAAGAGGTCGGAGCAATCATTGGAGGATTTCGACCCCAACTACGCACCCGCTAAGACGTGGCACGGTCTGGAGTGGGTTGGCGGCAAAGAGTGGCAGAAGGAACAGGAGCAGTTACCATCGTTCAAACGGTGAGTCGCGAGCTAAATTGGAATTGCGGCTTATCTGGGGGATGTTTGTTGGGCTGACTGGGTGCTGAACAGCTTCGCTATCCCGTCGGAGAAGAAGACCGATGCGAACGAGATCGCTGCTGCGCTGAGGAGGGCGTTGGTTGAGGTGTATACGGCAAGGAGCGAGAATAAGCCGTTGAAGAGCATTTACAGCAGCTCGAAGAAGGATAAGTCCGTCAAGGTCGAGCTGACGGCTGCTGAGGACGGTAGTGCCATCATCAAGCAGAAAGCTGCCGACCAGCAGACTTCCAGCATTGTGGAAGCGGTGGAGGAGGCCAGGGCGTGGAAGCCCATCTCTCTGCGTGATCCACAAATCAAATTCGCGGTGAGTGAGCAGAGAAGACTTGGAAGCTTCGTTTGAGTGCACGTACTAAACGTCCCGGTTTTTTAGGTCGTCAAGCGCGTCATGCAGCTTACCGGTATCCGCATCACTGACCCTGTCATCACTTCGAGCAATACCGCTGGCGTCTTGCTCAGCAACATCACTGCCCCTCCACCGCCTCAGAAACTTGCCGAGAAGCTCGAGAACAACCAGACGCTGTCTAAGCTGCCCAATGTCAAGATCTCCAGCCGGAGAATTACGCCCATTGACAAGGAGAAGCAGGTTGGCAGGTGGAAGGTTATCGAGCAGAAGCTTCTGGACAAGAACCTGCCTGTCGTTGGTCACGAGATCTAAGAGATGTTCTACCGTGGTTGAGGAGAAAATACGGGAAAGAGAAAAAGGGAAGTGTTGGGATACCTGTAACATATGGCAGGCTGGAATAGCCTGGAAAATACCAGTCTTGATGATCGCATTGGTCACGTTCTGCGCCAAAAATTTTCGACTGAATCACCGGGTTCCGCGCAGACGAACATTTGCAAGTCCAGGCTTGTTCACTGGCACAACTCCGATTGAAATACATATTTGAAGTCACTTATTCACTTGACAAGAGACAGAAACAGAACATTTATCACCATGGAAAACAACGGGGAGAACCCAGGTATGGTATGTACCGTGCATAGCTGTTTTGAATACATTTACAAGAAGAATGGGCTATTTGGCAAGAAAAAGAGCAACCACACGCATCAAACATATATACTCGAAAGAGAATCAACCATATTCTCTCTTTTCCGACGTCTCATTTCCTCTCCCTGGATCGTGGAAACCCCCATTCGGCATTGAACGCGTTTACTGGTTGGCGGACCACCAGGCCTTGAGCGACTGGTACCAGGAGTAGATGCCCTGGTTGACCTCCTCCTGCTCGTCGGCGCTGAGGCCGTTACCGCTGGTGGTGGTGGACGAAGAGCTGTCGCTGCTGTCATCACCGCCGTTGCTGCTAGTGGCGGGGACGCTGCCGGTCTGGCCGGTAGGCTGGGCGGCGGCGGAAGAAGAGGCAGCGGCAGAGCTGACAAGAGTCTGGAGGGTGGTGGGGGTGGCCACGGCGGCAGAAGAGGTGGTCGAGGCGACGGCCGCGGCGGAGGAGGTGGTCTCCTGAGCGGCGACGGTGGAAGAAGCAGGCGCGGCGGCGCTCGAGGCGGAGGAAGAAACAGCAGCGGCAGCGGCAGGCGAGGCGCTGGCCGAGGACGAGCCGGAGGAGGAGGAGGAAGAGCCGGAGCCGATCTCGGTGGTCAGGTCGCCGCTCTCGATGTAGACGCCGCTGAAGTACCAGTCCTCGGCCGTGGCGTCGGTGTTGCCCTCGAGGCGCAGGACACCCAGGTGCCAGTCGGCGCCGTTGGAGCTGGCCGAGACGGAGACGGGGCCGGCGGTCTTGGTGAGAGCGTCGGAGCCGGTGCTGTGCCAGAAGGTGACGCTGCCGCCGGAGAAGTCGATCTCGTAGGCGACGTTGTGCCAGACGCCCGGCTCGAAGGTCACGTTCCACTGCGACTGGCTGTTGGCGTACCACTGCAGAGCGGTGTTCTCGGTGCCGGAAGCGCCGCTGATCAGGCCGTACTTCATCTCGGTGAAGTGGGACTCTGGAAAGGACTGTTAGCATCCTGATCAGGGTTAGGGGAGAGGCCGGGATGCTCGTACCGAAGAAGTTGACCTGGTGCTCATGCTTGGCGTTGGGGGCGTTCTCCTCCTTGCGCATCATGGAGAAGTGGTAGTAGACGGTGCCCTCGTTGATGGCGGCGGAGGTCTGGGGGATCAGCTCGGTGCGGAGCATGCCGCCGCTGTTCCACTGCGAGGTCTCGTCGATGGAGATCTTGGCGCCCTGCGCGGAGGCCGAGTCGGCGGGGTTCTTGAAGTCGGCGCCGATGTTGACGTAGTCGGTCTGCTCGCCGGAGCCGTGGATGTAGTACTGGTAGGCGCCCTTCTGGTTCGACCACGACCACGACGACAGCTCGCTAGCAGTGTCGGCCGTGAAGCGGCCATCCCAGAGGACCTCGCCCGCGCTAACGGCGGCGGCGAAAAGAGCGACAGAGTTGACGGAACGCATTTTGGTAAAGAGTGGTTGGGTTTTTTTTTCGAGGTCTACTCAAGAACGGTGGTTGAAAGAGTGGAAGGGGACGAGATCAACTCGTTGGAAAAGAATGACTTGGAGAACGAAAGTGTATCCAAAACAGGAAACCGGCACAGCGGGATGGAGGAGAGAAAGAAGAACGAAACAATGGCAGGCCAAGCCCGTGGGTATATGTATGGAACTGGGCCTATTCTCGCCTGATTGTTTCCCCCTCTCTCTCCGTGCCCCTCTCGCCGCATAAACGAGTTTCCATCGCCTATAACCCAATTTACTCGCCAAGATGAAACGCGAGCCCGGGTAAGCGACGTACTGTTTGAAACAAGCCTCACGGTTTAGGAAGCGGTGACGTTCCCGGGAGAGGGTGCGGGACCCGGCAAATTTCCGAAAGGGAGGGGAGATCGCTTCGAAACGTCGCGCGTTGTTCCCCTTGGTCGAATTTAATTTCTGCCGCAAGTGCACGCGAGTGGAGCAGCGTCCAGCGGCAACCAGTTAACCCCGTCCTATGCGCTCGGGGCATCGTCTATACCACCACCCCCGGCGTAGATCGCGCGCTTCGGTCGCGGATTGATGGATGCTCGCGACAACGGCAAATCGGCGCGAGTGAGGCTCCTGTATCAACTCGCTCGATCAGCCTCGCTCTCGAGTGATTCCAGGCCTGGCCAATTGCGCAATGGTGGACGGTACTGATTGCCGTGACTCCGACTGGCCAGAGCCGCGGTCGGGGTGTCGGGTCGTCGGAAAGCTTCGCTCCATTTGCGTACTCTCGTTGCTTTATTAGTCGGCGGTGCCCACTACAATCAGGGAGTCCTCAGTAGCTCCCGAAAAGACGCTGGCGGTCGCGCATACAAGTGGAGAAGTTCAACACTCTTCACGCATTGCCTGCGCCGGCGTTCGGTATAGACCCGGAGCAAAGACGCAAACGGTTCCTCTTCTGCTTGCTAATCACTAACAAGATGGCTCACCGCTTCTCGACTCTCAGTAGGCACCCAGGTTTTCAATTACTCGATGCAGGACATCCTTGCTGTATTGCTGTGCCGCACACGTGGAGACAATGGACCTGCCCGGATACGAACAGGTAGGTGGGAGTGCGATAAACGATTATTGGCCTGATGCAAGCCTTACCGCTACTGCGCCTTACCACCCACCACTCCGGACCGCGAACCAATTTCCATCAGCATGCTTTCAGTTCCACACGCCCGGCTTCCCCGCTCTCACTGCACGAGCTCGCAAAGCTTCCCGCTACGAAGAACCCCTTCCTCTGTAGCTTTCTCAGCTATCAGCAATCAACCCCAGGACCAAGTATCATTCGACCTCTCTCTTCCTACAAAAGGTTATACTTGCATCCTTCCCGAAGTGGGAAAAACAGCCGCGCGCTTCTATTCTCTTCTCCCACCAAAAGGCAGCCACCCCCCCTGGCTGCAAACCGAATCCTCAGGCCCCCGTCACCCAACCGGGGGGGTTCTCATGTGTCGTGACGGTGGTCCGGCCGGTGTGTCCACCCACCCAACCCACCCACCCTTATGCTGCAGCTGATCCTTTTCGGCGCCAACTTTGGACGTATGCCGCACACACGGTTCTATGCCAGCGCACGGCCATTGGACGCCTAGAGCGGGCCTTGAGGGGAGGGGGGAAGCGGAGACGCGCGCACGCCTGCAGATATCCGAGACGCGGTGGCGACGCGCGGTCAGGTGGGTTTGCTGTGCATGGGTGGTGGGCTAACGCATGCGCGCCGCTTATGATACTGCTGCTGCTGCTGCTGCTGCTGCTGCGCGCGCGCGCCGAGTCGAGACGCGTTGCTACGCTGGCTGGCTGCATTGGCAGGCTGGTTTGACTCACCGCTTGTTCGGACGTTATGCTCGAGTCGTTTCTCATGCGATGGATGGATGCTTGAGGGGTGGGATGAAGAGCTGGATTGGCCTGATCTCGCGATCAGGCTGTTTGATCACCGCTGAAGATTGAGCAGAATGGCTATCACGGCTTCGAGCCCCCCGGTCGGAGTCCAGGCAGCAGCTGCAGCTTTTCCTTCTTGCTTTCCGCCTTTGGTCTGGGCGAGGAGCGTCGATTGGTATGCCTCGATGGATGGAAGAGCATGGTCTATGGTGCGGTGTGGAAAACAGAGGGGAAGAGAGACGGAAGAAGGGATTGAGTCCGTACAGCGAGAGGAGACAGTGTGTGTATAAATTGCACCTCTCACTCCCTCTTTTTTGCTCAATCCAGCGCTCAAACCGACTTCAGCTATCTTTTGCACAGTCATATTTATCAACTGTCACTCAGTCTACCATGACGGCCCAGGAGGAGACCACCAATTCGAACGAGAGTGAGTGCCGCCGAGCTCAACGTTGCTCGGTCTGTGGCCATTGGATTCAACGCAACGGCGGAAGCGTCCATTTCTGCCCAGGGCACCGGCGTTTTGCCAGTGGTAACAATTGAACCGGTATGGAAAGGATTCGGCACTCCTTACGAGACATACGTTGACATTTCTTCTGATTTCATCGGCGTCTGCGGTGAATACCGGCCCTCATTGTTTGCGCAGGCAAACCGAATTCGAGTTCCTCAACGAGCCAGAAGTCGGCGGGACATTCGCTAAGGGTATGATGGCTTACATAGCTTCATTGACGGCCCCCGTGAAATATCGAGCTTTTTAAGAACTTGGGAAGTCTTTGTTCCGAGCAGTGACATTGAACGATGACTACGTATTGACCATACCCCGACGTGACAGAGTTCCTTTCCTATTCAGCCTCACGCCTTTTACCGCCTGATGCTTTCAGTAAGCAATCGTTCAGATCAGCAACCATATCACAGTACGATTTTCATGGAAGTGTCAAGAAGAAGGTGACATTAATCTACGACGTTGAATACAATCCCATCATTAATCCCAAACTCCATCTACAATGCATCTATATCGCTATGCACATGATCGTTTTACTGAAGAAAAAATTCAAGCGGCCTCAGCAGGCTTACCGAACTCCTTAATGTACTCGTCGGAGTAAGGGTAGTCGATGTAGCCGGGCTCGCACTTGTCACCCGCCTTCTGGTTGATGTAGAAGGTGAAGCGGTCGTAGGCGGCGAACTCGATGCCCTTCTTGACGCGGTAGACGAGGTCCGGGTTGGAGATGTAGCGGCGGCCGAAGACGACGGCGACGTCGTAGTCCTTGTACTTCTGCTCCACAGCCTGCTTGGCAAGCTCGGTGGTGAAGCCACCGGCGATGAGGACGGGCTTCTCGTTGCCCCAGGTCTCGAGGGCCCAGAAGAGGTTCTCGTCCTTGGGGTCGCGGTCGATGACGCCGGCGACGCGGGGCTCGACGAGGTGCAGGTAGGACAGCTGGTGCTTGCGCAGCTCGCCGATGAGGTAGGTGAACTGCGGCTCGATGTGGCCCTCGGCCATGCGCATGCCCTGGAAGTTGGAGTAGGGGCTGAGGCGGATGCCGACCTTGTCGGCGCCGACGGCGGCGACGACGGCCTTGGTCACCTCGAGGGCGAAGCGGGCGCGCTTCTCGATGCTGCCGCCCCACGCGTCGGTGCGCTTGTTGGAGACGTCCTGGGTGAACTGGTCGATCAGGTAGCCGTGGGCGCCGTGGATCTCTACACCATCGAAGCCGCCCTTCTCGACCGCGTTCTTGGCCGCCGTGGCGTAGTCGTTGATGAAGCCCCAGATCTCGTCCTCGGAAAGGGGGCGGGGAGCGGGCAGGCCGGCGGCCATGGGCACGTCGCTAGCGCTGCAGAAGTTGTTCTTGAAGTCGAAGTCCTCGTTCTTGACGGCACCGCCAGAGCCCTCTGGGTCGGGCCACGCCGCGCGGCCCAGCGCCCACAGCTGGCACCACATCTTGCTGCCTTTGGCGTGGACGGCGTCAGTGACCTTCTTCCAGCCCGCCAGCTGCTCCTCGGTCCAGAGACCGGGGATGTTGGCGTAGCCGCCCGCCTTGGCGGAGATGAAGGTGGCCTCGGAGAGGATCAGCGTGCCGGGGACGACGGCGCGCTGGGCGTAGTAGCGGGCCATCAGGTCGGTCGGGACGTTCTCGTCGGTGGCACGGAAGCGGGTGAGCGGCGCCATGACGACGCGGTGCTCGAGTTCGGTGCTGCCCACCTTGAGGGGCGTGAAGAGCTTAGTGTTTTCGGCCATGGTCGTTGATGAAAGAGGAGGGGTATCTTCAGAAGGTAAAAGACTGTGGACAACTGCTGCTTTTGTGGTGAAGCTGTTGACTGGTGAATACCTGATACCGGCCCTGCTCTTTATATATCTTTTCCATTGCTTCTAAAATTTTCTACAGACGCCTCATCGCTCAGGCGACTTGCGCTCGGATTCTACATCCCCGACTGTGCTCGTCGACCACTCCACCGGTGTGATGGCACGGACGTCTGCACCCGACGTGGCAAGGCATCTTCGGCACCTTGGTGCCTGTCAGGCAAGAATCACTGACCACGTAGGAAAATGCCATAAGCAACGAACACCGCAAAGTGAATAAAGAATAGTGATCAAGGTACACAGGGCTAAAACTGGGGAAGCACGGGCGGAAGAATGATCTCCTGGAGCACAAGAATGGTCCAATCAGGCCCGTTGTTCGACACGCTTTGTGGATATTTTCCCGGAGGTGCTTGGTAATTTTTGAGGCGTGCTGTGTTATACTAATCAACAAACCACCATTACGTAGCAGTCGTCAGAGACGCAGGCCACAATTCGGCCCGAGCCTTGATCTTCACACTGTCGTGGCATTGGGTCGGCGAGATCTCGGCATCGCAACTGATTTCTGGAACTCGGGAGAAGGTGATTCGGTCGTTATCATTCGTGGAAAACGTCATCGTGGCTTCTTCACCGTTGACGATAAGACTCTGACTGCGAACTGATAAGAGAATAGTAATCAGCAGTCGCAAAATTTGAGCCAAGACAAGTAGTATAAGCATTTCAAAGTCATGATGTCTGACTTCAACGCGGATGCCCTGGATTCGAGCTAAACGGCTGTTACTGATACTCAAGCAGGACTCAATCGGGATTTGTATTTATTTCCTAGCTCCATGTGTTCGGCCCATGGGTGGTCATTTTCATGGAGCTTCAGCACTCAAATATGGCGTTTGCTTCTTGGCGGCCGGTGTTGGTAGGTTGTGATGTCAGACATGGTGACGTTGAGTGATTCAGGATAGATGGTTGCTAATGGAGTTTAAAGATGCTCAGATGTCAAGTAGGGGAGAAAAAAAATCGAATGGTAGCCCAGCGTGGTTCAAAGTCTTACGGTAGCACAAATGCGGGGCCTCTTCAAGGCTAAGCGGTCTAACTAGACTTGGACTCCTCGCTTGCGAGGAGCTCCCACCCCAATGAAAAATCCCACCCCAACGAACAAAACTCACGAAAACGTGACCCTCTTGTGAACAAGCCGCAACAACGCAACAGCCACCATGCCTAGCAATTACAGAGAAATCGAAGAACGAGTTCAGTTGGCACTGGACAAAGCCCGGACCCAGCCGTCCCCAAATATTAGCAAATTGGCTCAGGAATTTGACGTTCCTCGAATGCGTCTGTCACGCCGCTGGCACGGCATTGGAGCCAGAACAGATCGCCGACCATCGCACAGCCGTCTCACTGAGGACCAGGAACTAGCCATGGTTGTCTACTGCAAGAATCTGGATAAAAATGGCGTATCCTACGACATTCATAAGGTCCAAACAAGCGCTTTCCAGATGCTGCTTCGTGCCTGGCCTGACCCAACAACGCCTCCTCCGCCACTCGGCCACAACTGGGCCAGACGCTTCCTAGACCGACACCCAGAACTGGCGGTGAATAAGCAGAAGCCAGCCAGCCACGATCCAGATGCAAATTGTCAACAAGCCGACAAGCAGCAGACACCACCGCCCCGGGATTACGAAACAGAGTCGCCAAAAACGCCTCTGACAGTAGAATCAATGCGTAGAATGGCCAGTATTGTCACCGACCAGCTAGCAGTAGATGCTCCACTTGACCCGTTGCTTGTGAAGAAGGTCGTGAAAGGTGGGCTGGTACTGGCACAAGCCGCTGCCCAGGCAGTTGCCGATTTGGAGGCGGAGCAGTCGGCTGCCAACGAGGAAATGCAACAAATAGAAACGGACTGCGACGAAGTTACCCCATCTGGTAATGTTATGTACGCAGAAGAAGCAAGATCTCTCGAAGCAGCGGCTGTAACTGCTAAGGGAGGGCGGGCAAAAAAGCGAAATGAGAGGGCTCGGGCAGAAGAAACAGGCAGAGTGGTTAAGCGCAGGACATCTGGCAGAGGCAGAAGAAGCGTTGTTGTCCACCAGCAGTGAATTTTATATGGGTCGACTGAGGATCGGCCATTGGCCCCGGCTAAGCTGTAGCTTCCACCTACCTACTCAACAGCTCCACTTTAATAATATTAGAATATGGAGGGGGGAAATGGCATGTCATCTACGTAAACGGATTCAAGGGCTTCACCATGTTGGCCTCGTTTTTTTGGTGCATGGATTTTGTTATCTCAGCTCTGTTGCCTTACATGCTGATGTCATCGCATTTTTCTCCTGCAGCAAACACAGTTGGGGTTAGCGATAGCAGCCAACGAAGCAACGTGGAAACTCCTCACTGATGAAACCACCGTTTGGCACTCGTTCCCTCACCACTCACACACTGGTCATAATCCCAGCTGCCCCTATCAACATTACTTATTTGCCCTTGGTTAAATTTCCCATCAACTGAGGACGGCAAGTTAGTTTTCATGTTAAAAATTTAGCTATCGAATGATGACTGCAAAAACATAGTCGCATTGGAAATTCAGAGAAGAAGAGCAAAGCAAAGCGATTTTTGCTCATCCTTCCTTGCCTTGCTATCACATGAACTCCACATACATGACCAATGTGCCTAGTATGCAGCGCGAGCTGAAACAATAAAATAAGAATAGACGGCCTGCCTCTCTGCTCATGACCACAGTCTTTGCTTAGTAGATACAATTAAGAATTACATATGACTTGCATTTTGAACTTTCAGTGTCGGATTTCTCGTTTTGCTTCGTTATGAATGACTGATTTCGAAACAGCGCTTTGAAAATTTCGGCAACAAAGGGAGCAAGAGATAGGCGTTCCAGGAAAATGATGGAGAAAGGGATGGCGGATATTGTTGAGAGTGTGGTGAAATGCGGCCGTAATGAATGAAAAATGCTTGCGTAGGCCCACGCATCCTGGCATGTAGCAGACCGCGCAGGCGTTGTGGAGAGCTGAGTAAATTGGTAGGGACTGCTTTTTATAAGATCAAGACCCAAACCAGGGAAACGATGATTGCTCCAAAATTCGAAACTGAGGAACCATGCGAGAGGACAGTAGCAGCTATAGGGGTATCGATATGCGAAGCCGAAAACGGAGCGGTAGATGACATGACGAAAGTTGGTCGGACGGTCGTCAAAAGGGATGAGGATCCACGAGACCGGTTCTGACTTAGTGTTGACGATGCCGTAATTGTAGATGAAGTTGTATGGCGAAGAGAAGATGGAAGCAAGTGCGGTGATTCTTCAAAACTGAGACCGTGAAGGCGACAACAAGTCGGCGTACTGATTGCCGTAGAGGGAGATAGTGTATGTGCACTTGTGGCGGCGATGGTAAGCTGAGAGCTAGCTTTTGTAGTTTTGACAGAGCTTGAACTCGTTCGTGAGATGTGGCAGAAGCCATCTACGTTGTTGTGCAGAGCTACGTCGAAGTGATGGTCAGCAAGCTGCTTGAAGCTATGGTATTATCATGCAACGGCTGCGAAGCCATAACGAAGAAACACCAATGCCAGGAAAAGGGTAACTAGTCCTGTAACGTTCTGCCGTACCTCTCAAATCCTCTCTCGTACATCTTGATGGGTCGGCTTTCCATTCTATGGATGAAGCGCGCCTAGCTTTCTGCCCCATGTTCATGTCAGCTGAAAAGCTCTTTAGGAGAGCCAGCTTCACTGACTGTGTTGGGGCGTACACATGATAGATCCATCGTATAATTCATCATAGTATCAGCATCTGCTGCAACCATGGAGATCAGCAAAGAAGTCGCGACAGCTAATAGATTACCCTTTTTCATTGTCTACCGCACGAGGAAAACAGCAAGACATCCGGAAGACTGCACCCGCGTATTCTTCATAGATGCTAATACCTCAATTTCAATGATAAGCCATCAAGCTAAAAGGTACACGCGGATTTTACGGCGCCGTTTCTGAACCGTGGTTCCCTAGCAATGTCCGCGTACCGTGGGGAACGTGACTTTGGTACCAAGGCACACCTCGTGTGGAGTTCGCCGCTGCTAGATTCATTGTCCAATTAGCCTGGCTCAGGGCTTTTAAGTGGGCGGTACGTTCTACTTGTGTAGCATTGAAGGTAGCTGAGAGCGAGATCAGAAGGAAGAGACTGACAAAAGTTGCAGAGATGAAACATGAAGAAGAGGCAAATTGGGGACTGGAAAATGACCACGTGCAGTTCTAAAGGTATCTTGAAGTAGGTGGTTGTTGACGAAGCTTTCCGGAACAGGATCCAGCCGGCCAGTCAAGGGCCAGGCGATGCGCTAGTTGTCAGCTTTCACCTTTTGCGTCTAGGGCACCCACAGCCCTGACTTCCGCGGTAACTTAGCGATGCTCTGGATTCTGGGTGAGGGTCTGCTAATCCAACCAGCTGTATCATTATTGTCACGCCATGAAAATCCCATCATGTTGAAGGTATACGCGTCGCAAGTCGTCGGTAGCATCTTGGCCGGCTCTCCGCTGACCTCTCTTTCCCGCTTTGTCTCCTACGGTTGCGTACCATTGATAGACGTGAGTTGAAGCATATCCCAAACCATGTTGTCTTCGTGGCGATCGCGCGACATCATTGCCCGATAAATGCTAAGCCACGATTCCTAAACTTTATGGCGGAAAGGTCGGAAGACGATCTGACAGCAACGTCACGAGTTGCATCGGACTTATGGAATTGATTTTTGAGTTGTTGGCACATGGCTGAGCATGATTTTGTGGCAGTGTTGAATCAGCAGATGGATGGCCAAGCGCTAAGCAGGCATTCTCTGCCATGACAAATTCTCAAGACTTACGTGTAAGGGATCACGAGAACCAAATTCGACATATTCCTTGATATTAGTCGTGGCGTTGGGGTCGATAAGTTGCTACGTTCAGCACAGCCGAGTAATGTACCGATGGTGGTCTCATGGGGTAAAAACAAATCTGAGCTCTGCAAAGTGGCCTCAGGGTTGGAAGATGCTTATACAAAAGAAGGGTCCAGACAAAATAGATGACGAGCAGTCTAATGCCGCAGCCGATCAAGGCGGAGCGCAAGGCGGTCGTTTACATGACTGAGACAAGCATTCATATTACTCGCTCAGGGAATTGGCCTGGCCTTGTAAGGCGCATTTACCGTATGCGTGAACGGAGGGACCTCCTGCGACACATTGCATGCCGGAGAATCTATTCCTCCCCCTTCGTTTATCTTATTGCGCTCATCCTCGAACGGCATGCCACATCTCGGTAACCTTGCGCCCCACGTTGCTTAGGCGAGACGACAGTGCTGCATTTCAGATTCCACAGCCAAACACCAAACATATTGGCATGGCGCGCTGTGGGAATGGACGGGGCGGAGTGCTCGGTTCGAGCTATTCCGGGGGCGCTGATAGTGGCGGCAGGACTAGTCAGGACAGCCGAGGCACAGGCGATAACGGCGGGCGGCCTCGACAATCAAACGTTGGGGAAAATCGCAATCAGCCATGAGAATTGTGACGTCTCGAAGCAAGGTCAGCTGGTGGTTGGGGGTTGAGAGGCAAGGGCAAAGAACTGTCAGTTTTCTGACAGCGACAACGGCGCCAATGAGTTACGAGGGACGTGGTGGCGGAAGCGAGGCTCGTGTGGTAGGCGCTGGAGCGATAGTGAAATTTCAGGCGTCGGAGCTTGGAAGCGCCACAGCGGGAGCCGCGACGGCGGCAGATCGAGCTGCACACCCTGCAGCGCCTGCTGAAACAGGGCCCGACGCAGCGTTCGAGTGCGTAATCATGCAGTCTCCGCCCCGCATGACCTCGCTGCGCATGGTGTGCCGAGACACTGGAAGAGCTGGTGATCGTGGATGAGCAGTAGAGGCGCGAGCGAATGGGCAGCGCGTACGGCGACGATAAGGCGTCTGAGCGTTGGCTGGTGGGCGGCGTGGGTGGGCGCAGCTGTTAGGGTGCGGGGAAGACAGCAGTGCCCAAGCAAGAAAGTGCCGCCGAGCGCGGCGGCTGCCAAGAGCAATCGTCCACTGACACTCCTCACAGCCTGCCTGGTGCCGCCTCATCCGTCGTGCCCAGCCCACGCGGCGGACCCCGACAGCGGCTGCTTTCTTGCCTAATTAACGCGCTCCACCTCCGCACGCGCTGAGTCTGCCCGTTGTCCGTCGCGATCAGTGACCTCAACCTTTCGCTCCCGCAATGCTTGCGCACGCATCCTGGTAACCGTCAATCTGCTGCGCCCGCGCCATGCCTGCGACCGTGCTGATGCGCTACGTGCGCACGACTTGCGCCGCTGCCGTGGCTGTCGCCGCGGCCGTCTCGGCCCAGACGGTGACGCCGTCCAATGCGACGGACCAGCTCGCCTCCAGCAACCGCCTCGAGCTCTTCGTCACTCGCGGCACCGTCGAAGGTGTACCAGTCGCCCAGGTCGTCCCGCTCACCGCCCGCGCGGCTGATGACCTCTCCGTACGTTTTCATCTTACTCTTACATGATTCCGCCGGCCGAGCCATGCATGGCCCGACCATCCTTCCCGAAACACCCATATACTAACTTGCCCGTCCCCAGGCCTCCACTGGTCTCCCTGCCCAGCAGCTGTTCTACGCAACTGAATCCACCGCCCAGCGTCTCAATAACTCCAACATCGCCTACATCAATTGCGACCCCGACGCCTACCGCGGAAACCTGCAGGCCAGTAACGTCCTTGACACCACCATCGAGCGCGGCGCTACCGCTGCCCTCTTCTTCAGCACCTCTGCCCGCTCCTGTAACGTCACCGGTGTCAGCGACGACTTTCCCTACCTGTATTCTATGGTCAATGCGACCACGTCGCAGCAGATTCTAGACGACCTTCGCGCAACCACCAGCGGGGGCAACCAGCTCTACTTCGTTACAATCCGCTCCACTGGCGAATCCAACGGCAACGACACCATGAGTACCGCCAACAGCGACACTGGTTCCGACCAGAACCAGTCGAGCAGCAACCCACTGGGGCCCTCGCCGTCCACCGCCGTGGCTATGATCATTCTGTACAGCATTACCGGCGTCATCACTGCTCTTTTCCTCGTTATCATTATCACTGGAGCGTTGCGGGCACATCGTCACCCAGAACGATATGGACCAGGTGTGGTGCTCAACGGCGGAAGAGGAACATCGCGCCAGACTCGCGTGCGCGGAATCGCACGGGCAATGCTGGACACCCTTCCAGTCGTCAAGTTCGGTGACAACACGAACCAACAGCATCCCCCCAAGCCGACGGACGTGGAAATGGGCGATACAACGGCACGGAACAGCGCGGAGGACATGCAGCAATCGAGAGAGGCCGAGTCCGGAGCACCCGGGCCCGGGGCAACCGGCGGAGCGGGAGCGGCCGCCCCCAACAGCAGGAATTCGCACGAAGGAGCTCCGCGCCCAGCCGCTGCAGGACCGACGAACGACACGGAACAGCAGCGGCATGCTGATGCGACCGAAGCGGGAATCGCGCCGGCAGCCGCCGGCGGCAGCGCGGAAAACCTAGCTTCCGAGGGCGACGCGTACACCGGTTGCACCATCTGCACTGAGGAGTTTGAGCCAGGCCAGGATGTCCGCGTTCTGCCTTGCAACCACAAGTTCCATCCCGAATGCATTGACCCATGGCTGCTCAACGTGAGCGGGACCTGTCCGCTATGGTAAGTTTCCTATCACGCTTAGCCCTGGCGTGATGATCTACAAGGGCCCGCCCCCTCTACCACATCATCCGCAATCGAAACTCAATGCTAACGTTATGCTTTCCACAGCCGCATCGACCTCAACCCTGCCTCGCCGACGGATGAGCATCATCCCGACTCTGAGCACCACCATAGCAACAGTGCCACCACCCGCCGCTCCGCCTCCATCCTTGCGCCCCCGCTTTCCCCCATGGATGCCGCTGCCGCAAACATCCCATCGTCTCCCCAGCATCATCGCCGTAGTGTCTTCCGCGACTTGCTTCATCTCCGCGGCCACGAGGCTGCGTCCAGTCAGGAGCGTCTTGCCATGGCCAGACGCATGGCAGGCAACCGCAACTCACGCGATGCGAACGCTACCGCTACCGCTACCACTGCTGGTGGTGAGGTAGGTGATGAGCGCCGCAGGAGCAGACGTTTGAGTACGCTCTTCAGGCGTGAAAGGCATAGCGCTGCGCCAACGGATGTGGAAGAAGGGCTGCCCCGGCCGCCGCCGCCGGTACACGAGAGGTCTCCTGCAGGAGATGGTGACGCAACGCCGAGATGAGATAAGCGTCTCAAGGCTTGCTTACTATCTTGATATCCCCCTTTCTTTTTGTTTTGCGCGTCGGTAGATATACATGGGTTGCGGAGATAACCCCTACGTCTGAGACGGTTTTACAGCGCATCTCTTTTCTCCGTCTTTGATTCTGCAAATACGGTCACGATGAACGATGATTATGGGAATCATATTGCTTGGCGTTTCGGGTTTCTGGAGACATGGGGATTTGCTTTTGTTGTTTTCTTGGGTCGAGGCTATGCTGGAAAGCGGGGTGGTATAGCATGAGTTGGGTCATTCAGTGGGTAGATACATGCATGACTGGAAGGCTGGCCGGAGTATGGTTAGGCCATAGGAAAAGGGGCATATGGTTGTTTTTCTGACCTTTTCTTTTTCCACGTGGGGAAGTTGCATGAGTGCTATCTATCTACCTGTAGATGTGGACTGGGCATTGTATAGCAGGGGCGACCCTCGGCGCTGACAGATGGCGCATTCATGGTATTGGATAATGGCTCTACACACTGGAATGGGGACATACCTTCTCTTTTTGCTTCTTCTGTCAATCTTGATTTCTGGAATTCTGGAGACAGGAAATGCAGATGGAACCGGCATGTGACATGCCTGGTCGACTCTATTTCTTGCTTTTGTTCTGCTAATCAAGGTTCTCGTGCCACCATGTCATGCAATCTGTCAGCCTTTTTGCAAGCAACATGCGTGTATACGTATGTGCTGAGTAAGGAGCCGGGCAGGGTTGTGTTGTGTATTGCAGTACTCGCTGAGCGGGATTGAGGGTCAAGGATACATGATGAGTTGAGGGCAAATGGGAAAAAGGCGATAGTTAAGGCATGTGGGCTGGTTACAGTGGCATTGCTTTTGTATGAAGCGGTTATTTTTGTTTTCTTCATGAGATGTGCTGTGATTATGATTGTAGAGCTAGAGGAACGGGTAGCCAGTTTTGCATTAGCGCAAGTGAGACAAACGTGGCTCCAGTTTTAGGCCTAGTTTCAGAGGTGGGGTAGATTTTGCCACTGAAGTGGGAAAGGGCCCTCCGTAGAAGTGTGTAAAGTGATAGGCGAGAAATGGATATGGTCAAGTTTGAGGATGTACGGATGAACGGTTCAGCCTGTGGAAAAAGTTAAGAATTGCTCTCCTTTCATGATATGATTGGATGAATGTCACAGTTCTCTGACTTGCAGTTGGGAGTTGCTTTGGAGCTTTGATATGCTAAACATGCTTGAAGGTTATTGCAATAGTTTGAGGATGGCGGTTTGAGATTATGCTTGTCTGTGGCTCAGCGATCGGCACGGATCACAGTCTCACAGCTAGTCATCCAGATTGGGTCTTGCCAAGCACTATCTGCCGCTCAAACTTTCCGCCCCCAACGGATGATGGCTATTCATTGGCTACTAAGCAAGTAGCCTCTGTCAATCTCCACACGATCAGCAGTGTTCTTTCCTTCCTCTCAAGCTCACTGCATCAGCAATCACTTCATTTTCCATTCACGGTAAGTAAGCACTATCTGTTGGCTCACGGACAGGATACTTCAGAAGTTATGCACTTCGATTTTGCACCAAGACAGCACAATCGGAATCCTGCAAAAGTGAATACTGTCTTCTCCTTGTCTGATCCTATTTTTAGTTCACCTTGCAGTACACGCGTGACTGCTTAGCTGAATTTTCCGATGTCAGCTTCAGCCTTCAGACTTTAAGGAGAACTACAGTCCTTCTACGTGCGGCTCAACTACGTCGAAGTCCGCATCGGTCGTTTCCGAATATTCAAATGTTACTTTCCTTGGCAATCTGGGTGGGTGTTCTTGTCGGCACTCCAACCAAAGCCCAGGAGAGCAGTTCTGCTCGCACAACGCCAGTCGGAAACTCGTCCTGCGCTGCCAATTGCTATGCAGACTGGCCAGCCAACCTTCGCTATTCATGGATTCCATATGATTTCTCAACTACACTGACACCCTTTACCGTCGTAACTATTGTGAGCAATCAGTAGGCTGCGCTTTAATTTCTGAAACTAACTTGTCCCTCTTTCGATCAACACTCGATTGAATGCGACCCGATATGTCACCAGCACAGGAGAGCTACCCGAAGGCTATACATTGCCCCCAACCAATGATAAAGGCACTCAGACAACCACGAAAACAGATGCCAAGGGTCAAGTAGTTACGATGTCCGTCTATGAACCTAAGACTGCGATATGATATTAACGACCCACCAGTACATATCCGGATAGATGGGAATATTACGCAACAGAGTATTCTTGGTCCGGTCAACTATCCACGACAGCAGCAGATGGCACCGGCTCCGTCTGCTCTACCGACGCAGACACGGTAGCAACCATCTCCGTCCCTTCATTCGAGCCAGAACCTTACTCGATCGACCCCGACGACCCAAACGGATACGGCTACTTCTTCTCCGCCTACTACGGCTCCGTGCCCGAAAGCTACATCGACGCCCTGACTGACGCCGACGCGTTACACAGCTGCACAATCTCCACCATGCTCCCGGGCCCGGGCTACCTTACCACGGCCGCGTTCCTCACCGCCTCCGCCACGTCCTTCGAGGACGATGGCGACGAAGAAACAACCTCGCCATCCCCCTCCGTGCACGACCGTCCGCTTCCCAGCACCACGGACGCATCCGCCGAGCCAGTCGTCTCTCCAGCCGCGTCCTCGACGCTGCCGCCTGTCACGACAAGAGAACCGACAAACAAGAACACTGACTCCCCCTCACCTGCAGCGTCCTCACCACCTACCGCGGCACCACCGAACCCCTCCCCAACGCCCGTCACCCTGCCCCTCGGCTCCACCAACGTCGTCGTCCTCTCGCCCGCTCCCGCCGGCAGCGGCGGCGCCGCCGCTGCATCGTACGGCGTCGTCATCGTGAACACTCCTCCTCCAAGCAACTCGGGCGAAGGTGAGGAGCCACATACAACCACGTTGACGACGCTCGGGCTCGGCGGTACTGCAACTCTTCCTGGCGGCAGCGCGGCGATCGTGCTGACGACGAATGCGGCCGGGGAGACTGTTGCGGTCGGAGCGGTGGTGGAGGAGGAAGGGGGGACGGCGGCGGACGGTGGTGCTGCGGCGACGACTGGTACTAGCAGTGACGGGTTGGGCGGTCTGATTGTTAGTGGGCTGGGCGGTACGGTGTCGGCGGCGGCGGGTTCGACGTCGGCGGGGAGGACGACGAGGACGGTGGTGGGGACGTTGGGAGGGGGTGGGGAGGATAAGAGTGCGTTGGGGAGTGGGACGAGAACGACTGCAGGTGGTGGAAGTGCTGAGGGTACTGCGGTAGGGACATTGGCAGGGGGTAGTGGTAATGGTGGTGGTGGTGGTTCGGCAACGGCGTCGTCATCTACGGCTGGTGCGGGGCGTATGTGGGAACATGGATCATTGTGGATGTCTTTTGCGATGATGGTACTTGGGAGGCTTTGGATTTAATTTGGACTATTGTGGATACGGCTCTGGTAATAAAGCATTGAACAGTAAGCTCTGTTAGCGAAGTACAGCGGAGAACAAGATGATTACTAGGTGATCCCATATAATGTAAGCTTTACTTGTGGTAAATTTCGGGGGGCTATGCACTAGTAGAATATCTTTCCGCCGTTTCTCAATGCCAATGATCGCGTGTACGGACATTGGAGACGCTAGGTATAAATATGAAATGACGACGCATAAGCACCCTCTCTTTATCTCTTCAGCTACACGATATGGAAATGAATGTCCTATATCGAGAGATGCCAGACAATCAACTCTTAGTTTGCTTCTATCCAATTTTATTACTTTAATGTTCGAGTATACTCAGCAACGGCCTTCATTCCTTCTTATCAATGCTTCTTCATATCATTACATACCTTAGGAAATAAACATCATCTTGTAATCTTCCTCATCACCACCAAGCCGTAATGATGGACGCCTCCAACAATGAGGCTCATATCCAGCCCGATGCCTTGGACTTACTTATGTCAGAGCACGAGAACGAATGAATAGCAAGGGGACACGAAAGAAAAGAGTGTACTCGACATTCAGGTATGGTAAGACAAATGAATAACCCACAGCCGAATGTTGATTAATGAACGGAAGAGAAATGAGAGCCGCTCCGTTTGTGCATCTTATTCCTGGCCCCTCCCAATGCGATACTCGCACGAACTTGTCCGCGGCTCGAGCTCGAGCCCTAGAATGTGCACATGGATTCTGAGCGTAAACTTTCTGCATCAGCTGAAGCTAGATGGCATTGTTTCAGTTGACACGATGGGTATTTTCGACAGTCTCATGAAACCCGGCGGAGCCTTATGATAGGCGAAGAATGCAAGTTTAGCACGAGCATCCCTTTCGCTTCGCTCTTTTAAAGTTCATCAGCACCATAGTATGTACAGGAACCAGTGCTGAACTACGCTCGGCAAGCGGGCTTTGCCGAAGGCAGAAAAGATACAAGACACTGCCTCTGTCTTGTCAACTGTCTCTATCTGATCCTTCCTTCTCAGGTACGTAATCGCGTTCATCATCTTTGAACCTGACCCTTCATCATCAAAAGTTAATGATGCATATTAAATCCTTTGACACTGAGCGCCTATTTCCTAGGCGAAAGATTGGCGCGAACCCGCCGCGCAAGCAGTGTATGGTGGTGGGTCAGGATATAGTGCCATGTAACATGTAGTAGGCGAATGTCGCAAGCTTGGCCTTTCCCGAGAAGAACGGAAAGGTGAGCTTTCTTTTATAATCTCCCGCCATGGTCTTCACATGGTTCCGAGCACACACGACGGCGCGGCAATGAGTCATGCGGTGTGCGTATGCAGGCCTGAGCTCAAAGTGTGCGTCAGATAATGAACCTATGCGGTGTTCAGCCGACCAATTTCAAGACCAGAGCAAATTGCTGCTCACAACCGCATGTGATCAAACCTCGTCCCACGAGCAAGACCAAAAGTAAGCGAACGAATGCCAATAAAGCAAGGGTATCTATTTTCCACTCGTTCATCCATTTCCCCTCATCAACCTCAATCTTTCTCCCCATCTGCACTACACCACTCCCGCAAACCTCCTCGCCGCCCACGCACTCCCATTCTCCAAATACTCCTCTCTCGTCACAGCCACCCCCCTCAGCCCCTCTCCCCTCTCCCCGGCCAACCTCACCCCGCCCTTCCACGTAAACGTCACCGGATCCTCAGGCCTCGCCACCCGGACCAGCAACTCCGCTGGCACAATCGCCCGCAGCTCCCTCTCCAACCTCTCCGTGAAACCCGGCAGCAGGCTATTGCCACCGACGACGACGACGTTCGCCAGCAAGCCGGGCCACAGGCCCTCGGGCAGCTGCTGCAGCGACTGCATGACGGCGTCGGGGAGACCCGGCTCGGGCAGGCCGATGTCGTTGGGGTGGAAGAGCAGCTCCGGCACGGCGAAACGCTCGTTGCCGAGCGGCAGCAGGTCTTCCGTCTTGCCCGACGATGTCGCGCCGCCGGACGCCGTGTGGTGCTGCACGCCGCCCTGCGCGAGGCCCAGGCGCTTCGCCTTGGCGGCGGCCGAGGGGTCGTGGGGCCGCGCGAAGCCGCGCTGGCGCTCCGTGTAGTCTGGGAGGACGTAGTCGACGACGATGGAGGTGTCTGGCGTGGTCTTGTTGTTGTTGCTGCTGCCTTTCCAGGTGCGCTCGAGGTCGTGGGCGAAGTCGGTCGAGACGAAGCAGACGTCTTCTTTGATCTCGTTGACTAGGTGCGTCTCGTCCATGAAATTGTAGGCGCGCAGCGAGATGAGCTCTTTCAGGTGGTTCGTCAGGAACTTGCCGCCGACCGTCAGTCGCCGGATGGCAGAGTGGAAGGGGCGGCCGTGGTGGAGCGGCGTGATGGTGGTGTGCGAGTAGCCTGTGTCGATGACGAGGAGGGACTCGACAGGTCCGGAAGAAGTGGAGGCTGGATCGGAGAATAGGGCGGGAATGTCATTATAGGCGTTGAGGGCGGGTGCGAGGCAGCGGTAGTAGGAGGCGAATTCGAACTCCTCGAAGACCATCTGGTCGCAATTGGTCTGCAATGCTTGCGGCGAGTTTGGTGCTTCGGTAAGGACAAGGGTTGTGTCATGTGGGTCACACTATGAGTGAGTGAACAAGGTTAGTATCCGTCCTAAGGCGGAAAACGTTATGAAGGCTGGCGGAGGTACTTTAAGTGCGGCGTCGTTAGCCAGGAACTCATGGTCCCATATAGCTTTTTCTCCCTCCCAGTTCACGATGTAGCCTTTCTCGACTGGCCTCCGGAAGGCCATCTCGCCAAAATCCTTGCATTGTTCTAGCTGCGAACCAATCCATATGCGCCTGTCGCGGGCGCGAGCTATACAGTTTGGGGTTATGCGGCAGGATGGCTCAGTTGAGCTGTCTGGTGGGGCGAAGCCGGCCTTGATATTGTAGGCGCCATTGTCAATGATGAGGGTGTTTGAGGGGAGCGACGGCTTGGCCTGCTTTGCAGCTCGGGGCATGGCGGGGGTCGAAGCGGGGTGAGTGATGAGAGAGGATAGTTTTCGCGTCGCGGCGCGTCGCGGGTGACGTCGGTCGCCCGGATCTTCGCCGGGTGGGCTGATCCCTGTCGGCGCACGCTCTCTCACAGGCCCTGAAAAACTCTCCATTCCTTTCGGCTATGCAAACCTCACAACTGCGCATCATTGCCATTTGGAGCCCCAACAATGTCGATGACGGATATCTCCAGACCCGAGCACGTTCACAAGCCTAAATGAAAAGCAATAACAAGCCATGTACGATTGTCCTTACGTCAGCCGAAGGATTGCATGCAGGACGCGTATCGGATGCAGTTGCTGCTAATTAGACCTCATGCCTCAGGATGTTGCAGTGCGGTATGCTGGCACCTCGTCCAAGCCACCTCCGAAATTCATGTCGTCTGCATCACGCTTGACTATGCCTCCGCACACACCATGCGAACGTGTGAGGCATTATCGTGCTTGACGAAAACGGGCCTTCCCGCGCAGTGAGGCTCTGCAACACGTTGGAGACTCGTAAGCCGTGCTGAGCGCCCTTTTATATCCGGAGGCTATGCTGCGCCTCTAAGCCACTGCTGTGTCACTCCCATCGACAGTGGCGTCTCTGTCTCAGGAGGGCAGCGATGATATTACGCCCTGTGTATTTCCGGCCTGCATTTGCGCTTTCGTCCGAGCCGTACTCAGCCAACATGGACGCCTTCCTATCTGGTAAAGAAGAGGTGTGTACTGGCGGCCTGGAGCGATGGAAACACCGGCCAATCGCGGGCTCGCCGGGCGCAGTTGTTTCACAACTTTATTTTTACCATCGCATCCTTTTCAGCTTTCCCCTTGATTCGCAGCCTCCTTATCCACGACGATTCTCGACAAAGCCGGGAGCATGATGCGTCACCCAAGGTGTTCTTCAGCTCCCGCGAATGGGAACACAGGTAAATCCAGGCCTTGGCACTTGGCGGGCGTCAGCTGGTGGATGCAGCAGTCCAGGTAAGCAGCGGCAGGGCGGGATGTTGAAACAGCCGCAACAGAGCTCCTGGCTGTCACGGGTTGCCTGGTGCGGCCACGGGATGGCCGTCGATGGCAAATGGACCCGCCCGAGCAGCGCCGGGGGCCAATCGGCCTGGCCGAAGCCCCAGAACGCTAACCGCCCCCGATCTACCTTCCAGAACACCCGCCCCACGGCTCCCATGCGCAAATCTACTGGGTCTATTCCGTCGTGCCTATCTTCTTCATCCACGGATTCGGACATCGCTACAAGCTGCCGTCCGCGCCGTCGCACCGAAACGCCATTCGGGCGCCAAGAAGTGTGGAGACGGACGGTCGTCCTTCCCAGAAGAGCAAGGTCAAGATAAACCTCCGTGCTTGCCCAGCTGACGCACCGGCCGAGAACAGCCTTAACAGTACGGCCGCCATGGCTTTCGCCCAAAATGTGAACTGCCCAAGCTCGCCCGTCAGCATCGCATCCTCCTCCGTCTAAGCTTCTTTTTTGTGGGGATCACTTGCGCATCAAATCTTGATTCCGTGCCGCCGTCTTACCCACCTCTCCGCGCCTTGGTCCGGATCACGACGGAATAGGAATACGGCCTTTAATCGAACTCTTTCGCCTGTAAATCACGAGCTTCGGCCTCACCGTTAGCCCCGCTCCCTTACTTGTGCAAGAGCCTCATCTCCACCAGAGCGGTGACACCGAGTCGAACTCATCATAAAAGCTTTGCGCAATCCTCTCCCTGTCCTGTTGTCAAGCAGAACTTCACCATCATGGCGCCTTCAATATTCCTCTCGCCAGTCTTCCTCTTTGCCTCCATCACCACCGTCCTCTACTTTGCTTACCGTACCATCGCCCTCTCTCTTGCCCGTCGCCGCTTTATCCGTGAAAATGGATGCCTGCCTGCAGCATCTCTCAAGATGCGCGACCCCATCCTGGGGATAGACGCCCTCCTGTCCACCATTCGTGCCGGCAAGAAGCACCAGCTCCTGGACATGCTGACCGCCCGCTTCACCGAAACCAACAGCAAGACCTTCACCTCCAAGCGTCTCGGCGCACATGCCATCATGACGATGGAGCCTGAGAACGTCAAGGCCATCCTCGCCACACGCTTCAAGGACTTCGCCATCGCGCCGTTCCGCCAGCCCGCACTGCAAGGTTTTCTGGGTGATGGTATATTCACAACTGATGGCGGTCACTGGGCCGCGTCCCGCGCCATGATTCGGCCAAACTTCGTGCGCGACCAGGTAGCCGACTTACAGGCGTTCGAGTCGCACTTTGAGGACCTGATGGCGGCAATCCCCAAAGCCACGACGACGGACGCCTCGTTCTTCGACCTCCAGGAGCTCTTCTTCAAATTCACCATCGACTCGGCCACAGAGTTCCTCTTCGGCAAGAGCGTTCGTAGTCTGCGTCCGGGAAACAGTGATGATGCAGGAGTTAACAAGGCGGAGGCCAGCTTTGCCGAGGCCTTCACCGTCGCCCAGTCCGAGGGACTCGACCTCATCCGCCTTGGCCCGCTCGCGCACCTCATCGGCGCCAACAGGGCACGAATCAGCACCGGCGAGCGTGCCGTCGACGTCGTGCACGCATATGTTGATCAGTTCGTCGACGAGGCGGTGCGGTTCCGGGAGGAGGTAGCGGAGAAGGATCAGAAAAGGGGAGATGTCGAGACGGGGCAGGACGAGGAGAAGTACGTCTTCTTGCATGAGCTGGCAACACGCACGACGGATAAGAAGCGCCTGCGCAGCGAGCTGCTCAACGTGCTGCTCGCCGGACGCGACACGACTGCCAGTCTGCTTGGGAACCTGTTCTTCGTGCTGGCCAGGCAACCCGAGGTGTGGCAGAAGCTACGGGAGGAGGTTGTGACGACCCTCCAGGGAAGACGGCCGACGTATGAGGAACTGCGGAACATGAAGTACCTGAAGTGGTGCTTGAATGAGTGTAAGTCCTCCCTGAAATTCACCCCAAACCCATCATGACCTCATCCCATCTATCCACTTCCATCCACGGCAACAACAAAGCAAAAGCTGACTCCCCAAACCCAGCCCTCCGCCTCCACCCCGTCGTCCCCCTCAACACGCGCATGTGCGTCCGCGACACGGTCTTCCCCACGGGCGGCGGCCCGCACGGCACGGCGCCCGTCTTCGTGCCGGCCGGTACCATCACCTCGTGGTCCGTCTGGGCCATGCACCGGCGTCGCGACATCTTCGGCGCCGACGCCGAAGACTTCCGGCCGGAGCGCTGGGAGCGCCTGCGGGTCGGCTGGGAGTATCTGCCCTTCAACGGCGGGCCCCGCATCTGCGTCGGCCAGCAGTACGCCCTGACCGAGGCCAGCTACGTCGTCGTCCGCCTCGCCCAGGAGTTTGAGCACCTCGTGCCCCGCGACGGGGAGGAGCAGTGGAGGGAGCAGGTCGCCTTGACGCTGTGTCCCGGCAACGGGTGCTGGGTGAGGTTGGTGCCGCCTTCGTCATCGTCATCATCGTCGTAATAGACCCGGTGGCGTTTTTTTTTTCTCTTACTTTTCGTCTCCTCCCCCCTTTCGGTCGACATCGGGAAAGGAGCGGTGAAAATTGACTCCCGACTTTGCTTTTTTTGGTGGCTTATCTGTACACGTTAGTCTTCTTCACACTTCTTTTTCTTTTTCTTGAGATACTCTATTCGGCGTTGTCTGGGAATGGGATTCAATGGGATGGTATATATCCCAGTACATACACGGTTGCGCTCACGCGCGCATAGGTTTGGTATAATCTAGTGGGCGGCTGTCTCCTCTTCTGTTTTTACCCTTTAGACAGCTTCGATGACTATGAAATGAGAAAGACGGCTTCGAGTCAATGACACTCCTGTATTAGCTTCCCTTCCTTTCCTCGTGAATCGCATTGCCAGAACCAAGGAAATCACCGACGAAGTAAGTTCTATACACGTGTATAAATGTGGGAGATGAAGCGCTTTGAGCAAATGAATATTTGAGATTCGAGAGCTAATGCTACGCTAGCTACTTTTCTCCAGTGCCGTTTTTGCCGAACCTGTCGAACTCATGACGTTCTCGCCGTCTCCATAGCGATGCCGGTGCCAGAAAAGCTTAGACCGTGAGACCATGAAAAGACACTAATGTACACAGTAGCCGAAACTGATTTTACCTGTGACGCCTTCACACCTGTGCTATCGTTTCATCAACTCAATTGAAAGTGGAAAAAGAACAACAAATCAAGCCAGCAAGATAGCAAGTGAGTAATGAACCCTGATCGTGAACCAGAAGAAACTATGCAGCCAGCCTTTGACAGCACTTTGATGTACTGGGAGTACCGAGAACAAAGCTGGACCCAGGAACAGTGTCGAAAGTTTACATCCTCACCTGGAAAAGGTACCGAAGTCGAATCTGAGCCACATCATAGCAGATGAACTCGTTGTACTGCAGGTATGCGCCCGGAACATTTGTAGATCCCGGCTGAATGCTCACATCGGGCATCTTGACACCAGCCAAAGAGGGGTGGACACAGCCAGCGTCCTTCCATCCTAGCGGTGCAGTCATTCCTTTACCCCAAGTAGACCACATTCCCTTGGACTTTGCATCTTCTCCCGCGTTGTAGTTGGAGTTCGTCAGTTCCTGAAGAGGGTTGCCGAGCTCAGCCTCACAAAGCAGAAGCAGAGCCGTGCCGCCTGAAATGTAAGAGCAGCAGTAGTTGGCAGATTTGGAAGACATGTCAGCAAGGTAAATTCCCTTGCCAAACATGTAGCCGCTCACTGGGGCCTCAGGAGGTGCGATGCGAAGACCTTGGCTGAGGATACCGCCAAAGTTAGTAGCTCGGGAACCATGCCACAGAAGACGTCGATCGCGAACTGGCCCAGCGAATACGCTCTTGTCGAAACGATCATGTTCGCCTTGACGTTCGATGCGGAAGATGGAATCGATCTTGTAGTTGACCCCGTGCGTGTACCCGCGAGTTTTGCTCAGGTACTCCGAAAGTTCCTGGAACTCGACACTGTTTCTCTCGAGGGGGCTCATCTCCTGCATGCCCAAACCTCTGTATTGCTTATCCAGAGTATGCAAGACTTCGCCGTTGGCCGATTCGTCTTTCATGATGTTGGACGCATCCTTCATATCGGCCAAGTTCTCCAAGAGCTCGACCTCACGCTTGAGGACATCCTGAGTGCGTATCACAGGCGGCCTGTTACGACCGAAGTCGTGTGGGATGAGTGAGTAAAAGAGATTGGAGGCATCCTCGATATCTGAAGCTCTGGAAGTAGAGTCGTCAATCAAAGCAGAGAGGTCCTTGAGGGTCTGGAAGCCCTTCATGATAGTAGCCTTGCTGAGCTTTCCCAGGGGCAACTTCTTCGAGTCGTAGTTGAGCTCGCTCATAGCGGCGGCAAAAAAGTCCGTGTTGAATATGAGTTGCATCAACTTCTGGATGGGCAGCGCAAGGGTGCAATCGGGTGTGTTGCCGCTCTTTTCAGCCTTCTTGTCCTCGTCTTCTTCTTCGTCGTCCGACTGGTAACTGCGCTCGATGAAGACGTACTTCTTGCTCTTGGGAGCCGCCGTGCGGTCTTCCCAGCGCAATCCGGACTTGTCCTTGAATTTCGCTTCGAATTGACGCTTCGCATCGGCAAGCGATCCGTCACCGAGAGCTTTCATCTGTCCACGTTCGCCAACCCGGCCCCATCGAGACCAGGTGACACAGTGTCCAGTGCCGTTACCCAGAACCTGATACAAGTTAGTATAATGTGGCTTCATGGGTCAAGAGATCTGAAATCCCCAGCCAGAATCAATAGGTATTTACCTGGAGTCGGTAGAACTTGTTATTGTTGTTTCCGGCATTCGTTTGGTTCAGGGCAGCATCCCAAATGACGCCATCAGGATCAACGTGAACACCATATCCACCGAGGTGGCATTCCTCGTCCACGGGAATCGCAATGTTCTTCGACTTGGCAATCTGTCCTTCACCGAAGTTGGGGGCGGGCTTCTCCTTCTCGGTGACTGCCTTCTTCTTCTTGGTGTCAGGCTGGTCCGTTGAATTTGCATCGTCATCAGAAGAGGCCTGGCGCTTCTTGACGTCCTTCGTCTGTGAGGTAGCGGTGCCGGAGGCAGGCGTAGCGTTGGAAGTTGCGTTGCCGAAGGTGTACTGCGTCTCGTCGGCCTTCGCGTTGGATTGCTCGGAGTCCAACATCCAATCCAGGTTCACGAGAAAAATGTCGCGATTCTGAGCATCCTTGACCTTGCTCGAGGATTTGTCGACATCAGCCTGGGTGGTAACGAGATGGGTCGCGTCCTTGGTGACGGATTTGGCAGTCTTGGCTCCCAAGCGAGCGGCGTGGTCGAGCAGCGCCGACTGCGAGTGTCCGGGAAATGTGCCGCTGAAGACGACACAGCAACCCTCCAATGGAGGTGCGGCTGGCGCAGCGGCTTTCTTTCCTCGTTTCGGTGGCATGGCGATGGTGCAGATTCTGCAGAGGTGAAGGAATGGGCGTAGATATATTAGTTGCTGCAGAGGAGAACCGTGCGCGGAGGGATCTCGAAGCGGCAGGCAGCCACGGCCACAAGCGTGCTCTTTGTCTCTGCAAGGGCAAAGTCTTCGGACACAATTGGTTCTTTAAATGCGCTCAGCAACAGCAATTGAGTTGATTTAAGGGCACTGACTCACTTCAACCTCACCACTTCCTGTCGCTTCTTCTGGTTGTCGCGATTGCAGCTCTTGCGATTGGTGTTGGGTAGGTGCTGCGCGGGCAGCGGCCAATTAATGAGGGGCGTCCGCCAAGACGCTACGAAGCCGGCGCACCAGCGACAGCAGGCACGGTAGGCAGCAATCGCCCGTTTGGGTAAGCTAATAATAACCCGGCATTTTGCCAATGCGCGTTGACGCGCCTACCCCTCTGCTCCTTCCCCAAACCAGCGAGCTCGAATCTCTCGCGCCTTCACGTGGGCTGATCTCCAGGCAACCACGGCCACCAGCCAGGCATCGTCCCTATCGGAGCAAAACACAACCACCGTGATCCCGCTGGCAGCGTGCACTGTGCAACTTACAACAGGCAACAGTCGCCCAGACCCGTTGGTTATTCCTCCTCTCAAATTACCACCGATGTCCGTGTGTTAGGAGCTCAAGTCGCCTTCTCACCTCTTCTCTCGTCCAGGAAACCTTCCAAGTCCATCCAGCGAGCCAACAAGATGGACCCTCAGGCGGACTCTCGAATCGCCAAGCTCCCGCAGGAGCTCATCGACCGCATTGTCGACTTCCTGCCCACAGTGACCCTGGGTCACGTTCGTCTGACCTGCAAGCTCATGGAGCACCATCTCTTCACCTACTTCTCCAAGCATTACTTCACCAAAAAGCAGTTCATGGTAACCGAAGCCAGTCTGCAAGCATTGGTCGACATCTCAGAGCATCCTGCCCTTTCGCCATGTCTCAAGCACCTCATCATTGGCCTTGACCATTACGTTTTCTGGTCTAGAGCCCTGGCCCCAGCACTGGATTATACAGTATTCATACAGCGCAAGGGAGCTGCCGAGTCACAGCGGCGCATGTTCACCACAGGCCGGGCGGTAAGTCTGTTGGCTAGGGCTCTGAGCAACCTCCGCAACCTGCAGACACTCGATATTCGGGACTTCAATTCACAAACGCGGGTCCGAGATTCAGAGACCGGCTCGGGGGCATGGAGAAGCTGGGGTGCTCCTACCCTCGAGGCTCAAGGCCATGAGTTGGCTATGAGTGACGGCAACAACACTACCAATACGGACGATTATTTCCACAACCGAGTTTTCCAGGCGGTCCTCGGTGCCATGGCTAACTCATCCGGCCGACCCAAGGCACTTATGGTCATACTAAGACACAGGATCCGCGGCCTGAATGATTGTGCGTTTGGTCTTGATCAGTGGATGGAGGAAAGCATCGCCCCAGCCTTGGAAAGCCTTCAGACCCTTCATCTCGATGTCCTTCTCGATAATCAAACACACACATTCATCACGGATGCCCAGCCCTTTCAGGATATCTTCGACATGTCGAACACCCGTATCAGACATTTCCTTTCCCGTACTCGAAACGTCACATCGCTTCGGCTGAACTTCCAGAACACACCTACACAACTGAGCTTCAGACTCATAAACTGGCTGTCCACGCTACCTGGCACGGATCCAGTCGCAAATCGATTGCCGTGGATCTCACCATGCGACCTTGAAACCCCGCCACCGTGGGATGAGTACAATCCAGCCCCTGTGGCGTTGCCCCTCACACAGCTGGATCTAGGCGCGGCGCACATCAGCACTAGCACACTGCGAAAGCTCTTCCGGAAGTTCCACCAGCTCAAGGGTCTCAGCTTCTTCAATGTGACGCTCTATCCCTCATCCTTACAATCTGGATCTCGAAGCCGTGTCAACCTATGGTCCGATATGTTCCGAGAGCTATCGGCTGATCTCCCTCCGAACTTGAAGTCTTTGAACCTCCGCCGACTGAAACAGGCAGACACTGAGAACTTGAACATATCTAGCCTTTTTGTCAAGTTTGATGAGCAGCCATCGAAAGAGGTCGCAGTTTCGAAGAAAAGCTTGGAACAGCTGGCTGAGGCTACCACGGTGGATTGGCCAGTCATTCGGAGCAACAACTATTCTGGAGAGGATAGCGAGAACGAGGACGAGGACGATGACGGATATGGTGACGGGAATGACGATTTGATTTAGTATTAGCTTCAACGTTAGGTGCCTTTGATTGCTCTGGTGGCGTTTCCGGTACTACATTGCATCGGTACATGCATTTTAAAGGAGGATCATGAATCTATTTCACTTTGCTGTTCTGTCTTATATCTTTTCATGACTTCCCATTGAGGAGCGCTGTGCAGGCACGGGTAAATTATACATTTACGTCCGGAAGATAGCTTCGAGTACCAAATGGCATGTTCTTTTCCCAAGAAACAAAAAAAAAAAAGAAAAGGAACTCGGGCATAATCACGCTATATTCCAGGACTTTGCTGTTCTTCGCGCTAGCCATCGGCTTCAGTACCCCTCTGTATACATCAAGTGGCTGTAATGCCATGAAGTTTAATGAATTGGCTTCAAATATTAATACACGATATTCCTCCCGGGTGGTCACCTAACCACTGACATACTTCTCACCACTTTCCCCACTCTGCACCCCAATTTTCATAAGTGCTATTTTCCTCGCTCACCAAGGCCCACCGCCCCTGCAAAATCCTCTAGAAAAGCCCATCTGGCTCTCGTCGCGAGATTCTGCCCTTCCCTCCATGCATCCAACGTCCCTTGCGGCCAAAGCAATCCCTTCCCCTTCCCTTCTCCATCCACGCCGTAGAATACGCTCAACAAACTCTCATCGTGCGCATTGACGACGAACACCCTCTCATCGGCGTCAAATTCTTGTAAACCGTCGATGCTCCAGACGCAGTCATCGAAGCTGTACGGGAAGAATTGCGTTGGAGTGTAGAAAGGCTTCGTCGCCTTTTCAGGCAGGCTGGCGGCAGGATGGATGGGGGCAAAGAGGGCACCGGGGCAGATTGTAGCATGTTGAGGATGATGCGGGAAAGGCGAGGGAGAAATGGTACGCGGGAGGGGGAGGTAGGGCGAAGGGCGGAACTCGGCGCCGTGGTGAGCGCAGTCCTGCGTCTTGCGTTAGTACTCGGACTGCTTCTGCACACTCCTGACGAGAATTGAAACAGAAGATGAGTGACGAAATAAAAAAAAAGATAGAAGCACAAGAAAAATAAAACACAGACAAACTCACCCCACCCATAAACACAAACGCCCCATCCCCCTCCCCCTCCCCCGCCCCAGCCCTTACCCTCGCCAACCCGCACAAATGCCCCACCGCATGCCCGGGCGTATCCAACAGATAGAAGCTCCCATCCCCCCACCAATCCTTCGCCCTAAACCTCCCGATCTTCAACCCGTCCTCCTCATCAAACCCCACCTCCACCAGCTCCCTCCCCGCCCACTCCTCCCCCTTGACCGGCGCGCCCTCGACCGCCGGCCACCCGGCGCCGAACGCCTGCGTGAAGCCTGGCCCGACGACCAGCTTCGTCGACGCGGCGGGAAAGCGCGTCAAGTCGCCCGTGTGGTCCCAGTGGTGGTGGCTCCACACGACGGCCTCGATGGCGTCAGGCCGCAGCCCCCCGGCGGCCAGCACGTCGACGACGTCTCGCGGCTCCGCCTCCGGTTCCGTATCCGCCTCCCACTTCGGAGAAGAAGAAGACGAAAAAGGGTCGATCCAACGCACCCAGAACTCCTTGGCCGGGTCGTTGACGCGCTGCTGCACGGCGGGCGCGAAGCCGGTGCGGCAGTCCTTGCGGACGGAGAGGTCGAAGAGGAGCCTGCGGCCCGACTGGTTGTGCGTGATCAGGAACGAGTATGCGGGGCCGGTCATCCGGTCTTTGCCGCGGATCTGGGGCTCGAGGAAGGGGGCGATGGGGAGGGAGACCCGGACGCCGCTGTGATACGAGTTAGAGAAGGAAACGGAGGGTCGCTAGTAGCTGTGACGGTCTGTTTCAAGGTCATGGTGCTTTTTTTCCCCCCCCAAGGACGGATCGTGTTGATCTTGTGCAGTGAGGATGGTAATCATGAATAAGATAAGTGAAGCTCACGTGTCGATGACAGAAACAGATACGGTGGAGCCTGAGGGCGGAATGTTGAGGTTCGGCGGGGCCTTAGGCATTGCGAGGAATTCTCCCCCGCCGTCTCCGTTGTCTCTGGCCATGCTGATTGGTGATTTCCCGAAAGAAGGATGTTTTCCCTTTCGCTGCCGCGCGTACACTCTCTCAGTAGTTCATGAAGGCCAGTGAGGCTATGCTTATGGTGAGGTCAGCGTTAAGGGAAGCGGGGCTTTGAAGAGTATGATGTGGTATATAAACAGTCAGCAGCATCGGTCAAACGGGGATAGTCTAAGCCGCTGTTCCCGAATGCTGGCTTCCCCCTCCAGGAATACGATGCACACCAGGATTAATAAAACCTCCGAGGAAGTCTGGATAAGCAAAAAGTGGGGTCTGCATCTGACGTCGGGAGGGTGATGACGTGCTTACACCCGCAGACGCGGGTGCGGAGCAATCAACTGAGTTTTAGTCAGCAATCAGCCAGCTCAGCAGACCATCCCAAAGCGTAGCTTGACCGGGAACATACGGCGAAAGCAAAGTCAAGGAAAAGTTATGTTCCACGTCGGTGACCACGATGCGCAAACGGTTCGCAGAAGTAATCCTGTGATTTATGCAGTGACGTATTAACATGACACAGTACCGACATTACCCATTCCTGACATTCATCTGGTACCAAAAATGCTGTTCGTCTCAAAGAAGAAAACAATGAGAAATCCAACGAGTGCATGGTAGGTATCACCGTCATCGTGAATGCAAAGGAAGGACGGACGAGCGACACTTACGCCCCCTTTTGCCGAATTTCCTCCTCATCTTGCTGGCTCAATGCACCCCTCTCAGGCATTCCCGTCGCCTTGACCTCCCTCTCGTCTAAGACCTCATCCCGCTTTCCCCTCTTGGCACGCTTCTCGTTCAAAAGTGCGCGATCGACCCATCCATCGCCGCGCAGCATGCTTAGCCCTTTCCTGACGACCCCTCCGTTCACAGACTTCGGGTCCATCTGGTACATACTGTTGATGACGGCCAAACTCGTGACAAAAAGTAAGACATCGCCATTCTTGACGCCCCGCCACCAACCACGCTTGATGCCAACTTTCCAAAAGCTGTCTATGCTCAAACGGGAAGAGTAAAGGAAAGTGGTGCGGCCATTGTGGCGCTCCAAGAAAGCCCATAATCCGCCCAAGAAACCTCCAAGGAAGAAGCGTTGGGTAGGCAGGAAGTTCCGTGGCAGGTACTGCTGGAAGAAGCAGATACTCGCCCAGCTGGTACCAATGGCGCCGGTGACGAAGAGCGACATGCGGAGGATGGACTTGGCAAGGCGGTTGAGAGCAGCAAAAGGAGCGTCGACGAAGGCCTTGTATCTGGCAAGTGAAAGGACGCCAAAGATGATCGTGAAGAAACGGGCAAGCGCCGGAAAGGCCTGAATGAAATACGAAATATAAGTCCGAGCGCACGATGGGTCATGCGGGTGGAGAAGGGCGCAGGAGAGGTTCTTGATAGCGGGATGGGCTGGCGACGTGATGGGCGATATAGCCGTCAACGTCCGGGGAAGGGTCTGCTTGTTAGGGAACATGATAGGTGAAACGAAGGGACTGTATACATGTTAGCTAGGGAAGCGCGTGAAAGATGGGTCGACTTACGGCCATCGCAGGCGAGCGATTTCGGCCAGGCTGTCCACCACTGCATAAGTGTCTGGCCACGGGGCCTGCCCAGCATAGTACGGCGGCTTGGGCTGAATGTACTGAGGTGAGTTCCTCAGAATAAAGCGGCCGTATGCTTCGGGGAAACAATCTCGGTCGAAGACAAATGCGTGCAGCAATTGTCCGCAGGCCACGGGGTACAGTAGCCACGAGCCGAACCACCACGGACGATCCTTAAATAGCCCCCTATCCTCAAGTCCATTGTATATAAACTCCAGTGACCTTGAAAATACGTAGATGGCAATGGTGATTCGAAGCTGATCTGCGGGGTAAAGCCCGAGCCAGAAGCCGGAGAGGCTTGCGCCAATGGCCGGAGCAAGCCTTGAGGTCAGAACTTTTGTGACGCGGGGGTTGCGGCGGCGGAATGGCTTGGCATTGTCTGTGAGGATGCTTTCTCGTAGGCGGATGAAGAAGCGATGGAGAATGCGGTGGAAGAAGAGGATCAGGCCGAGAGAACTGGAGAGGCGGACGTTTGGCGATTTCCAGAAAGGGAGTTTTGGCCTGAGGTCGTAGCGGGGTTAGAAGAGAAGGCTATCGGCGCGATGGAACTGTGAGCACTCACCGCACAGTGGTGCGCTTTGAGAGAAAGCGTGTGGAGACGATTTCCCAGAGCTTCAATGCGGCGTAGGAAGATAAGCCAAGGCGCAAGGAAGCGCGAACGGCAGCAGCATTGTAGTCGTCGGTAGCTTTGACAATGGCCTCGTAGCGTCGCGGAGGAGGGGCCCTTTGGCGTGCAGCAGGAGGAGCGCGGGAGATCAGGTACTGATGCAAGAGCTTGTACTCGCGGGCGCTGAGCGTGTAGCGGAGGGCGTTGCGCACCACCGGGTCGAGCTTATCAGGCTTTCCCGAGGACGGGGACGACGAGGCGACAGAGCTCATGATGGCGGCGGTGGCATGGCAAAGTGCCTCGTGGCGTCAGGAGAAATGGAGGTTGACGAGGTTGCTTGAGCGGGAGCTCTGTTGTTGCGCGCACAAGTTCCGGTGGTGACCTCGGCTCTTGCCTCAAGTGGCAGCCAAGCGCTTGTGAACGTGCCGCTCATAATAACACGATCAGCACCAGAGGTCCTCCATCTATCCTCTTCTCCGCGCGCATTCAGCCAGCAACCATGTACACACATCTCCTTTCCGGGGTAGGAGATGAAGTCTGCGAGAATACGTGCAAGGAGTGACGTCACGTGCGAAGTGGAGGCAGGAGGGTGCGATAAGATAAGGCCAGGCAGCTATTATTATAGGTCTCAGGCCCGCTGTGACGCAAAAACGGGCCACCCTCCGTCGAAGACTTCGGCCGCGCTCGGCGCGCACAGCTCATTCTTGAGCTTCGCTGGCAGAGAAGGATGTCTGCCCATCATGGCGTCAATGCGTTGCACAGCGGTCCAGCCCCGGTCTCGAAGACGCAGCGAGCGCCACGGCTGCGGCTCCCCATTTGCCCGGGCATTTTAAGAAGCGAGCCAGCCAAGCTTGGAAACAAGCGAGCCAAGCTAGGGAAGATGCCGAGCGGCATCAGACTGCACTGCCCGATGTTGTGAAAAGCGGGTCGGCTATTCGCAGGCGGTGTTGCTCACAGCCCCGAAGGATTCGGCCATGAAGCAGTCAATGCTGTCGTTATGTCTTCGAAAACGTTCACCGCCCTACCTGCGGCTCCCGGCTTGGGTCATTTTGCGGCACGCCTTCCTGTCGATCCATCTCCTGTGGCGCCGCTTGTCTATGAATACGCTGGCCATTTGGCGCCGGTGCCTGAGTTTGGGGGCCGCAGCAATGCATTTGGGGGCCACAATTGCCCGACTGGGCATCGCCGCTCCAACCGCACCTTCAACCAGCTGTGTTGCCTTGCATGGCCCCAGTCCATCTATCCACCCGTGCGGATCCAGCAAACCTAAACCCTTTGTCTATATAACAATCCACCTGCCCTCGCAGTCTCGCCGCACCAGCCTACAGCACACTCGTAATCCTCCGGCCCCCACCCGCACATCATCGCGTCCAAACGAGCTAGTCTTGCGCAGAATCCTACCAAATCATATCTTAGCGTCATCATGGAGAAGCAAACCACTGGACGTATGTCATCCCCCAGCTCCCTCCTCTTCCCTTTCTCTCTTTTCAACAATTGAGCTGCCCCTCTGCCCTGCACCACCATGGCTACTGCTGCGCCGTTGCACGAGGCCGAGAAGGTCGCCGAGCAGCAGGACGAGAAGCCAAGCGTCGCACCCGCAGAGCAAACAGAGGAGAAGAAGACCGCCGAGGATGTGGCACCCGAACAGCAAGCTGCCGTGCCTGCGCCCTCGTCAGACGAGAAAATCCCCGTCGAGCCGCAGCTTGCACCCTATCCGCCCTCCTCGGTGGCGTTGTCGCCGACATTGTCGCCAGCACTCTCCTCTGCCTCAGTCCCCGGCTCGCCATTCACCGCAACCGCAACCACTCCACCGCCGCCTTTGAGCGCCATTTCTTCCACAGACACTGACAAGGTTGCCGTAACACCAGTCATGGGCCAATACCCCACCGACCCTTCCCAGCAGCCGCCTGCGCCTATGTACCCCGACCACACCGGCTCCACCAGCCCTCACCAGCAGTACACTATCCAGCCGGACCACGCCTACCACCAGCAGCCGCCCTATGATCACAACCAGTACTACGCCCAGCAGCAGCAGCAACAACAACAACAACAGCACCCCGGCGCCCAGCAGTACCGCACCGCAACTCCCATCGCCAATTTGAACCGCTCTCCGGCGCCTGTTGACTGCCCTGCTTGTGGCCACCGTGCTCTGACCGCCACCACCTTCCAGACCGGCAACACCACTCAGTAAATCAACCCACACATCGATTACTGTTCTTGAACTAACGCATTTTACAGCGCCTGGGCCTTTGGCGTCTGCCTCTGCCTCTGCCTCGGCTGCATTCCCTACCTGATGAGCAGCACCAAGGACGTTCAGCACAAGTGCGGCAAGTGCGGTGTTCTCCTCGCCACCTGGCACCGCTCTGGCAACACCGACGTGCACATGCACGCATAAAGCGCTCTCAACCCGTCTCATCCCAAGAGATTCTTCGATTTCTCCATTCTCTCCATCATTTTATTCATCATGATACCTCTCTGTACAAGTCTACATATCTCTGGCGGTTAAGACATCTCGCAGACGGATGCGGTGGTGGCTGGAGTTTGAACGGCTGGCTTTTGTTTTTTGTAATGGTAGAACTTTACGTATGAATGCCGCAATGCCTGCAGTATTTCGCAGCGACGGTTGGCAAAATGGTAAACACTAGAGACTAAGATCTCTTAATTTTGAAAAGTCCTGTTTTCTTCCAAGATCTACATGTAACGTCGCTTTAAGCAGCAACGGTTTCAGGGTAGTGGCGTTGCACGACCGCTTTAGCGGCAACTACGGAGTCTCTTTGTTCGTCGATGAGGAACATCCCCAGGCGCTGTATGATGAATGTGTCTTTCACGTCACATATGCTTTCCACGCCCCCCCTTGCTGAAGCCTGGACGTTTTCGTACACCTTTGCGCGCTGACGCCCAGAAACGCTAACAATAGCCAACGCCATGGACAGCTTTTCCGCCAAGAGAGCCAGAGCTCGCGCGTGGCTTTAGCTCGGTTGCGCTAGGAACGTACCGTACGTTCCGTCTACGGTTACGCTTACTGCTTGGCAGTGCGGAGGACGGGAGGTGCCGGTGCATGTGAAGACCCACTTGCGGACGGCGGCACGGGGGTTGGCCCACAGGGCTGAGAGGAAGCAGATCTGCACGAGGCACGAGATGAAGAGTTCCTGTTGAGACTTAAATTCGTCGAGCTTGAGTTTTTTTCCTGTTTATTTATTTGAGAACTACAGCTCTGACGATCGCCGTTGACGCGGACGGTCGGAAGGAAATGACTCCGGAAAGTTAGGAAGGTCAATAAGAACAAGACTTCGTTCTTGCCTGACTTTTGCTCCTGCCTCTTTTCTAGCTGTTCTCAGTGTGAGAAGACTAAGCTTGAAGAAATGAAAGGGGTTAGTGCATTGTCATTGCTTTTGGATATTGATGAATGTCATCAACTGAGGACAACACGTCTCAGCACCTGGGGGTCAGGGTAAATCAATAAAAGTTGCGAGGACTCTCAGAGTCACAAGAGGAGAAAAGCGAAAGTGAGTTGCGGTCATTGGTGAATGTTTCATCGCATCGGGCGGCATAGTCTTGAAGATACACTGAGTAAGCCAAAGAATGAATGAAGCGGGCAAAGGATCCGTTTTTAAAGCCTTGCAAACATATTCGTGGATATATGCTGGTGGTAAATTCTTCTGGAGGGGATTCGATGCACAGGACGCGGCAAGTTTGTTGCCTCATGACGCAAGCTGCAATGAATATCGTTCTCACGTGTGCACAAAATCCTAGTCAACTGTCTGCGGAATGTATTTGCGATGCTCTGGTGACCAGCACTTTCACTAGCTTCGAATCGACATTAAAACTTTGAAGTACTTACTCTTGTCTCCTTTCACAGCCATATCAAAGCCATTGTCTAGATAGATGAGTTTGATAAATGGTTACACAATGGCGGTAATGACTTGCGCGGTTTTCTGTTCTCCGTTGCTGGAAAATTAGCTCGTATGCTTTTCAAGGTAGGAAATCGTGACGTATCATCAGCCAATCTGCGGGCTGGCCCCCAGTATTTGTGAAAAGTGATGGAGAACGAGTTTTAGATGAACTGAAGAGAAGATCTTTCGTAGCGACATGTTCGCAGGCCACCATGTGTGTAGTTGGCGTAACGGGATACAATCAGTTGTTGTCCCCAGTCGGATTTCCCAGTAGGCTAGGTTGCTTGACAGAATGACGTTGCTCGGTGGCAGGTTGCTGAGAGTGGCATTGAGTGCCACGTCGTATAGTTGCATATATTTAACTTCTTCCCATGTTACCGAATATTTCATAGTTCCGTCCGTTTGCGCTTTGCGCGAAAACTTCTCGTCCGTGGGCTTCCCAAACGTCGAATGCCTATAAAGCATGAATTTGGTGCTTTGCTCAGGCATAGTGTGGTCTTGGTCGTTCTGCTTCGGAAAGGCGATGGCGCGGCGGGACTGTAGGATGATGCAGAACTTTTCGAAGATTACGTAGCAGGAGTTGTCGCATAAAGAATCGCCTCGGCAAAAACCAGTGTTGCGAAGGAAATCTGTAAGCTTGCCTTTTCTCTGTTGGAATCATATCAGTCTGCCAAAAACAAGCACCAACAATATTAACAGCATGTGATAAATGGCGCTATTCGTTCTTATATTTCAACGTGTTACTTAAACGTATCGAAAAATAAGAGAAAGCATTGGCTGGGATCCCATTTAGGTACACATTGAGTGAAAGATGCGAAACGAACCAGTCAAGGGAATGCAGCGGGACGCTTACGTGCAGATGATGCCCAGTGCATGATCTACAGCGCCGGGCCAATCGTCATGCGACATGACTGAACGCAGCACTGCTCATGCATTGACACGTAGAGCACCAGAACATGGTGAGGGGCAGTGACTATATCAAAATATTGCAGATTTCATAATGCCACCGTGAATATTCCTCTTCGTCTCAGCACGAATATTTGCGACATTGAAAATGGCGACAATTTCCGAAGTCAGGCCCGACGGCGTGCACGTGCTAGACCCTAGAGGAGATGTTATACTGGTGTTGGAAGATCCACATCTCGCACAAGAGAATGCAGAGCCAGAGCCGTCCCCAGAGGAAGAGATGACTCCTCTCATTCCCGAGGAAGCACCTGCCGAAGAAACCACGGACTCAATCCCCGAGTTTTATACGCCGCTTCCTGAGTCTGAAAAAGAAAATCTTGAGCCAGAACCAGAGCCATCTGTGCCCGAAGCGCCCATTCCCGAGCCCAATGGCGACTATCCCGATCCGGACGAGATACCGGTTGAAGTTCCTCCACCTGCACCAGAGCTCGAGCAGGGGCATCACAATACACGAGTACTCGTTTCTTCGAGTATTCTCCGACTTGCCTCTCCCCTTTTTGCCGCCCTGCTGGAGAACGCTGCCACCGAGGACAAAATCCCTAACGAGCATTCGCCCCCAGAGCTGGACTTCACCGACCTCGAAGACCCAGACGCATTTATTAGCCTCCTCAAAATCATGCACCTCCGGACGCGCTCAGTCCCGCGCACTGTAGGACTTGAGAAGCTGACGCAGCTGGCGAAGCTGGTCGACCAATTCGGCTGCCACGAGGCTGTTGAGCTCTTCAGCGACGGCTGGATCGACAGCCTCCAGTCTCACCTACCTACGGACATGGATGGTTTCTCGGAGGACATATGCAGATGGATCTGCATCGCGTGGGTGTTCGGGCGGGAGCGAGAGTTCAAGATTGCGACGAAGGTTGCTCAGCGCTGCGCGTGCAAGCCGCTCGACTGCAGGGAATACCCAATACCCAAGGAAACAATCGGTGCGTTTTCTTCTTTCTATTGTCCCTTCTGTCACCCCTCCCTCTTTCAGCCGCTACCAGCAACCTTCACAAAACAGCATCTAACACGCCCTCCACCCCAGACTCCATCAACCGCACCCGCAACCGCGCCCTCGTCACCCTCCTCCTCACCCTCAACGACCTCGTCGACACCTACCAAACCAGCCTCTCCGCGCCCCGCTGCAGCGACGAGTGCGACTCGCTCGTCCTCGGCGCGCTGACGCGCCGCCTCAAGGCGCGCGGCCTGCTCGAGTGGCTGTCCGACCCGTACCCGTACGTGCCGCACGTCAACGGCCCCGCCATCGTCGCCGCCAGCAGCGTCGTGCCCGACTTCTCCGTCCGCAGCCTCGCCGCGTGGGTCCGTGAGCTGGAGTTGCCGTCGGTGCACGGCAGGCTTTGGGAGGCCGCTGCTGCTGTTGAGGCGCCGCTGCTACCGCCACCGCTGGCACCGGAGGAACCGCCGCTCCCGCCGCCCGCGGTGGAAGTGCCCGATGATGGGGATGTTGTGCAGGTGGTGGAGGCGGTGGTGCCGGGCGGCGGCGGCGAGCCGGATGATTGGGGCGTGTGGGGCACGTCGACGGTGAAGGGGAGGCGGAACAAGAGGAAGGTTGCGCTGCGCGAGGAGGTCCCGCCGCCGCCGCCGCCGTGGTCGGAACTTGATGCGGAGCCGTGCGATCCGCTGGCCGGGACGAAGGCGCGGGTGGCGGAGATTGAAGCGGGATTGCGCGGACTGGATATTGAGTCGTTGAGGATTTGAACTGCTTTTCTGGATTTACCAGTTGTCTTAGCATGGCTGCTGCGCATATTGGGGGAAGGAGCGTGCCGATGAAAACTCATTGCTTTTCGGAACATACACAATTGGAGTGAAGAAGTATTAATATGACTTCCATAATCTGTGTGAAAGAATTTGTTGCCTACACAGCAGCTGATAGGTCTGCGATAAGTGGGATCTGTGCCCTACGCCTATATATTGGAACACTGGAGGCTATGATGGCCTGTCATTGCCTCTGTAAGTCAAACCGACGGCGAATGTTCCTCAATAGACCATTCATGACTCCGTTTTACACAAGAAGGCACCAAAAAACTTCCTGGCCTGCAGTCTGCATTTTAGTTCACACTTCCTCTCTTCATTGGTCCTCTTTGTGCTACTGCTTGCTCTGATGGTACGAGCTGATACTGATTTTCAGCACAGCAAAATAATGACACGGATCATCATTAGTCATTTATGATGGCATGCAACAATGGCGAAAGTCACTGAGCTCTGTATAAAGTCGAACGAGAGGTGAAGAATAAGGACAAAGGCATGGGGAATGGAGAAAGCAAGATTCAGCGGCACACCCGAAGAACAAGAAAGTTTCACTAGATGTTATACCTTTTCATACTTTGTCATTATGTTCATGGAGGTCATGTTGTGGAGGAGAGCAGAGGCAAGAATGACGTGTAGCGAGGTTTTATGTTCAGCGAGTAGGTGTGAGGTCAATTCCAGGAGGACACGTGCGAAGGGATCTGTTTCGCTGATCAAGAGACCGAAATGAAGATGTAATTGATAACTCCCATGCCATTCGAAAGACTGAAAGGTCACGAGAACCGTGATCGTGTTCGCTTCAGTGCCAAATGTTCTTCCGAAACGTGATATGTTCAGTGTAACCAGGGATTGTTGGATCAAATAATCAGCGGGTGGCTTTATTAGGCTGCAGTTAGTTTCTGTAGCATAGCTATTAGATAGACAAGTTCTGGGCATGAGATGGAGGACTCAAGAGTAAACTCAATGATTCCCGTGCGGCATTCTAAATAATGCCGAGTTACCAGAGTTCATTGAGTGAAACGAAGGGCGGTGTGAGACGTTTTTTTTTTCTTTTGAAAAGAGTGGTTTAGCATTCAGTGATTGACGTATGTCGCGGAGTCATCTGCTTCGGTCTTCGAGTCGTCGGGTAACTTGAGATCTAGCGGGAAACAGATCAGACCACTGCAGAAAGCTGGAATGCAATAACGCCTCTAACAATCAGCCACTACTACCGCCAAGAAAGTTCCACGGTCGCCCCTGCCAAGCGGCCGCCATGGCGTAGACTCCCTTCCTGCGAGCTTATTCCATCAGCTCACGGGCGCAGCGCAATTTCAAGGATTGAACGAGGAGATCCTTTGACAGATGCAAGAAGCATCCGAGCCGTATTCCACGCTAAAATGAGCGTTTTTATTTCTTCTTGTTCTTACTCCTTGACACAACAGCAAGGCCTTGTGCAGTAGTTGCTTTTTCCGTGCCCCACGCGCATGATGCATGCATAGACCTCGCCGACCTGTCACAAAAGTCTCGCAAAAAGGCCGACTCGCCCTCTAGTCTTCCCGTCATCATCTGTTCAAGTGGCTGGAATGCAAGAAATCAATGGACTCCTGTAGTGGATGCCGCGATGGTGAACTAGGGCTTGGAGGCGTAGAATAGAAAAAGGAAAGACGATGCGGCGCAGGCCGGGGTATGGAGCCGAGAATACCGCCAAATAAATGCATGGCAGGTACGAGGTAGGGAAGCAGGAAGGATGCGGCAATTGAAGGAGCTGCAGCTGCGCCATCCCCGGCCATGCCCGTCTTCTGTGGCTTGTTTTTTTCTCAGCTCGTCACCCATCGCACTGCAGCAGCGAGCACGCTCCTGTCACCTTTAGCTCTCCGTCCCCGCGGGTGCGGGCAGTCTCCACCGAAAGGCCGTTGAGGCAAAAGCAACGCCAATAAACACGAGAACGCACGAGAGATTGAGAATCTTCAGTTTCCGGCCACTTGCAGGTCCTCCCTGCTCTTTCCCCCGACGGCCCCTTTCTCTCCGCCCGCTGCGAATCGGGTCTTTCCCGTGACACAACGGAGCCACCGCCATTGCCATCTGCCGTGCAACACTATGTTTCAACCCCCAGATCCCGGGAATCTCGCCACAAGAAGACTTTCAGCCATGAGAAAACCGCTGGGCTGGGACGCCTCCAATACATTCATACATACAATTATCGGAACCTGCCACTCTGGGTACGGTTGTTGGGATTCGATCAGATTGGGTAGTCTGCTGCTCAGCTTGGGAAGCCGGCGTACTTATTTATCTCGTACATCGCTAGAGGATGACCCAGTCACCTCAAGCAACAAGCTCAACTGCGACCTTCTGTGTTTTGTGGGGAAGCCGAATTTCTTTTTCTCTCCTGCGAACGCTCGTTTTGCCTGTTCAAGGGTCACGCCGCGCCGAGAAGCTGCGACTGTTCACAATCGTTCCTGCCATCGCCCGCCGAGCAAAAGGCCAGCAGCCTTCGCCGTTTTTAATAAGAGAACCTTTCCACCAGCAAACTACTTTTGATTACCTCCAACAACACCTACGCATCCATCCCTACCCTAAAAAATTGTCCGACAATGAAGTTCTCCTACGCTGCCATCGTTGCCATCTCGGCATCTTTTACGTCTGCTGCCTACACCGCCGCCGATATTCCCAGCTGCGCCGTAAGTCCTCAACGATTCCAAGCCAGGCGCACATGCTGACTGATTTGCCTCTTGTAGATTTCCTGCTTCGAGACCGGCGCGCCTCAAGTTGGCTGCACCGTGACCGACCAGACATGCCAGTGCGCTAAGGCCTCTGAGCTCACCGACAAGATCACTGGCTGCGTGACGGATGCATGCTCGGTTGAGGATGCGCTGAGTAAGTGATGACTATCCACTTCCTTTCTTCACCAAGTCTGCTAACACAATCAACGCAGAGACGCAACAAGTCTCAAACGGGATCTGTGAGCAGCTCTCCAGCTCCGCATCCTCAGCCGCCGCGACCTCGACTGCATCCGCCTCCGCCTCAGAAGGGTCCTCGTCAGTCCCCATCACCTCATCTATCAGCGGCATCTCTGCACCCTCCAACAACACTACGAGTGCCATGATCACCACCCCGCTACCATCAAGCAACGCGACTGCACTGATGACGTCGTCTTCGGCTGCTGCTTCCTCCACCACCACCTCTACAAAATCCTCCACCAAGACAGCTTCTTCCACTAAGACTGAGACGGCTGACAGTGACTCTTCTTCTACAAACAGCGCCTCGGGAACAGCTAGCGCGGCGAGTTCGTCAAGCACCGCGAATGCAGGGAGTGTGGATCGGCTTGGAGAGAATTTTGGTCTGGCTGTTGCGATAGGCCTCGGCTGCCTCATCGCTGCTATCTGATCGGATCCTGATGGGGAGGCGGAGAGGTTTCGTGTGAATGATGGCGTTGGGAAAGCAAGTTTGTGTTGTTTTGTGGGCTAGCGAGCACTCGATAGCGTAATACTCAAGCATTGATGGCGTCCTGGAACTTTGCTGCCCAAGCTGTGAACTCGTCGTCCTTACCATCCCAGCTCTGCTTGACCAGCTCGGATGCGCGGACTGCGTCGGCGCTGATCTTCGCAAAGACCTTCTTCGCTGCTTCGCCATCGAGATCGTAGTAAGCGCTCGCCATTTCGTCCACGGAGTCCGGAATCGACTGTAAGATGTCCAGCAACTTGTCCAAGGTTTCCACACTCGCATCGCCACCAGGATACGTCTTCAGCCTGCGCTTGACCAGGGCTTGGTACAGCACGGTTATTGTCTTGGCCTTCTTGAGCGACGCCTCCAGCTGTGCCCTCAGCTCCTCGTTGCCCTTGCCCAGCTTGTCACCGCCGCTGAACATATCCTCCACGCTGTCTCCCTCGTCCCCGCTGTCGTCCAGGTCATCTTCATCGTCATCATCCTCCCCTTCCTCTCCCCACTCCTTCAACTCCTCCACCGCGTCCAACAATGTTGCCCTCCACCCCTCCACCTTCCCGACCACAACCCCAACCATGCCCTTGTCCTTGACCTCGATCAAGGCGTCGCACGCCTCCCACACCAAACCCGTACTGCTCAACGCATCCCTGCCACCATCCACCTTCTTCCCGACCTTCTTCTTGCCGCCCTCTCCCTCCACCGCCGCCAGGACCGCCTCCGCCCTCCCCCGCACCTCGACGACCTCCTCCGCCACGGCGCTCACGATCCTCCGCACGCGCGCCCGCACCTCCCTCTCCACGACGGCCGGGAACGCGCGCTTCTGCTGCTCCTGCGCCTGCGCGACGGCCTGCGCGCCGCCCATCATGGCCGGCAGCACGGCGGCGCCCATCTCGCGCAGGACCTTGGCGATGGCGGTCGCGGTGAAGGGGTCGTTGATGAGCAGGAGCGAGAGCTTGGTCGTGTGCGCCTTGAGCAGCTTGGCCGAGTCGGCGAGGAGCGGGAGCGGGTTCGTTATGCTGGTCGTGTCGGGCAGTTTGACGGGGTCCGTTCGCGAGGTGGCTGGGGATGGGGACAGGGTGATGAGGAATTGGTCGAGCAGCGCGGAGGTCGAGGTGGTGAGGTCGATGAGCGCTTTGAGGTCGTCGCGCGTGGAGGCGGGTTTGGGAGGCATGGTTGCGAGGTTTGTGGGCTTGGGTTAGGGTGATTGTTTTGGCTCACGCTGGGAGGCGGGTGGAGGGGATTTCGAGTCGAAGAGCTTCTTTTTGTGAGAGCGATCAAGAGTATCGAGATGTTTTTGTCTTGTCACTGCTGGTAAAAGTGGAGGGAGTGTGGGGTGGTGTTTAGCTGCCTGGCGACGAAAATTCAAGATTACTTTTTTGAGTAATGCGACTCACTCCCGAACAGTTGAATGACTCGTATGGTTACGTCATCAATCGCTTGAGTCAACCGCTCCGTTTCCGCCTTCCCACTCAGCTCACCGTCGGACAACAGCCTTGCAGGAAGATGCTGCCCTGCTCAACGACTTGCACAGCATCAGAGGGCGTTTCTGCTGACCAAACGCAGTCGTGCACCGTCTTTACCCACGCCCGGTTCTTATCAGTACAAAACCTGCTGTTGCGATAGACTCCCTCGCGACCGTGTTTTACACAGCTCGCGCTGTACCACCTACACGACTATCATCGTCACCATGGGGTCATTGCATTCTTTTGATGTCTACGCCCGCACCTTTGTCCCGGACGACCTTCGCTCAGTCAACCTCCAGCCCGCTGTCGTGCTTGGAACTGGCCAAAGTTATGCCGTCGACTACGAAGCCTACGCCGCCAGCTTCATACCGCCTCTGTTTCTACACCACCGCCCTGTCGCTGATGACCTATTACAGAGCCGCGCTACGGATGCGCACCTTATCTACCTGTATCGGTGCCTTAAGGACGAAATGTTGGCTCTTCATACGGAAATTGCGAGCCGTTCTCTGTACAAAGTTACCGTGGCCATATTTGATCACCAAGATGGATCTAAGCGTGGCCTACTACACATACCAGGGCTTCGCGAGAACAGCCCTCCAATCGAACTCGAGGACGTTGTGTCACTGCGGCAACTCAATGTGAACAAGCCCAGCTGGCAAATCGGCTTCACAGGGGTTCAATTCGATGCCCGTGTACACTCAATTGACAGAGGCAAAGAGACTGTTGTGCTTCGAATCAACCACTGTGGATATTTGATGCCTTTCAGCTCGGATTTCAACGTATCTTTCAACTTGTCATTCGAGCGAATTGAGGCTCAAGGACTCTCGCTCGCACTGATTCAAGATTTGCTTAATCAAACGACATCAACATCAACTAATGGAAGCTTAACGCAGTCATGCAAGCACACCGATGATCTTGAGAAGCTCAAATGCACAGAATGCATTGATTCGGGTCCACACGAGTCGGAACCAAACGCTTGGATGCGTCGAATGCTGTTTCCAGAAAACGAAGATGGAGCTTTACAGACGAATCTCACCCATCTGGCTGAGCGGCAGTATTTCGATGATGAGCTAAATTTTGAGCAGCAGAAAGCTGTGGACTCAGTGTGTCAGCGGAACTATGGCGAAGTGCCTTTCTTGATCGATGGTCCACCTGGAACAGGCAAGACCAAGACTATTGTGAGTTGCCTGCACCTCATATACTTTTCTGTGCTCCATTCATTTCCCAGAGACCTTCCCGTGTGGTCCAAATCTACCTTAATATCATCTCTTTTCCCAAGCGAGGCGAGACATCCGCCCCCTCGGATTGCTATCCGACCCCCTATTTCATTTTGCTTTTGGGCGTGAAGCCTTACTGAGGGACGTAACAACCCGCTTGCTGATCAAAAAACCATAAAGAAGATGCCTATTCTCTTTTGACTTTTTCAAACAATAATTGCTCACACTGTCACAGGTCGAATGCGTGCTGCAACTCGTTTCAAGCAAACAGCGTATCTCGCATATCCTGCTCTGCGCACCATCTGATCCTGCAGCAGATAGCCTCGCCGAGCGGCTCAGCCAGCATTTGAAGTTCGGAGAATTCATACGGCTCAATGCATCGACTAGAACCTTTGCTGAGGTGCCCCAACGGCTTATGCCGCACAGCTGGATTGACGGTGATCATTTCGGGTTGCCCCCATTTTCTCGGCTGATGGCCTACAAAGTCGTCGTCGTTACTTGCAGGGATGCGGCTATGCTGGTCTCAGCAAGGCTTACGAACAGAGACTTGTTCACACTTGAGCACGGTATCAGAACTGCGGTACACAATGAAGTGCCGGTGGAGATAAGACTTCACTGGGATGCACTTCTGATAGATGAGGCGGCACAAGCGACGGAGCCCGAAGCCGCAATTCCTATCAGCGTGGTCGCACCGCCTCGCTTCAAAGAAGCTCTTTCTACTAACCCGCTCTTCGTAATGGCAGGTGATCAGATGCAGCTCGGACCACGCGCGAAGACGGCAGCATTGAGGACCAGTCTCTTCGAACGACTGTTCAATACACCGTTATACAAGGATCATCCTCTGGCCCGCAATAAGTCGATGGAAGGAGCGCCAGCCAAGCCACTAGACAAGACGATGCTACCCATCACTCGACCGCCCTTCTCGAACCTTGTGCGCAATTACCGCTCACACCCAGCCATTTTGGCCATCCCCAGTGCGCTCTTCTACTACGACACCCTGGTTCCAGAAGCCAGCGGCACCGCCTCCCTTCACGCGTGGACGGGCTGGCGCGGTCGCCGCTGGCCCGTGCTGTTCAAGGCTATGACGGCGACTGACGAGATGGAGGGCTTAGACGACGGTGGAGGCTGGTACAACGTGGGCGAGGCGCACGAGGCCTGCGCCACGGCGCAATCGCTCATGCGATCCGGTCTCATCCAGGATGAGCGCGACATATGCATCATGAGCCCCTTCAGCACGCAGGTGCGCCTCCTGCGCTCCATGATGCGCAACAAACCGTACAGCATGCGCGGCGTCAACATTGGGCCGACGGAGGCATTTCAGGGTCTGGAGGCGCGCGCCGTCATCCTCTGCACCACGCGGACGCGGACGCGCCACCTTGTCTCGGATGCGGAGCGTGGGTGGGGCATCGTGAACGAGCGTAAGCGGTTCAACGTCGCGTTGACCCGTGCCAAAGAGGGCCTAATCGTCATTGGCAATCCGCACGTACTGGCCACGGACCCGTGCTGGGCGGCTCTTCTGAGCTTCTGTCGTCGGCACAGCCTCTGGATCGATTGTGCTGAGGAAGCAGCGAAAGGAGAGAGGGCTCCAGCTGCTCCTGCCGCTCCTGCCGTTGCCGGCGGTGCTTCCTCGTGGCATTCCTTTCCTTCGCCCGGGCCGGGCCTTGATACCGGCGCCGTTGATTCTAGCGGGCAGTGGCTGGCTGCTGACAGCGAAGACCACATCTCGACCCTCGAAACGGGCCTCGTGGCGAAGGAGCAGATGGGCCGGGACATTACTTCAGATTACGCGCGATTCATGGACGCGGGGACGAACGTGGAGTTGTGGGTGTTGGGAATGAGGGCGGCAATGAGCATACCCGAGGATGAAAACGAAGGTGATGAACAGCCGCGGAGCAGCGGGGATGCGCGCGGCAGAGACGGCTCGCTCAGAGTGATTCGAGGCTCAGAGGGGATGAGAGCAGCAGTTGATCAGAGTGAAATGAAGCTTGGCCGCAATTTGGCTTACTATTGATGTGCTAGAGCTGCCATCTGGCTGACTGTAGCGGGAGCTGGGATTAACGGGGGGCCCTATTTGCTTGAGAAGGCAGATCAAAAGCATGGGGTGCCCATGGGCCAGGTCGGAATTGTGCGCGCATGGCCGCAACGGTATCCGAGGGCAAGGCGTCATGAGGCTAACTACAAGGCACGGGTGATCGCACGCGGAAGAGGTGGCGGCGGCACTAGAAGAAGCGAAGAAGAGGGGGGGATTTGGCTAACAAACGGCTCGACAGCGACTCGGTCGAAATGGTACGATCAAGGAGAAGTCCTGCCTTGGTTCGATGGCTGCCAATTCCCTTCAGCTTTCTCGGCGAGCACAGACAGACAGACAAACAGCTTTAAGGTTACCCCCGGGGGACAGCGCGGCTTCCGTGGATCCGCCAAAAGCAACGATATCACAGCCGGTGTGCAAAGTTCAGCAAAATTGCGGCATTTCATGGAGCAGCAGATCGACAGCGACGGCCATGATCGAAGGATGCAGCTGGCGTAATAATCCTAAGACGCCGTTCAATCTAGGCCCCGGAGGGCAGACGCAATCCTCAAACGCTTCCTGGCAGATTTGCTTCAGTGTGGCGGAAGGTAGCGGCTTCGAGGCTTGGCGATGAGGGCTCTGCGGGATCCAATGGGTCGAGGCGGAGCGCGTCCGCAGCACTGGACCGAGGAGCCTCGTGGCGCATCCCCTGAGCGTGCGACCGAGAGGCCAGCCGAGGTGCGAGTCACGATCATACACTGGCCAAAACTTTAAGGCGTCTAGCCTCGACGTTGCGCGATCCAAGCAGCCTGGAGGCGTTCCCGATCCCCTTTTTTGCCCTTTGCAGTATGGCTCGGATCCCTGTCACTTCCACAACCGGTTACCTGCCGGCCCGAGCGTGGTAAGGCTTTCGTTGGCGCTGCCCAACCAGCGTGCTCGACTGCGTCCCTCTCAGAGTTTTGATGAAAATCTGATAACCTTTGTTGAATCATGGGCCCGGGTCCGCCGCGTTGCGCTGCGCTCCGCCAAGCTGCTGCCCGACGAAGCCGTCCGCCCGCGCCCCGGTCGTCACACGCAATGTCTGTAGCGGAGGAAGCTTGTTCGCCAGACGTTGGAAGCCCATTACTAGGCCGGGCCCCCTCCGGCCGAACCCCCACACTCTCATCCCACCTCCACCACACTATGCAGCGACTCGACGTTGCGTCCATCGCAGCACTATGGCCCTGAACATCACGAGCACGGCCAACATCTCGAGCACCGCCACGTACAAGCTGGTCAATTCGTGGAGCCATGGGGCCCTCGCCCTCGAGCCGGGCGTGCCAGACCTGCAGCTGTGCGCCAGAAGCCCCAACAGCAGCGACAGCAACGGCAACTCGACCGTGCCGCTCGAGTTCCAGTTCCGCACCACCGACAACTCCGGGGACTTCAACCTCTGCGCCGCCGTCCACGACCAGACGTACTGCCTCGATGTCTACAACGTCCAGAAGACGGTGCCGCATCTGACGCCATTCGGCTACTATTCGGGCCAGTATTGGACCGTGGAGCCCGTCGACGGCGAGGTGCGCTTGTCAAACGAGTGGACGGGGGCTGGCTGGTTCCTTGATGTCTACGAGGGATCGTACAATACGTTTTTGAGCAACGACGCGGATTATGCTGGTCACTACTGGACGTTGGAACAGGTGGCCGAGAACGTGGCCCTGCCGCCGAACGCGCCCGCGGTAAGTTTCTTTGCGCTGTTTCTTTTTTTTTTCTTGCCACGTCTATCCGATGAATATTATTTCTGGAGGCTGGTGGACGCACGGGAAAGAAGCTTGAGTGAAAATTCATTCACCAGCCATCATTGGAAAGCAGTCGTTTCTGTGTTGTACAAGAATTTCCTTTACTCTACGACCCCAGGCATGTTACAAAGAAGCCCGCAAGGTTACTAACGCATTACAGGTGGATGATTCAACGACTGACGGGAGTGCTGGAAGTGGAAATAGCGGTCTTTCGACTCCAGCCATTATTGGCATCAGCCTTGGAGGAGGAATCTTCTCGGCCACGATTGTACTGGTGGCATTAGCACTCCTATTCCGGCGGTATCGCAGAAAATGCAAGTACGACCGAGATCGGCTTGCGGCAATCGAGGCGGCAGAGCATCCAGCCGACAACAATCGCCAGCAATTCAACGCATCGCCAAATTCTCAAACTATCCTGGACCCGATGGGCAACAGCAATTCAAACTCCACCATTTGCGGACAAACGAACCCCCAGACAGCAAATTGCAACGTCAGCAGCGTCCCAGTCGAGTTGGAATCCCCTATGGAAGCGCGTTGTGCTGTCCACCACGGAACATTATCATACTTTCCCCAGCGCAACGGGCAGCAGCCCCGTGGCTCTGTCTACGAGCTCCCAGCGAACTTCGAAAACCTAATCAGCCCCGTTCCATCGCCCAAGCCGTCTCACGCTGGCTCGCTCCACCGCCAGTACAACGCCGACGAAAAGGATCCCACGCTCTTCAACCAACATAATCCCCACCTTTCCACGATGACTACTACCACCATGTCCTCGACTGTAACCTCATCCCTACCTACCTCGCCCGTCTCGGCGAGATCCCGCGCGACGTACCAAACCGCGCGCTGGGAGGAAGTCGTGCCAAACGGCCGCGGCGAGATCGTATTCAGCACGAACGGCATGATGGCATCGCGCGCATCCAGGTCTCTCAACACTCACGCGGGCGCCGGCACCTTTCAAAGCGCCGTCAGCGTCACCTCGGCGCCACGGGAACAACTCCCACAATACCACCCCCACCAACAAGACCAGCAAAAACGAGACTACCACAGCTGGGCGAACGGCAACACCAATCCCACGTGGCCATCGTCGCCGTCGGCTTCGTCGTCGCACACCAGCAGTCCTGTTAACGGGGGAACGGGAACGTGCGGTGTCAACGACTGGTACGCCAACACGGCCTTGAGCGAACTCCACGCCCCGCCGCCAGCGGGATTCGAAGGCTGGGGAAGCATCTTCGAGGCCGACGCGGGCGTTGACGGAGACGTTGGCAGGCAGGTGCACGAGGCGGGCGGGCGCGAGGTTTTCCGGATGGTGGACCTGCCGGCGAGCCCCGACAGGGACGGAAGAGGAGACGGTGAGGTCAGATGGGCGGAGGCGATGAGGAGATGATGATCGGAGATGGTTGCTCGTTCTTTCCAGAGCGCAGGCCGAGACGACGACGGACGGACTTGAGGTCACAGTATTACCTTTTTCTCTTCACTGCCACCACACCTTTTTTCCGGTTGTCTTTATATTTGGCGTTTGCGTCTCGCACGCTCTTGGCGGGACTATCCAGCGGCAGCGTGCTTTTTTGGTACTACGACACGAGCTCGTCTACGAGGTTTCCTTTTTTGATTCCCTTTGTTGTTTATAAAAAGCGGCGATTATGATATCGGCGTTCGACTAATAATTTGGGGTCACGGAAGACGGGACGGTGTATCACGGATCTGGCATCGGAGATGATGGACTGTTTACGTCTCATAGGACAAACTGGGTACGGGAGCACTAAGACGGCTGGCGTTCTGATCTTGAGTCCTATTTTTTTTTTCCCCGAAGTCTGCAGCATGAGTCTGCTGGAGGCTGGTTTGATACTACGGGGCTCTCATCCACATGGTCCTCGCTATTCGAGGCTTTGTTTCTGTTCTTTTATCCACGAGATATATATTTGTAGTTATATTTGTGGACGAAAAATACCATCTTACGCAAAAAAGAGAAGTAAAGCAGTCATACAAACGTGTACTACTACAACGTCACTTCATAGATGATGAAGGCTGGAAATCCCGCATACGATGTCTCAGTAGAGAGGGGCATAGGCAGGTACAGACAAGACGGACCGTTTCTTACGTACGTAGTAACTAGTTCATGCTAAAGCAAAAGCAAGCCATCTATGCAAGTTACTCGGAAGGGTATGGCTGTAAAGCCAGAATGCGAACGAATACGAGCATTTCCACGTCAGATAGGACAGAAAAAGGTGCAGGTGACGTATCGGTTACCGGCTCGCGGGTAGCAGCCGGAAGTATGGGTTCTTGCGTGCTTTTTTTCTATGGCCGGTGTACACGGGATATTCACGTTCCGAAAGCGTGGGAATGCAAATATCGAAACGCAGGGGCGGCCTTTGATGGCCACATGACGGCTTTTCAGCTGAAAACTGAGTTTTGGTGTGCAGGAGGTCGCAGGTGGATGCAGTATGGCAGGGAAGTCAATAGAGGCGGCGGAGGTGGTGATTGACCAGAAGGTTGCGGTGGATCAGCGGTGCAACGGAGAGGTCTGTCCGTGCTGAAACGGGAACCAGTGAAATATGAAGCATTACGGGTACGGGTAGAACAGAATAGGACAAAACAAGCGAGGAGCCCGAGGGGCAAGGTTTCTCGGCTGTGGCGGACGGGAAAGTGTGACGGCTGGGACACCGCTTGCCGGTGGTTTCGGCAAATGTACCCCCAAACTTGGAATAAACGTACCAATGGGCCAGGGGGTAAAATAGTTTCCAACCCCTCGGGCCCCAAGAATGAGCGTCACATTCCAGGAGGCGGATGTTGTGAGGGCGAAAGTTGCCGGACGAATTTGGAAATAATTATTAATCTTCGGACGGTTCGGCCTGCGAAAACATACCGGCCGTAAAAAGGTGTTGCATCGGGGACCAGAGTAATCCGGTGTCCAAATATGGTAACGGGTTGGCTAACACGCGACAGTACAAGCATTGTCGGCAAGATAGATTAAATCTCACTCGGATGACATCCGAGCAGAAACGAACGCAAAGCCGTCAGCAACTAGGACCGCTGGAGCCCCACCCAGCGAGTTAGTAATCGGGCATGGTGCCAAGCTGGATGCCTGACGGCTGCTGACGGCGCCTGGATCCAGCCGCGCTCAACGCCTCACATCCCCCGCTTTCGCAGCTCGCCTCGCGCGCTCCCGCTCGCTTCTGCAAAGGACCCCCTTGTCTCATGCACGTACACATGCTCCAAGACGTTCGAACTTGACCGAGGCCCGGCCCCCAAATCAAGGCGGCTGCAGCTTTCCCCAGCAACGCACTGCCCACTGCGGCACAACGGCGCTTCGCCGCCCTCCACATTTTGCAGAATTCTCTTGCATATACGTGAATGGAACTGTTTTGGCTAGGAGAATATTGAAATTTTGCTATATTGGGGTTTACGTCGTATCCATGGTTCACGCGGGCGGCTGGCCGGCACACGCATAACCCGACTTTTGCACAACAAATACGGTGGCCGTATTTGTGCCCCTGGCGCGATTACATGCAAATCAAGATTTACAGGCTAGTGCAGGGCCTTAACGCTACTGTGTGAGTAATAACTCTAAACGCTACCGTGTCGCGTCACACAGCCTCTTCGTGTCGAGCCGATGGCGCGCCGCAATCATCAGCTTTTTACAAGTTCTACAACAGTATTGGCGTTAAAGTATACTGATGATGCTCAAGAAGCTGTAATATCGACATGAGACTCAATGCGTGCTAAGAAAGTTGCGATATTTGACAGTAGAGCAGACCAAATTCCGATTTCTAAGGCGGTGCTCGATCTTTTGAAGTTCAGACTCTAGCGCCTGTGACGTGACACATGACGTATGTGGATTTATCCGCCTTGGGGATGTACAAGCTATGTCACTAACTACATTTCGATCGGCGGGGCTTTTCTCTGGGGCGCGCTAGCTAGCTGGACAGCTCACCTCAACCCTAGACTTGACCCCACGTTCAAACAACACATCGCCTGCCCAATTCATCCAGGACGAAGCAGGTAATTTCAGTTTGATACAAGAAAAAAAAGCTAAAGGGCGCAATCATTCTACAATGCCCGTTACCCTGAAAGTCGCAGACCATAGCGCAGCTGGGTGGAAGAGCGCAGGAATCACGTCGACCGAGGGGCTCCTCAAGGAATCATGCCCCAAAGAGTTCGCCAAAAGCGAGAGGATAATCCAGAGCTCCTTCAGCCCTGCAAAGCTGCGCGAGAACCACGTCTCAGCGTCGCGCAACGGCTTCTTCTGGACGGCGTACCACGCCTACAGCAACCACCACCACCTGGTCATCCGGCCGGAGGACGTGTGGTTCTCGATCCTCAACCAGCTCAGCTTCTTCATCAACGCCAACGCCGAGCAGCTGCGCTCGTTCTTCGTCGCGCACGAGGGCAAGAAGACGCTCGAAGTCGTGTCGGCCGGCACCGAGGGCACCGTCGACTTCGGCGCGCTGGCGCAGTGCATGACGCACCTGATCGCGAAGAACGTCGTCGATCCCGATCTACGGACGTGGGTCATGCCGGCCTTCAGCACGACGACCGAGGAGGACAGGGTCGTCGGCTCCATCCTGTTCATGGGCGCCATGCAGAAGTACTTTGAGTTCAAGATGACCCTCGCCTGCGGCATCCCCTCCGTCACGCTCCTCGGCGAAATCGCCGACTGGCAGGACATCCTCGCGCGCCTCGACAAGCTCGATCAACTAGGCGAGGAACCCACCCGCTTCGCAGAGCTGCTGCGGCCCGTCCTGCGCCGCATGATCCGCTCGTTCGAGGAACCCACGGCGCCCGACGTCGTCGACTTCTGGAACGCCATCGCCCACTACAACCGCGAGTTCAGTGGGACCGACTACATCTCCGGCTGGCTGCCGGCCTTTTGCTTCTGGGACGAGGAGGGCAGGGCGAAGGGGGTGAGGCACCGCAGCTGGGCGGCCGAGCCGGGCGTGTACGCGCTCGATGGCGTCGAGTATCACACCGTCGACACGGACGCCGTGCCCGCCGGCTTCTCGAGCGTGCCCGTCATGTTGGATGATAACGGGAAGCAGTTCGAGACGACCATGGTGGCCGGATCGGTGGGGATTCGGGCTTTCGGGCGGGGGCAGGAGGAGGGACAGGCTGCCGGCGCCGAGGAGCAGCGGGATACTGTGCAGCCGTTGAGCGGTTGGTGGATGTATAAGAACAGGAAAGGGGAAGAAGGAGGAAGAGAGGAAGAGGGCGGTGAGGAGTATACGGTTGAGGTCGAGACTGTCCGTACGGAGCCAGATCCGGTTCAGATAATTGAGGTACCTGAGCCGGCGCCGGCGTAAAAGATGGGCTAGCTTTTGCCTAACGAATTGCAATGCTCTAATATGTTAGATAGGGTAGTCAAAAGAATGTTGTATAAAAAAACTCCTATGCCAAAATCACTGTCAAATATATCGTCCATGCAAATTCGATCAGAGAGCCTCCTGTGGAGCATATTACGAGTTCTTATAGAGTCTTCAAATCTTCACTTACTAAATCACTTGTTTATGTATAATAACTCGATATAATAGCACATACTTAGCTTATATCCCTCCTACACTGTCTTGACTCTTTCGAGTAGAAGTCGATCGAGAAGTAAACGGTCCAAGGGGAATCTAATACCACGTATTTCGCACAATTGTGCAATACAGAATATAAGTTTTGCAAATTTCCTACACCTTCAACCATCCAGCAGATACCTGCTGAATATCTTCGATGGTCTAGTGGTGATGATTTCCGCTTGTCAAAGCATCTGCTCTAGCAAGCGCGGGAGACCGGGGTTCGATTCCCCGTCGGAGAGATTCTTCTTTTTGCCGTTCAGAACAAGATGCAGATCGTGGTGGAGGAGTGGGTGGTTGGGTCAGATGATGCAAATTTTTGCTGTCCGGCAGATCGGTTCGGCAGATCGGCCCGACGCTTTGACTCTGATCGGTGCCGGAACGACAATTATCCGACACCACCGGCTCGCTCGCCGATCTCCTCCCTTTCGGAAACATCTTTTTGGCTTTCTAAGAAAGCTCTGGCAAACTGTTCCGGAAGAGCGCGGTGGGATAATCTAAATATGCTGCTATTTTTGAGGCGGGTCCTGCTTTATAGCCAACACGATATGAAACTTCGGATTGCTTGCTTTTACACCGCAAAGCCTCCTGATGGTAGGGGCGTCTTGGGGGCTAAAAGAACATGGTCAAGTGCTTACTTACACCGCCCCGTTATTTCGTGATGGTTGGTATGATAGGTCTCCCCATGATTTGTTTATAATCAAGTACCCACCATTTCTTTTGGGGCTGCATTTTGTCCTTTCTTCTTTTTTTAATAATAAGTAAAAGATGGTGGACTTCAACTTCACGCCCTACATATACGAGCCACTACCGACGCCCACGTCCATCCGGCTCATCAAGATCATCCAGGGCGGCGACGTGGGGCTGCCGACGCTCTGCGGGCACCGGCTGATCCGATGCGAGATCCAGACGGTCGACCTCGCGTCCAACCCGGAGTACAGCGCGCTGTCGTACACGTGGGACAGCCCGGAGCCCGAGTGGGCGAAGCGCAAGATCGACCTGTCGGCCGACGGCTACGGCGCGACGAGCAAGTGGCCCATCGCGGTGAGCGGCCGCCTCTGCTACGTGCGAAAGAACCTGTACCAGGCCCTCGACCAGCTGGCCCTGCAGTACAGCGTCGACCGCCCCGACCCAGACAACTTTTACAAGACCGACCTCATCTACTACGCCGAATGGGGGTTTCTGGATTGCGTCGTCGACATGATCCAGCGCGGCGCCAGCGTCGGCGCTCGCGACTACTTTGGAGAGACTTCGCTGCACTACGCGGCTGAGAATGGCCACTACGAGATCGTCAAGGAGCTGGTGCGGGCGGGTGCAGATATGGCTGTGTACGACACCAAGGGCAGGATGCCGCTGCACTGTGCCGTGCACCGGAAGCGCGGGCAGTGGAAGAAGGTGGTGCAGTTTCTCGAGGACCCGAACTTCCGGCGCAAGGAGCTGTTGCAGGAGCGTGGGCCCGACAAGGGCGCCGCCAGGAACGAGGAGAGGTGGGATTACGACAAGACGGCGCTTCACATCATGGCCGAACTGGGCAGGGTGGATGCCGTCAGAGCGCTGTTGAAGAGGAAAGCCAGCGTCGAGAGCAAGGATATGTTCGGGGAAACGCCGCTGCACTACGCCGCCGAGAATGGCGAATACAAGATTGTCGAGCTGTTGGTGAGGGCCGGTGCGGATATCAACGCGACGGACGACGAACAGCGCATACCCGTGACCTGCGCGCTCCAAGCGAAAAGGAAAGAATGGGAAGAGACGGTCAAATTTCTCCAGGATGCCGAGTTTCGCCAGAGTGTTCTAATGTGCCCTGAACGGGACAACAACCGTAAGGGCCCTGAGGAATTTATCTGGATCGACGCTCTCTGTATCAACCAGGATGATCTGGAGGAGCGCAGCGCACAGGTCAAGATTATGCCGCAGGTATACGGCAAGGCGCAGTCTGTCTTGGTCTGGCTGGGCAATATGAAGAACTTTTCGGACCGGTCGGGAGGAAATTACGACGAGTTTAAATCGCTGACAGTCGCAATGAAGCGTATGAACAGCGAAGCAGGGGACGTTGAAAGCTTAAAACGGAAGTGGCGCAGCTCATTGCGCGCCTTCACTCGAGGGGACGAAAAAATGCCTGAGGACGGCATATTCTCCAGAGAGGAAATTGCTCAGATAACGCACTGGCTTACCAGATCATGGTTCACCAGAGCGTGGGTGGTGCAGGAGTTGGCGTTGGCAAAGAAAATCAAGATGTTCGCTGCTGAGTTTGAGTTCTCCTGGTCAGAGGTGCTGCAGTTTCTGTGCCTCCTCTTCCACGTTGGATATTTTGATCCTGCATCTTTTTGGCGCATGGATGACGGAACAAAAACAGAAGATTGTGTGGGAGGTGACGGAAGTGAAGCATGGAAACTTGCTGTGATTCGACTACGAACAGCCAATAACCCGGAGGAGTGGGCACTTCTCGAGCCGATATACAAGCAGACCTGGATCGGAGCACCCCATGTTCGTCAAGGCGACAGATTTCCATTATCTCTCCTTCTGGCCGAAACATGGAATTTCGGAACCAAGGATCCAAGAGACAAGGTCTTTTCTCTGCTCAGTCTGGCAACTCCTCTACCTGATTCAAAGCAGGTCAAGATCGACTATTCCGTGCCAGTATCGGATCTGTACACGGACGTGGCATACCTCTTCCTCGACGGATCGGACAATTCTTCCATCTACACTACGGGTACTGGGGCCGCTGGGATCCTCGAGCCACTGGAAGGTTTATCTTACGTCCAAGATCCCTACGTTGGTCCACTGGCCAGAAATCCCAATCTTCCTTCGTGGGTGCCAGACTTCAGCACACCGCTGCTAACCGCTCGTATCTGGAGTAGAAGATTCCAAGCTGCAACTGCCCTGTCTCCAAGCTTCGGTGAAGGTGAGAGCAAATCCATACTGCGCGTGTCAGGGCTGGAGATCGACGAAGTCAAGAAGCCGGAAAGAGAATGGGGAGACTTCGACTTCTTAGAATCAGATGTGCACCTCTTGTTCTATTTCTGTTGTGAAGCATGTCTGGAATATGACAATGCTGGCAACCAGGAACCTTTTCTCGTTGCCTTACTCCGGACACTTACAGTCGATGGGCTTTGGGATACTGAGAATGAAGAAGTTCAGGCAGAGGCCATCAATTCATTCCGGACTTTCTTGTGTAAGTGGCTTCAGTGGCACTACACCTGTTTATATGGTGGTGAAGATGCCTGCTATGGACCGTACACGTACAGCGAGGAAAAGATCCAGTCTCTGACCGAAGCGCCTGACTTCTATGAGAAGTTTCTCGCAACATTTGAAGGGGAAGAGTCGGCAAACGAGGATTTGATGGTATCACTGAAAGCAATGCGGACCAGAGACAGGGCAAATTGCCTCCCGACGGATGACGAACTCAAAGCCGCGCAGATTACCGATTGGTGTGAATTCCACGGCCCGGACTGCACCAGCGAAACAGAGGACCGGAAGATGTTCTTCTCGGTCATGAATACCTTTTATCGAAAGAGAAGCCTTTTCAGGACTACCAGTGGGCGAATCGGATTGGGTCCGCAAACCATGGAGCCGGGGGACAAAATCATCTTGATTGCGGGGGCCCGAACGCCGTATGTTGTCCGTGAGATATCTGAGGAGACAGACGATGAAAGCGAAGATGAAGACGCATCCGAAGACGAGGAAGAGGAGGAAGATGGTGAAGAGGAGGGAGAAGAGGATTTTGAGATTGTTCGAAGTGATGACGGTGAGGATGAGGAGAATGAAGACCCGGAAGAGAGCGAAGATGGAAGAACTCCACGATTCCAGCTTATTGGAGAGGTATACCTTCATGGAGTAATGTACGGTGAAGCTGTGACGGAAGGTGGAAGAAACTTTAAGACTCTCGAGCTCATTTAGGAAGACGTGAGTGTTCTTAGAAACAAGGGTGAAGGGGGTATTTTCATGTTTACTATTTTTGTTGTGATACCAATTTAGTCTCCTGTTGAAGAGATCTATTTTCGTGTAAACGAGGTCTATTGAGCTGGAAAGACAGCTCTTCTGCTCGAGCTCTTGGGATGATCAGCATGCTGGAGTACACTGTCTGCAGAGCTTGGATAGGAAGTATGTACACTCAACAAGCCGAGCCGACACTAACCGAGCCGGGTAAGTTCGGCAGGCTGGTTGCCGAACGGGTCCGAGGCACAGCCGAGCGTGGGGAAAGAGCGTCCGGAACAAAATGATCAGCGACTTGTTGACTGCGGCTATTCTTTTGGTGGGAGAGGCGTTGAGTCGCGTTGAACGGCGCCATTTTCAGAATCGTACGATGTTTTTGTGGTGTTGAGTTCAACAAGCGCTTGATTCCGATGTCTCCGCGCTTCCTTCCGGGCTTCAGCCCGTTGGTTTCCGGGTTGGACCGCCGGCAGTTTATTCCTTCTACACCTCTTCAACTTCGGGTTGATGGATGGCCAAAGCTCCAAGTCAGTACTCAGCTATACTGCAAAAATGTGTGCTCCCGCAGAGCGGTCGCATTAGCCGGGAATGCTTCCTCACTCCTTTGTAACTTGCCTCGCACAACGCGGCTCCTGAAGTTGGACACCAGACCACCGCAGCCACTAACACGAAGATTGGAAAGAGCCGTGACGAGTTTCGAGCGGAGCACTTTTCTAGCGACATGCCTGCTCTTTACCCGTCGCATCTAAAGCAGCTTGTCAACATACTCGAGGAGCAATGAGCGAACGGATTTTGTCGCCTCGTGGTTGGACAACGCGCCCATTCTCATGATGCGGCCTCTCAACCCGACGAAACGGCCATTGGGCCTCCGATCGCGCACTTCTCCTGAAAGGGCCCAACCAAAGAAAATGTCCAACGTCGAACGTCTGGACGAAATTTGAAACGCGCCGTTACCGCCAGATCTCTTTGTCTGGGTGTTTGAGGGCCGGCTTTGGACAATGACCCTGAGAAATCTAATTTCGTCATTGCAAAACACCAACCGAACGACTCCATCAGCCTCACCGGCGGAGGCTTATCGCTCAGCCGCGCTCACCTCTGGAAGCAGTCATGCGCATGCGACCCCGGTTCGAATGTCCCTATCATCGTCGCCCGCGATGGGCGGGGTTGTGGCGATGATTTTGAACACATTTCAGCCTCGCGGGCTATGCTCGAGTGCGGAGAGCAGCTAAATCAACAGAGCCTTGCTGTGACTTTTTCGTTCTTATCTTGCTTTCCTTTTCCTCGTTCCCCCGCGACGATTCGCTCCTATCTGGAATCTCCACGCAGAAAAGCCATGGCAGAAGCGCTTGCGTTTGTGGGTGGAGCTTCCGCACTTATCACCATCTCCAAAGACTTTCTACGCGCTGGGAAGAAACTCAGGTATTACGGAAGGACTCTCAAGCATGCCAAAGAAGAGATTAAGGCAGTAGAGGTTGACACAATGACCTGCGGTAACATCCTGGTTCTATTCAACAACGCTCTTGAGGAGGACTCGTCGCCCATGGCCGCAAAAATAAGGAATTTGGAAATCGACAGGAATCTGCAGAAGAGAAGCAGTTCGCTGCTACAAAAGATACAGATGATTCTCGAGAAGCGCCTGCGGCCGATGAGCAAGAAGCACAACCCGGGGGCGCTGCAGCGTCGAGCGGCTCAGTGCATGTGGCTATTCCAGAAAAGCGAAATCAACGAGACTCTGAACGAGCTAGAGAGGGTTAAGGCTTCGGTACAGATGTGCATGGGTCTTGTCATATATGCGGCTCTGAAGAACAAAGCGAGCCAGATGGCCGTCATACCGCCCGAGTTGGACGACCGACTGTAAGTTCTCAAACAAGACCCCTACCTCAGGAGTCTGGATGTGCTGGAAATGCTGATATGGTGCGACATGCACAGTAAAACCATGGAGAGAAGCCTTCGGTGTCTGACACGAACATGTACTCGGCTTGAAGAATCTCTTGCTGAGCACGACCCCGTGCAGGCCGAGGACGAGTCTCCGTTTTGCGAGCTAGTAGCCAACCTTGTGGAAAGAGAAATCAACGAGTCGAGAGAGCGGAGGAGGAATGATCGCAGTCAAAGAAGAGCAGCCCGACAGGGCTCTCTCGCACCCAACACCGATTCGACTTCCTCACGTAGAAGCCCGTCTCCATCGGGTCCTTCGCCAAATATATCTCCCCGTTCCCCCGGTCCTCCTCCGAGGCCCGGAGGAACTCTTGCTGCTGGGAATCCGATCAACTCTCCGAGGTCGGTCAGTCCTCCGGAATCGGCTGATCTGGGCTACTGCTACGATTGCAGAAGCTACCACATTCTCTTCGGCACAGCTGACCCTCACGGCGAAAATGTGCCTCATTCTACGGCCCGCTCCCATTCTTCGGTATCCTCCTTACCTAGTGAGCCAACAGGATCACAATCAGATCCGCCCCCGTCTGATGACGAACGGATCCCCGGAAGTCGAAGGACGTGGATGCGTGCTGAAGGGCGGCCTGTTTCGGAAGAACGACTACAGAGAGGAAGGGGCACCGATCATGTCGATGACTTACCAAAGACTGATCGGCCAAGCTGGGAATGAAAGGCTCGAAGAGTGGTTCGTTAATTAGACGCTTACCTAGTTGATTTATTGATACTGTGTGATGTTGAAGGAAGATGTCTTTATAGTGAAGTGTATTTTGAGAAGAATCTTACACTACAAAATCACAAATAACTTTAGTGTAAAAGTACTGGGGCCTTGAGGAGAGGACATGCTGTTGCCGCCAATTTACGGACACTATTATGTAGATCAGGGTCTTGTGGAGCTCAAGCGCATATCTGCCACCGGACTCGGTTAGGTGCATTTGGTTGCTCTAATTATAGAAATTGGCCCCCAAACCCCTTGAAACCCTGTTTTTTGAGTCTGCAAAAGGACCAAAACTTCCTCTAGGTCGTAGTGTATCGGCGTCAGCATTTCCTCTTCGCCAAGCTTACCATGGCTTTCATTTCCGCCCTAGCATTCTCGGTAGTCGTTTTAGCCGCACCACTGCAAAACATCACCATCACTGTTCCGGACGGAACGTCAAATCATGGCGACCCGCACCTTCTATGCACCCCAACAAAAGCTACTGACATTGCAGCGTTCTTCCTGGGTAATTACTTGGCGCACGTTGCATCTATGATTTCCTTGCCTGGAGAGGCCCCGATTCCCGTGTTCCTCTCGATGATAGCTACCTTGTTCTATCCTGTATCTGGAGTGCGCAGGGGTATAGAGGCCATAAAACGACGTGCAATACTCCACCGGAGAACTCCTCTCGACACGGCTTTGAAGGCAGGTGCGCTTGCTGAAGTCGTGCGCACGTCTCGTTGGAAACCTCAACCCAATGATCGTATCCACGGTATCGAGTTGCCCCACGCATCATCTACGTCGAATCTTCAAGATGAAGAGAACCCACAGATCTCCGAGAGAGCCGGTAGAAAATGCGTTACCGGAGATGATCCTAGCCTCCAAAATGAAGGAGGGGCAGTATCCGCTCGATTGGACACCGCAACATCTCCAGCAGAGTGCTTTCTTCCTGTAGCATCTGCCTGGAGTTTTTACGGTCGCAAGGTCCACGGCCGTTGCTCTTTACCAGAAGGTTACGCACTTGCGATACTTCCGCCCGATGCGAACCTGTGCTATTGCGACTCACCCGATAAAGCCTCAATCGACATATCTTCATCATATTCCATTCCACGCGCCCTGGTCTCGATTTATCAACTTCTCTTCGCAAGCCTTACGCTGTACCGCACCCGGGGAGACCAACTGGATAGATATGGGTACGCCGCCTTCGGGTTGACCGTTACTCCGTACTTGATCATGTCCTTTGTCAATCTTGTGGGGTCATTCTTGACGCCCACATACTCACACGTCTATCTCGTCCAAACAAGTATCATGGAAGAAGCCAGACTTCGGAACGGGGCTTTCGACGGCACGGTTGGCAAGGTCACAAATCAGTGCCCTTCCGCTGAGGGACAGCAACAGAGCTCGAACGAGTTCCACGAAGCCTCCCAGGAAGGTGCCAGCATCTCCCTCAAGTTGGTAGTTTGGCTGGATCGGTTGCTGTTCTCTCGTTTGACGTACTCGGCCATCTCCAAAGGAAACAATCCATCGTTGGAATGGGAAATGAGGCTGCTTAAGACCGAGAAGGACGAGAAGCTCGTGTTCACAGGTGAGCATTCGGAAGAACATACGAGCCAAAAGATGGTGCAAGTTCCGTGCTCGGTCACGCAGCACGGAAGCACGAACCAACTGAGTCGAACATTGATTATGCGGCTTGCAAGTGCGTGGATTGGCTGTCTTTCATTCGCCATAATTGGTGGGCTATCGCATTTCGAGCAGGGAAAAAGCACTAATGTCCAACGGAGTTGGACCATGGCATGGTTAGTAACAGGGGTTGTATTGGGCCCAGACTGCTATCAGGCCATAGAGACTCTTTCCAACTCTGTCGCAGATCTGGTCCAGTCCACCAAGATATACAGGATTGCACTGTTTGTGGCTTTTTTCCTATATGGAGCAGCTACCGTGGGTGGTATGGTGGTTGTCGGTCAGATGCTCAAGGATTACGGCAGTTGCATCCGTATGTATTGATATATCCTGTGCAGGGCGCTGGTTATTGCTTTACGATATTGCGGTAGAAGCAACACATTCCTAGGCAACGCCATGCAGAACATGATGATTTCTATTGGAAATTCAAATCATATTTTCTGTAGGACGAAAGAATTTCATTTTGAGGGGACTTACAGAGGTAGAAATTAGCAGCACGGTTCCGTTCGTCTACCCAACCGCAACCATAGTCTGCACTAAGAACGTATCACCTTCTCTCTGTTAATTCGTCAATACTGCCCTTAAACGCTTCCTCCCATTTGTTTGCATTTGGCGGGCTCGAGTCAGGGATGGGACTCAATACACCCATCAAAGTGACCTGCTGCAACCGAGGGATAGCGAGAGGGGGTGTCCTCTCGAAACCACCCTTCCCCACACCTTTCAAGATGCCAACGCCAGCGACGAGTGCTTCCCCTGTCTCGTTCGCATGCTTCTTTCTGATTCGCTCTTTCGCTATAGCAACGGAATCACGATGGGACCATGGATTGTCAACAGGAGGCTCGGAGTCATCTTGGTAGCGTTCAGACATGAGATCGACTGAGTCTCGGTGATTGGCGAGAAGGGATGCAGCGTTATCCGACATGTCGGATGTATTCGAAAGACTTGACAGAGAGCGAGCTTCTGATCTGCGACGATCCGCCGCCATAACCTCGTCAGGACGAGGACTGTAATATCCGCCTGTGAAAACGAGATCGTCACTGTACCGAAGATTGTATGGAACGGTAGGAGGTTCGTAAATGTCGTCGTCTCGGTGTTGCGATCCGAGACCGGAGGCATCATCGGAAGAAAAGGAACCAGAGTTCGAACGACCATGAGATGAGGGTGGGGCTCTCTGTGCATTCGCTCCCTCTGCTTCGCTGCTACGACGAGAAACCCAGGCGGAAGAGCCGGGTGTGGGGTGTTTGGTGTTAGGCGGGGCCATGAATAGGGCATCACTATCGTCGTCCATATCGAATTGAGGCTCGTCATCGTCCTGATAGACCTCGACGTAAGATCGGAAATGAGGATGGCTTCTGCTTTTGTCGAGAGCAGTACATTCCCGGGCGGCAAAAGACCATTCCTCCAGCTTAGTGTTAACTTGATCAAGACCAGTAGGCGAAGGACTCGTCGGTGCGTCTTCATCTGGTGCGACTGACATCGAATCTGTATCAGAAGTGCTCAGGTGACAAGAAGGTGTCTCGCCCCAGAGCACATGGTAAGAACCATGACCAGATTCGATCAAATGCATGCTGGGACTAGAGGTTGCTTCGCCCGGGGATATCAGCTCGTTTCCTTTGCTCTGAGGGACCTTCACGACGTGCACGTCCGTCAAGGTGGTGGCCGTATCTGCACAAGTGCTCTTCATTGATGCAACGGATGAACTTGAAGGGCTATCATGATCAGATGAAGAGGAAGCATGCGCCCTCGTAGAGGAGGGAGATCGGTAGGCGCCGCAGAGATGCAACGACGGTATGCAATGATGGTGCTGATGCTGGGAACCGCTGGACTCAGGCGTAGTTGAAGAGCTAAAGGATGGACCGGCAACAGGTACCTCGGGTGCAGAACTTAAGGAGCGAAGGCTTTCCTCCGAAGACGTTTTTGCGGGCAAATCGTCTTGAAGTTGAGCGCGGACTTTGATATGATGGCTGACACGACGCAAAAGCGATTCGGCGCTGGGTTCCCTCGGAGTCGATGAACCCCTCGAGCGAGGCCGAGCGAGCCACAGGAGGCTTGACACGGATGGCGAGGAGCGTCTCCGGATAGGGGTGGGAGCGGTGCGGACTCGACGAATACAGGTCCCATCAGATGGTCTTCGAAGGGGTTCTCGGTAGGAAGTCTTTCGTTGTTTGGCTTTGTCGATGAAGGTCTCCAATCGCTTTATCCTTCTGTCCCGAGTGACCGGATCGGAAGAGGCCGAGTACTGTCGAACGGGCCAGCGAAGTTTGGCCTCGTCGTCCCTTTTGCCTTCCGGTCCATCATCCGACAACCTTCTGGGCAGGTGCTCGCGATCGCAATTCGTCAGTAAAGGGTAAGTATCGCTGTCAATGGCCGGGGCAGAAGCAGCGCGGTTTTCCAGATTAGTGGCCTCAAGGGGAGGTTCTGCAAGCGGCGACCCCATTTGGCGACCGGCGTTCCCCTTGAACTGCTTCTGCCGAGACAAAGACTCAAATCAATGAGAGAAAAATGTAGGCCTGGCCGTTGGCTAGCAACAGCAAGCCAGGAACAAGGCGTAGAATGATTGCGAGGCGACTGACAAAATTAGGTGATGCGGCAATGAGCTTGAAGCCAGGATTGAACAAAAATGAGAGATGAGAGGGACAGCAAATGGGCGTAATGGAGTCGCGTCGTGGAAGGAAAGTGCATCAGTCGACTTTCGTTCCTACCTGTTCCTGAAGAGTAGCATCCTGAGCGGCTGTGTCCCCGCGACACCCGCGCGACTTCCTTATCTCGACGCGGGTGTCACCCTAAGCCGCCCATCTCGCAAGAATATGCTGGTATTAGCAAAAGCCACACCAGCCAAACCCTGGGAGTCGAAATGCAATACAGAAGCGACAGTGCAGCAATGACAGCGCGGGCGGTGGAGCTGACAGGTGACAGCTGGGGTCTGCGTGTGGGGAAAAGGTGCTCGGGAGCTCGGGCCACGGGCCTGCGATCTCACCAGCTGGCATTCGGCCACCCCCAAGCACCCCCAGATTCTCTCCCTTCCACTGCTCAATCCGGCCCAAAATGAGGAGCACATCTCTCGACGCCCTCCTGCTCCTCGGCACCGCCCTTGCCCCCGCCGTCTCTGCCGCCGAATCGGCGCGGCCGCGCGGCGTGGGCCCCGAATGTATGTAAACACCGCCATGAGCTCTGCCACACAAGCTGCAATGTCTCTACCTGCTGCAGTCCGCCATTGGCTTACACCCCACACCCCACGCAGTTGCCAAATTCTACAAAGATGCCGAAAAGTTCACCTGCATCTCCAACCCGGCCATCACCCTCTCCGCCTCGCAGGTCAACGACGACTACTGCGACTGCCCAGATGGCTCCGACGAGCCCGGAACCGCCGCATGCTCGTACCTGTCGCCCATGTCTCCGCGACACGCTTCGGACCCCAATGCCGACGACCCCAACATCACAGTGGCCCTGCCGGGCTTCTACTGCAAGAACAAGGGCCACCTGCCGGGCTACATCCCCTTTACCGCTGTCAACGATGGCATTTGCGACTACGAGCTGTGCTGCGACGGTAGCGATGAGTGGGAAGGTGTCGGGGGCCTGAAATGCGAGGACCGCTGCAAGCAGATCGGTGCCGAGTGGCGCAAGCAGGACGAGGCCCGCCAGAAGTCGCTGGCCGCCGCGAACCAGCGTCGTAAGGAGCTGATCGCCGAGGCGGGCCGCCTGCGGAAGGAGGTCGAGGACCGCTTGCAGACGCTACACACCGAGATCGAGGGATCCGAGATCAAGGTCAAGAACTTGGAGAAGGAGTTCGCCGAGATCGAGCAGCAGGAAAAGGCCAAGCTCGCCCAGCGCAGCAAAAAGGGCACCGGCAAGTTCTCTGCACTCGCTGCCGTTGCGAAGCAGCACGTCGAGGATCTGAAGGAGGCGTTGACGAGAGTACGTGCGGAGCGCGATGCTAGCCGTGAGAGGGTTGCCGAGCTGGAGCAGATCCTGTCGACGTTCAAGGAGGAGTACAACCCCAATTTCAACGATGAAGGTGTCAAGCGGGCTGTCCAGGCTTGGGAGGATTATGCTGCCCGGGATAAGGGTCCTGACAGTGACGCTGCCCATGAGCGCGACATTGACGAGTACCTCAAGCCCGAGATTGCAGATCTCAACTGGGACGACTTCGATGCTGACGAGAGCGGGAGTGACGTTTGTAAGCTCTTGAGTTCTCGAATGTGATTGAACCCCTGACTAACTCATATCCAGTGTACAAATTTGAGGAGCTTCTCCCAGACTCCATCCGCCCATGGGTCGACGAAAAGCTTAGGGCTCTGCGCCAAATCCTTATCGACAACGGCATCGTGCCTGAGGATGATTCCTCTGCTGCTGCTAGCGAGTCGCAGGTGGTCAAGGACGCCAAGTCACGTCTCACCAGCGCCGAGAACGATCTCAAGAACCAGAAGAAGGAGCTCGAGAACCACGAGAGCGACCTCACCAAGGACTATGGTCCGGATGAGATATTCCGCGCGCTCAAGGGCCAGTGCGTCAGCGTTGACTCTGGCGAGTACACGTACGAGTTCTGCTACATGGACAAGACGTGGCAGAAGCCCAAGAAGCGGGGCGGTAACACCAATATGGGCAACTTTGTCCGCATCGAGACTATCGTCGTCGACGAGGATGTCGGACCTGATGGCAAGGGCTTGGGGTCAGGCGAGCGCATCGCCCTCAAGTACGAGAACGGTCAGAACTGCTGGAACGGCCCCAACCGGTCCACCACTGTTATTCTTGCCTGTGCGGAGAAGGACGAGATCTGGAAGGTTAGGGAGGAGGAGAAGTGCGTGTATCGCATGGAAGTCGGCTCGCCGGCTGTTTGCACCCCTGCTCAGAAGCAGAAGAAGTCCGAGGAGCAGCCGCGCGACGAGCTATGAGACGCTTATGACTGAAAAGAAGTGAAAGCTGACGAAAAGTTGTTAAGAAGCGTCTACCTAGAAGATCATCCATAGATGGTAGGCGGTTGTCGATATGCATTGTATTTTGATTGGCGCTATTGGCGGAGCGTTTGACATTCTCCTGTACGTACCAATGTGTCATGGACAAACATAACGTCTCCATGTGGCCGCATGTCTCGTCATGGTTTACGTACGATGGTCAACATGGACGGCGAGAGTCATGCTCGCCGTTACGTGGACAAACGCTCGTGCTTCCTACCCGCGATACGAGCAGTGCAATCAAACGCCCCGCCACTCTAGATACGCAGCATACGTCATTCGACATGGGGAACGGGCATGGCAAATAAGATTATGCATTATACCGGCTCTTTTCCAAAATGACATGGTTCTTCGCAGATGAGCGTTCTTCATCGGACTTTGCCTAGGAAAGAGACCGGGGGAAGCGGAACTAAAGTCATTTCAGAAACCAAGCCGCACAGAGGCACTTATCGAACACGGGCCCTTCACTACTGTCTACTGAGTCTGAATAATGGCGTGCCCCACACGTGCGTAGAACCGGTCCCGTCCGCTCGAGCGCGCGCGCTCCCGCCCGCGCAATGATCGTCGATCGTCTGCTATCTAGCGTTTACGCTGGAAGAAGCCGGTGCGGTAATTTAGGCACTTGGCATCTTTCCGTTCTTGTTGGGGGGAGCCTAAAAGCATGGCAGAAGTAGCATTGCTGTCGTTAGTTGCTATCGATCAGCGGTAACGCACAGTTGGGGTGCAGAGTGAGACATGATGCGCAGTAGATCCCTGGGGTCATTGCGCGCATGTGCTTTGCAGAAGATCATTGGACGAAATCACGATAGACATGCAAATGCGTTTGCTGCAAAGAAGGGGAGGGGGATGTTCTGTCTATGCGCAGCTTGCCAGTCGTTGATTGTGTCAGTGCTGTCAGATCTGTATGGTCGAGCGTCGCGCCAGCGGTCTATTTTCGTGGGCCACGCACAGTTCCCTACTCCGACTCGTTTCTCGTCTCCATCGATTGTTCACATCAAATAGAGGAAATTCACGCGCCGCGCAGATGTCATTGTCATCCCACATCCACATGACGTCCCAGCTAGCAATGCGGCCGTCGTCAATTGTTCCGTTCCGCCCTTAAACAGCAGCCAATCAGCCGGCTAGCAGCAGCGAGCAGGTGCCGATAAACATTTTCGCGCCTACTGCTCGGACGGTTGCTCGGCCTGCGCCAACCAGAACCTGGGGGCGTGCCGCTGCTGCGCTAAATCCTGGGATCCTGCGCGTTTGCCAACGTCGGCGCTAGCCAACAAACGCAGCCCTACCTACAGGCTCTTTTTTCAATGTGGTTGGCCAAGGCAAGATGGTGCAGGCGTAGCGCGTGCAGTAGCGCTATGTAGGTTTGCGTACTCCCGCTGGCGGCTTCTGCTGGTACCTGCAGCGGCGTATGCGCTGAACCATGGGTCTTCAAGGACAGTTTGACACACAAGGCTGATTTTTGTTTTCTTTTTTGTGGTTCGGTTGACGAGGGATTTTTTTTGATTAGTAGGTGGGGCGGCGGGTGATGGAATAGCCGTCGTGGTTTCGAGACTAACTTTTATTTTGCTTCAAATTTTTTTCTCGAAGTGGAGTTCACGACAGGGCTTCTTCTGTGTTCAGCTAATGATTATGAAATTCTGTGACGCTGTGCGGCTAGTGCCAAGACGTGTGTTAACCTGAGTGGGTTCCTGACGATCCGTTACTAAGAAAAGAACACGGATCGATCACCGAGCAGACCTTCTATCTATTATTGTATGTGTTTGTTGCACGTCCTACCTTGCTTCGCATCCATATAGGATGGTAATTACTGTGGGGCTGCAAGGGGTTAGGTACACCATCGCGTGCGGGGGTTGCTCATTTAAATGACTTTCATGACAACGTCAAGTCCAAGTTTGTTGACTAGGACTTCATATCGTACATAAATCGGCCGGCGCAGGGCGGCGGCGATTCGGTGGTGCATGCACGTCACGCAAAGTGCCGGACATGTCGTTACCCTGTTCTGGGCTAAGGCGATGGGTCGAGCCATGGATTTTTAGTACTGCGTATATTTGATGATGGATGAAAGCGGGCCGTAAAACCTGGTGGAGAGATGAGAGAACGCGTCAAGTAGTTGATGCCTGGGCATGCAAGATGTATGAAGCAGGATCATGATTGTGAAACGACTGGGTGAGATTATATCGTGCATCTTGCAGGTAGTTCTTCCTGCGTGAGCGGCGCTGGGATGCTTCCGAATCTGGGCCGCAAATAGATTAGCGATGACTTCGACATACGATCAAGGAACGGAGATAGCCACGACAGTGAGGTGCTCCGATCCACATGCTTCTGGACTCGACATCCGCGCTTCCCCGGCCAAGCGTCTACATCAAACCGTTGGTCCTGACGGCAAATGGGGTGAGCGGCGCGACGGCTTTGGCTTTCTCGCGCGGGCACTAAAGGCGCTGGCCACGAGTCAAGTCCGAGGAATCCTGAGGCGGGCAGTGGCGCTCTGTCTCTCCGACTGCAAGGCGACGATGAGTCTAATCAAACCGGCAGTGGTATTGGTACTACTTGTGCAACCTGTCGGCATTGAAGCGTCGTCGGCAAGGGGGCTCGAGCAGCGAACCATCACGCGTGAGTGCTCTTTGCGCGGCGGCACAAGCCTTGCAGACGTTTATGCACGCGTGAGCTGAAGCGCGAGGCGCGCCAGCTGACAGAGGGGCGCCACGATGATGGAGGCGGCGTCGCGCGTGGGCTGTGTTTCCTCTGGGATGATGGCTGTCGCAAACCCCGCGCTCCTGTCTCACGATGCTACCAAAGCAAATCTTAGGGGGCGCGGCTCCGACGGGCCACGGCACCGCCCACAGCATCTTTCGCTCTATCTTGCACGCCGTCTTCTCTCGACCGACTGCCGGACGGGACTCGACAACGGATTCGGTAGGGCAGCGCCCACCGCATGCTATAGGGACTGTCGGCGGTTATAGGGAGACGCCGAAATAGGCAATCATCCTCGGCTCCATTGCCGAGCGCGGCATGTTCCGCAGCCCGAGCAAAAAGACGAAGACCGAGCCAATTGGAGATGAAAAGGGGATTCGGGCGAAGAAGAAATAGACGAGCAGTGCTTGATGTGGTTGCCTGAAAGGGTTCCGGGCTAGCGAACAGGTGATCGAATCAGGCAAGATGGACCGCCGATGCCATCTTACTAGTAGCTCTACGACTCTTAGTCGGGTCAGTGCAACTCCGCATATTGTCGTGCGGCTATGGGCATGGGCGAGTTCGGCACTGTCGCTGCGGTGCCGGTGGAGCGGAGGACCCTCTGCGGCGCCACAGGGCCGCGCAGCCTGAGAAGACGGCCGTTGGAGCAAAAAATCTGATGAGAAGGACAGGCCCGTGGTAATTGACTAATACGAGGGTGAAGAATTGGTAGCTGAGCCGGTAGGGCTCGGAGATCAGCGCCGGCGACAAAAGTTCATATATATGAGTGACGTTGCAGGGTGATTAAGGCGTGGTCTAGACGCTGTGACTGGTGTTGCGAGCGCGCTGCCCCTCAACGGGAGATCCACTAGGACGCTTCTTGCGTGGGCCGGGGCCCCTTGCGCGTCGCACGCCGGATATTGAGGCGGACTCGACACTTGAAACAGGCAGCTGGCGAATTGCGTGGAAAAGGCGTCGCAGGCGGGCGGACTGGCGCTCGGCGGATTGTTGTCAGCCAGCCCATTCCGGGATCCGCGCACCGTGTCAGACGTTGGCCCTGACCAAGCCTTCGATCGCAGTTTCAGACAGGAGTCCGCCGCAGCGGAAGCTGGGCCAGGATTACCGGGAGCGGGCGATAGGCGTCGCCTTGTGCGCCGTGCAGCTCGAATCGCTGCGGGCGTCCCTCGTGCGCCGTTGGTGGAGGTCGGTGGCGGCGGATGTGGGCTCTGTTTTTCGCAGCCCAATGCAGGTGCGATGCAGCCCGCGCCCGCAGCCGCCGTTCCTGAGCCGTACCTGGGCCGTTACTCCTTTCGGCGTCGCGGGCGAGCCGCTTACAGCATCGACAGGCGGCGGCGAGATAGGGATAGGCGCCCAGCTTCGCTCCCCCGCGGCTCGCCGCCAGCGCACCGTGCAGCGCCGCTCTGTACTGGCCAGCGATGGCGCTGGCGGCTCGTTGCGCACTGCAGGCCTCTGTTGGCGACGCGCACCCCTGCTTCTCCGCTGGGCTCGCTGCGGTTGGGATGCCGTCGCGGGAGTGGTGCGCTGCTTCCGACGCCTTGCCTCGCGTAGGGGCCCCCCGGGCATCCAACTGATCTTCTCCTGTACAATAGTCTTCTTCCTTCTAGCTGGCGATCTGTGACCGAACTCGTCGTGCAGCCGCGCTCGATTCGCCGCGCGCAGCCCGGCCGCCGCCCGCCTCGGCGCTGCGTCACGCGTGCCAGCGCTCCCCATCCATTGCTGCTGCGCCGACGGCATTCCGCCTCGAGCATTGTCGTCGGCGCTCAAGCTTCTGGCGGCTTGTTGGCGGCCGCCAGCCCGATCGGCCGCGTGCCATCTAGTGCGGTATGCTGGCTGATGTGTGGAAATTGTGTGCCAGCAACCCCCTTGCAGGGCCGTGCTCAAATTGCCCTCTTCCACCCTGGCCGCCCGCCCGCAGGCCCCGTCTTCTGCCCGCGAGCGCTGCGCTGCATCCAGGACGTCTTTCTTTTTTTGCGGCCCTGCGCTGGTCGACCAGAGGTCCTCGCGCGTCTTCGCTTCACCAGCTCCCCCAGCTCCATCCAGCGCCCGCCTGCTGTCTGCCCAAGCCGACGACCAGAGGTCAGGAGCCCGCACGCCTGCCGGCGCACATCCATTCATTTCGTGCATTCCGTGCTCTTGCCCAGCTGTCAATCCCCGATTATTTGATTGCGCCACACCCGAACACCACGCCAGAAGATATCCACAGCCCTGCGCCGCCGCGTGCGCTCCGAACCACCTCACCACCGCCCGCACCACCGCTCCCTTTGCTGCTCCCACACAGCGTCCGCTCGTTCACCAGCGATCCGTCATACCTCTCACCCTCGGAAGGAAGCATACCGCGCTCGTCTCAGTTGGCATTATTCTGCATGGCCGCTGCAGTGCAACGTCACGCTCTCCACAGATAAACACCTCGCGGAGGAAGGACGCGTCCTGCAAGTACGTCGATCTTGGGCGCGCCGCATCATAAAGCCACCCTGGTCGTCCTCTCGCCCAGGGTCGCCTGCTGCGCCGCCTGCCGCCGACCAACCCCACGCTGCTGACCATTCACCAGCTCGCGCGCAGCGCTGCGTTGTCCAAAGCTAACCTTTGGGGATCCATTGAGCCGCCTCATTCGTATGTACACACTCAGCCATGAACCAACCGCCGCGGGTTTCGTCGTCCCTCTCGGACGTCGGCTCGACGAGTTCCACCAGCTCAACGCGGAGCAAGCTATCCATGACCAGCGTACGGATGACTAACCTCTACAAGGCGACAATGAACCGTTTCCTCACGCGCAAGAAGACCGAGGCGGCCCTCGAGGGCACCGACGCCCCGCCGCCGACCGCCAGAAAGAGCAAGAAGGGAAAGAAGAACAAGGAGGAGCAGCCCAAGCCTGAGCTGGACCTGTCCCAGGCTCTGCCCTCAACCGACAATTTCCGGACCAGCCTTCTTATGCCCAATCTTTCGGCACGATTCAGCATGCTCAGAGAGCAAGATGATCCGGAGTCGAAGATGGGTAAAGCAAGCGACGATAGCGTCCTCTTTCCCAAGCGCCAGTCGCGGCTAACAGACTATGGCTTCAATCCTGTAGGCTTGACGGATATCGCTGAAGTTGCGTCCATAAACGAATCCCTTCGGCCCCCCTTCCTCGCCGGAAGGTCTGGCTCCGTTGACTACGGTACCGATGACGGTGATTCCATTCACAGTGGAAGCGTCATGAGTCGGTCCCGTCCCGGTGAAGGCAATGTTCTGTTTGGCGGCCGTCAGAAGGTCTACTTGGGTAATCGAGCACTGTACGATGATGATGTAGGAATGTCGGCATATCAGCGGATGCGGGCCGAAGAACGTCGAAAGAAGCGTGAGGAAGAGGGGGGTGAAGAACAAGACGACGACGAAGACGAAGAAGAGCCAGAAAGCCCAGCGCATGAACTCAAGCATTCATCGTCGTTCTCAGGATCCCTTCGTCGCCGCGAAACCGCTTCCTCGACGACTTCTGGAGCTGGCGCCCGTGCATCCACAGCTGCAACTTCGATCGCCTCGCAGGGTGCGAACGCTGTTCCGCCGCCATCGGTATCAGGCGTGGAACGCGCTGGTACTAAGGGTAGGCGACTCTACGACCAGGGTCTCGATAGGAACTACATCGAGGGAAATTCCGCGATAAGCAGACTCAACTCTCTCCAGAAGCAACGAACGGGAACGACTGGCCGCGCAACTCCTCCCCTGACCCAAACCAGGAGTGCGACGAACCTCAGCGACCGCTTCAACCGCGCTGGTCAATATCGTCCGGCCAGCCCGCCTCCCTCTGCACCGTTGGCCAACATGGCGAGTTTCAAGGCTGCAAGAGACGGTGACTCGCAGCAGTCAAGTCCTGTTATTGCGACGTCTTCTCCAACCAGTCCCTTCCCTCCCATCAGTCCCTTGGAGGATAACAGCCCGCTCGCCTCGGCTATTCAACCCGGAGACCGTGGCAAGGCGACCGCTATGGGTGCATTTAACAAGCCAGCACAGAAGTTCGATGAGAACCAGTATCTGCAACGGCAAAAGCAGATGCTTCAGGGTCGGGAGACTCCACCGCCGAGGAAGCCTTCTCGCTCGCCATCGAGGGCCGTTCAAGAGAGGCTCAACAAGTTCGAGATGAAAAGCCGGGAGCCAGAAGTGAGGCTCAAGCAGCCCCCTGCTTTGTCCAAGAACGTGTCAGATGCTCGGAAGAGACTCGACGTGCTTCGCAGCGAGATTGCGGCTGACCTGGATGACCTCAGACCCTCATCTGATTCGGAAGATGAACCTGCCAAAAAGGTCGAAGAACGCCCCAGTCGCAGCCGCTCTCGAACGAATTCCAGCAGCGTAGTCCCCAGGGCTATTGCTTCCCCGCCGAAGTCTACCACTCTTCCCGACCCTGTTTCACCGCCAACGCAGGCGTTGCCTCCTACTCCAAGTTCACCGCCCAAGCAAAAGCTCCCTCCCAAACCGACTGAGGACGAAATGTTACCTCCCGAGCCAGCATCACCCGAACCGCCTGCGAAGCCATCGCCATTCTCCGTTTTTCAGCGTGCAAAGCAGCAAATGCAGGCTCAACCCAGCGTCGAATCTGCTGAGAGCCCCAAGAAGGGGCCGATGACTTTCTTTTCTTCCCGCAACTCCAGCGACGATGAGGACGACGATGCCGTACCCGAAGTCCAACCTATGCGGTCTCCTGTGAACCGGACGGTCTCACGGCCCGGAAGTAAGCCGCAAAGTCCTGTTGCGTTGAGGAGCAATTCTTCTGCCGGTGTCTCGCCGTCGCTTCGTTCGCCCCCGCCAGTACATGAACATCCTGCGTTGCGTTCCTCTCCCAGCCTTGCATCTCCCGCTTCCCGCGCTTCCGAAACCATGCGGCAAGCCCTCAACTCGCCGCACGACTCTGAGCGAAAGTCATCAGTCTCCACAATGGTCAAGTCTGATGCGACGGACCTTGACTCTCCAACTCTTGGCCCTGAGAGCGGTGGACTCAACGGCATGATTAGGCAGCACCTCCGTAATCAGAGTCAGCACAGCGGCGTTTCGTCCGTGTATGACAACGACCAAGAGGAAGATGACGATAATGATCACAGCAAATCCAGCCACCTGGCAGCTGGTTCTATGGTTTCTGATACTCCCGTCCACTCCAGCTACAGCCACTCGAACCCTTGGGATCTGGAAGATCTGGATGGAAGCTACTATGGTGAAGCAGACAGCTTGAGCTCCGTCAGCCCGGTTGACGGATCGAAGTCTAAGACTCAAGCATTTCCCAAGCCTGCTGCTAACGTTGAATCGCCTCGTTCAGAGCCCCCTAAGGATCAGCAGCCGGATCGTGACCAAGTCGCGCCTTGGGAGCAGGAAATGAAGTCCAAACACAGCAGGAATGTCAGCCATACCACTCTTGCGGAACGTGAGGCATTCCAAAAGGACCTAGAGGAGAGACAGAAGGCTATCCAGGAGGCCTTGAAGAGCAAGGTGGAAGGAAGCCGCTCTGGCAGCCCTACACCGAGCATGGGCGGAGCTATGAAGGCATTTGGTATGCTCCGTGCTAAATCTAGCCGTGACGCCCTCGTTAGTCGTCCGGGTGGAAACTCGAAGGCGATCAACATGCTTGGAATGGGTGCAAATGCCAGCAACGCTTCTCTTAACAGGACGAGCGAAGAACACCTCAGGAAGCAACGGGAGAGACTAGCAAATAACCCGATGCCTTCGGACGACGACTACCGCAGGGAGTTTGAGGACATCCTTACTCGCGGAGCTAGCGGCAGCGCTCAGTCGAGCAAGAGTCGCTCCCCGTCTGCAAACGGTACAGGCCGCAGCAGGTCGAACTCACAAATGTCCGCCGTGTCTGGTCGTTCCCGAAGCCGCACTAGAAATCGCGAGTCTGCGGAACAGATGCCTCCCCCTATCCCTCCTCAAGTCCCGCGGTCTGGCGTCCCTACTCCTGATTCGATGCCGTCGGCATCGCCTGTCGTCGAGCCACCGCCGAATCCTCCGGCCCTACGTATGCGCAGTGGAAGCAGGCCTTCCGTGCCTGGCTATTTCGATCAGAAGTCTCTGCATCCGATTCAGACCGGAATAGCCAACGGCATGTCGCGCATTTCACCGGCATCTGCCGGTCCTACGCCCCACGTCTCGCCTGGTTTCGCCCCGGGGCGCTCTCCCATCGCCCCCGGCAGCAGGTCCGCTGGTCATAGCCCTGGCATTGCTCCGATGTCAGCGAAGGCTGCCGCTTTCGCCGCGCATGCGAACCACTCCTCTCCGGCGATCGCGTCGCCGCCTCCTCCTCGTCGCTCTGCCGGCGCTGTCCCCCCGGAACGCAAGAAGTCCATTGCCAAATCGATCATTTCGGAGCCCATGTTTGTTTCTTCTACCTCTGTGGTTGACACCATCGAGCTCCCTGCTGGTGCTTCCTTGAAGAACGGCATGGACGAGGCTCCGCCCCCAGTGCCTCCGATCAACCCCATGCGCCGACGCTTCGGCTTTGGTCGCTCCGACTCCTCCAGCACCACGACCTCGGACGGCAGACCCAGCACGGATGACGGCGACAACAAAAGCCGCACGAGGATGCGGAAGAGTAGCAACACGTCGCTTTATCGTGCTGCAAACGACGGGCCGACAGCCATAAGGCCGCCGCCGGCACCTCCGGTTGAAGAAGGCGCTATGTTCTAGAAAAGGGGCTTCTGCAAGGGCAATACCACATCTTGTGCGTTTGAAACGGCCTTTCACCATCGAACCAGTGTTACACTGCCTTGATCGTTTTTCGTTCACTTCTTCGCCCGATGTTCTAAAGTTGAACATGCTCTTTTGCCTTTGACTTTTGCAGAGCGTGTATTGCACGATACCTCTTCTCCGTTGTTCAAACCGCGAGTTTGGTCCTTTTTTCAAGATTTACCTGCTTCGGCTTTCTTATTCCTTCTGATTCAATGTTCTTTGTTCACTTCTTCTTGCAGCCTCTCGGGTTGCATAATACTCCGTGACGCTTCGCCCGGAGCCTATTACTCGACTTTTATGCATCGGAGACGCGTCTATGCGGCGTTCTTTTGAAACAGGCGGTAACCGGAAGGTGTCAGTTTTCTTGTATTAAATCGGGCGCCGTGGTACCACCTCGACCTTTGGGTGGCAGAGTTTTACGGTCTTTTGTCATTCTATTGTTCTCTTCATTGTCTCATGTTCCTCTGAGCTGCTTTCTCCCTTCCACCTTTCATCCGTACGGCAAGAACCCAGATTGCTCGGCGCGCTAAGGAAGATGGTCAGAAAAGACGGTAACTTTTTTTGTTTTCTATTGCAAATCGGCGCGAAAGATGATGGGCAGGCCCGAGCCCCCGTTTCCACTATACTCTATATTGTTTTTTGTTTTTTCTTGTTCTTTTATGTGTATTGTCGCAGCATGGAAGGCATAGCTGGGACACTTCGTGGATGGATGTGATTCCTTTTACGGGAGGAGGGAAACAGGCAGGGGCTGGAATTATTTCACGGGTATCGAATGGAAATCACAAATGGGAAGGAAAGGAAAGGCAATATCAGCGGGTTGTTTCTCTGTCTTTTTTCCTCAAACAATGAAACGGGTCTTCTCCAAATTCGTGCCAGTATTGTGATTGCTCTTCCCTCCACTGTGCTCTATGGAGCTTTAATTTTATTTTGACGACTATTTAGGCGGGATTCTTGGGTGCCGTTGGTGTCAGTGGATGGAGCTTTGGGCGACAAACATTTCTGTTGCACGACAATGCGAGAGAGGGCGATGAAACACTCGTCTATTGCTTTACTCTCCCCTCGACAGACGAGAGAAGGGAAAGCCGCCAGCAACGAGTAGAAGAGCATTGAGTATGGCTGGGCCATTCCCACGCGGCCTTCGTGCCATTCCTCTACATATTTTGAACCCTTGAGATAGTAATGCTTTTCTGAGAGTGATCTTGGACTGCATTGCAAGCGAAAGTCCATTGGTTGGGAGGCTCTAACATGTGATGTGGGCATTGTAGTTTTCCTCTCCGTTTTGTGGAGAGAGGAATGCCATTCTAAGGTTCGTATCACTTCTCGTTCATTCCTATTATGTATTTGGTCTAAGCTTGAGAGCGTTGAGATAGGTATGAAGCGTATCGTCCTTGATGAGATGAAAGAAGCACGTATGGATTCGAGAGCAGGTTGAGGGGGTTTTTCTCCCATCCATGACACAGTCTCTCAGCGTTGCAGCCCATGAAACGGGTTGAGGCAGCGGAGTACGTTCGTGCAGCTGTAATACTCCAAACGGGATGAGCCGATACTTACTAGACGAGCACTTGAAGCAATACGACATCAATTCCACGAGATGCACGACAGTATGAAGGGCTTCGCCAAGATTTACTCCATTCAAAGAATTGTTTATATCTTTTTCAATTGTCTATGGAAGCGTGAAAAGGCGAATTTAGGACCGGAGAATCAACGTTCACACCGAAACAAGATGAAACACGCGCTAAGGATATCAACGGGTGAATCTCTCAAGACTGAGATCGAACTGGTAACAAACAAGCTATCGAGGCTTCGCGAGTTAATCGAGAGGCGAAAATCGAATTAAGGTTGGACCTCGGTGGGCCCACTGCTCGTTGCCCTTTTGAGTATCAGCCTCGGATATGCCCGCACTTGGCAACGTCGTTTCCCCTTTAGACAGGGAACATACGGCAAGGCTACCAATCCGTAAATGTTTCATTAGTATACGAAGCACTTCTGGACCAATCACTGCAGGCGCACTTTGTTTGAGCATCAAGCTAAGCATGCACATACTAGGAATCCCCCGGTTCTGATGTCCACAATAGATGAAACCTAGATGGCTCGATTCTCGCTTGAGAACAGTGATCAACATGGTCTTCCGCACTATCACGGTAGTGCTGTCTGCAAGCGAGACGCAAAACGCTGCTTGGCCAATTCTAGAAAAGACCGCCTGACGGTTTACTTGCACTGGGCTTGGGCGGCTACGGGGCACTTAAGACATGTTAGGCAACTGGTGGAAACATCAGGCCGGCAAGTCTCCACCTTCGTACACAAACTTGCGACGCCATCCGCAGTGATATAGGGTTGCAATACTTATTCCCAAAGAAATATACCGCTGTGCCGAGGCAGTCAGAACAATGTTCCGCGTTGGTCCCATCTGGCTCAGGAGAGACGAACCAGTATTCCGAGGCTCAATGAGCTTGTTGCTTTTTGCAGCACAAGTATAAAACACCAAGATCTTGCCTTGATCCATTTGACAAGCTTCGAAACGGGCACTTCACATCCACATTCATTCGCTCTCTACGGGCGACGGACGTTCACTCATTCCTTTCCCACATCTATTTTCTCAGAGTGCAGACGTCATTCCATCTTTACTTCTCGTCGACAAGCTACCCTCGAGCTACCCACCATGAGATCCACCACCGCCCTCCTCGCCGCGACCCTCAGCTCCCTCACCCTCCTCACCACCTCCTCTCCCGTCCCGGCCCCCTCCCCGCAGCTCTCCCTCGGCGGCACCCAGAACGGCGTCACCTCGGGCACAGCCACCTGCAAGCCCGTCACGCTCATCTTCGCGCGCGGCACCTTCGAGCTCTCCAACATGGGCTCCGTCGTCGGGCCCTCGCTCGCATCCGACGTCGGCAAAGCCATCGGCGGCACGGACAAGCTCACCGTGCAGGGCGTCAACTACGCGGCCGACGTCGCGGGCATCTTCGCCGAGATCACGGGCGGCGCCGGCACGGCGGCGATGCTGGCCGAGGCGAAGCAGGCGCTGTCCAAGTGCCCGCAGACGCAGCTCGTGCTGTCGGGATACAGCCAGGGCGCGATGCTGGTGCACAACACGATCGGGAAGATGCAGGCGGCGGAGAAGGAGCGGATCGTGGCGGCGGTGACGTTTGGGGATCCGTTCAAGAGCGTCAAGTTGGATGGGGTTGGGGCGGAGAGGTTCAAGACGTTTTGCGCTACGGTGAGTTTCTTTTCCTTTTTCTTTTTTTTCTTTGTGACTAGTGCTGCCTGCTTTAGGTGATGAGGAAGAGTGCTGACGACTTCACTTCTTGCTAGGGTGATCCGGTTTGCGGGCTTGGTGGTGTCAGTGCCCTTACGGGAATGGTTTCTTCGGGTGGAGATCAGTCTAGCAGCATGCTCAATCATCTGGGCTATGGTGCTGATGCCCCGGCGGCTGCAAAGTTCATCCAGAGTCGGCTTGGCTCTTGAGACAAACCAACGATCTTGGACATTCTTTCGTTTTGAAAGATGTTCAGTCTTCTTTCTCTGTTACACTCCTTATCATGTCTACACAAATCCTCAAAACCTCATTTTCAATTTCTTTTCCTGTGAAAAACGTAGTGAGACTAAATACATGTATCCCTAATAACGAGGCAAATGCAGCGCTTTGAAAGCCCGATATGTAACTGACGCTAAATCACAATTGTATTCCTGGTGGCTGAATGATTGGGGCTTCCTGAGTCTTTCTCATTTGCAATTTAGCACCTTGCTCTCGGGGATGTGCTTTTGGGACTCACTTGTGCGTCCTAATAATTTACCGGCATCAAGTGCCAATATGAGGACAGTGTAGCATTCAGACTTATTTGAAATTTCTCCAGAAACCGTGCCCCATGCTCTGAAATGCTTTCCAACAACCTACTTTTGCTGGCCAGCTTATGGGTGTACCCGTAGGCCAAAAGCGGACACTTGGGAGAGCCACATCGAAGGTTCAAATGCCAGATATGTGATCTTACTTAAGCGTGAAATAGGCGCCATTGACAAGGCTACGATGAACTAAAGCTGTCGGTCATCTCTCCGAGACATTTTCAGCTCTCTCTCGTCTGCAGAACACGGCATGTCTTGTTGATGATGGTGGAAATATGTCGTCTAACTTGGGTCTAGCCATTGTAAGCGTTGAAGTATATCTGAAGACGGCTGGGTAATTAGTTTGATATGTCTTTGCAATGAACGGTAGGAAAGTAAGCATAATAATGCGTGGCCAGGGTTCATTTGCTCTACATGAATGTATTCTACGTGATGTCATGGTAGCTCTTGTGAGCTCACCTGCCGTTATCTCACCATTTGACAACCCTCAAAGCTTACCAAGCACAGCACCAATGATTTGAGCAGCTTTTTCATGTCGAAGGTAGACACAAAACGATATAATATTACTCAATTATGGCTGCAATGGTACATACGCCTCCTTCATTCTCGGTCTCATTAATCGTATCCATCTCTACCTGAATAGCCAGCATCCTCCTTTGCAATTCCTGCAGCTCTCGCTCAAGTCTCGCCTTTTTCGTTTCGTACAGTCCAACACTTGTCTGCGGTGGAGCGGGAGCGGGAGGGGCCGGCGCCACGCGCTTCCGTCGTCTGATCTCTGCTTTGTGCATCTTCGCTGGTCGCTGAACACCGTGTATCCTCTGGTAAAGACCACAAGCATTGCATAACATGCGACCGACTTTATCTCGTCTCCAGAGCGTTGTTATATTGGCGGCGCAGTTCGCGCAGGCAAGCGAAGTGCTCATGCTGGCAGGCGTTGTCAGATGCGGCTGGTCTCCATGCCGAGCAGCATGTGGCGCGAACATTCCGTCGAAATCAGACTGTTGGGTCGTTCCCGAGTAAGCCGCGCCAATCTTCGGATGTTGCGTTGCCGTGGACATGAGATTGTTGTAGACCGGGCAGCCGATGCAGCTCTCCTGACCGCCCATACCGTTGCAAAAACCATCGCCCGGGCATGTCCCTAGGGCTGCCTCGGCAGCAGTGGGGTAGAAGGTGATGGCATCTGAGTGTCCTAACCGAGAGTGGCTTGTGTCTTGAATTGGTGACGTCCTGTCGGTTTGCCTAGGCCCGGGAGTGTATTGCTTCTTTAAATGCTCGAGCTCACAAGGACGCGGCTCGTTCCATGCCTTCAAATATAAGCCACAAGCATTACAGTTTAGTTCTCCAGTAGGCGACCTCCTCCAAACAGGAGTGCGCGTCGTACCACAGTTACTGAACATGTTAGTTAGAGTTAAGATAAGACTTAAAAACTCAGGAGATGCTCACCTACAGCTTCGGCTGTCGATATGCGTGTCATACAATTCACACTGCGATTCCTGCGTATTGGGATGTTTTTGTATGATGGCCCGATCGGAGGGTGGTTCGAGTGCTCTAGACTTTTCGCTAGGAGATGCGCTCGACGCTCCGTTATCGTACTCAACTCCCCTCTCGGGTAATCGTTGGTGATGGTCACAAGTGTACGGGTGTGGAGACCGCTCTGAAGCGACACTAGACATTCCACAGGCCCTACGTCAGCCCAAGCCCTTAGTGTGGATATCCTGCGTGACTAAGTCTTATTGCAATGTAGCTTACAGTTTGCTTTTTCCGAGCGGCTCGTTGCATGCCTGCGCTTGTTCAGGGGGACTCGGCATCAAGGACATGGTCGTAATGGCGTCGCTATCTGGTGCCACGGCATAAATGGCGAAATCGTGCGCGGTGATGAATGAAAAGATAGTAAAGTGATGGGTTGTCAAGAGGATGCGGGGTCGATTTGGTAATGGAAATCAGATACAGCCACCATTGCGCAGCCAAATCTGTACGACGAGAATGGGCAGGTGCCTAACGCCGGGGATGGCGGGGATGGGCTCGTCGAGGCTATTCTTAGTAAAGCTTGGGGCAAGAGGAGGCGGGTTGCGTAATCAGTCATAGATCAGCAATAAGAGGGGCTGTCAGTAAGAAGTGGCTGGACTGAGAGATGCCTCACCGAGCTTGGCACTTTTCCACTTCTGCCCTACCGAGAGCCAAGCAAGCCTTAGCAGCGATTGGACATTTAGAGCGGAGTATTTAACTATGGTTGGAGATAAGCCGAATTCCAGCCTCAAAGAGGGAGATGGCCTGTTGAGGATGGCGCCAGTGCCAACGAGAAGATTTTTCATGGCTCCACCAAGCCGCGGTGATGGCGGTATTCTGTCTTATCATGCGGTTGTGGTCCTGTATGATTGGGTCGCAGCACAGGCCCCACTAGAGCAGAGTGTCAGGCGTCAGTCGAGCGGATGGTGCAAGCCGGATCTGCAAAATTAATGATCAAACGCTATACACCTACGTCAGGAAACGCATACAGCTCGCTTACCAGGCGAGATAAGAAGGTACCAGCAAGTCCCAGCTCCTAAAGGGTCCTAAATTTCTATGTAGAGGAGCTGGAAAGCAAGTTGGGGAAGAAAAATTGTAAACAGCACTAAGCGAGATCTATGAGAGTGTAAGGAGGCACTTTGCACACCGTGCAGCGACTTACTCAGTTCCATGATGACGGCGAGTCTGAAATAGCGTTTTTGGGAGACCTCCAATGATATTAAACCATCACAACAGGTGCTTCCGGCTCGGATTGAATACGAGACACCCGAGCTCTGCGTTTTACTGTATACAGAATTGCCAAACCGTTCACTTGAAACGATGGGTTTCTCCGAGACTCCATTTAAGACCTCTTCTTGGCTTCTCTTTTACGAACTAAGAAAACAAATCCTAGATAAAACGAGTAGAAGCTCATGATTTGGACAATCTTGAATCAACAGAGGCCAAAAGAGGAAAGGCAGTTCGCATGGGCATAAGGCAGAAGCTCTTAACGATAATCCAAGAATAGACAAAAGGCTGTACACTAAAGCAGCCAGTGCCCTCAAAATGAGACTTCTTTATGCGGACAAGACAGAACGAGAAAAAGCCACCCAGGGTCTCTGCCTCCAGGAGAGTAAAGACAATCGAAGTAGTTTTGCGTAGCCAATCTATGTACCGTACCGCCTTCTATCCCTGTCTATTTTGAACTCTATCCAATCCGTTATCTCCCGTCAAGCTTTGATCGTTCCTTCACGCCCCCGTTTCTTCCTCCTGCCTCCTCTTCATCCTCTCCTTTCTCTGTCCCCTCCACCTCATACCGTATGTCCACTCTGCCCATGCCATTGGGGTAGATGCAAAAACGATGCAACCCAAAATCAAGAACAGGATCGCCGGGCTCACATGTTTCAGCGCCACCTCGGTCAAACTCACCCCTATCGCGCCGAGCAAACACCTCGCCAGATTGTTGACCGCCGTCGCCGCAGCGCTCTTTCCCGGATAGAGATCGACCGTCAGGGTGTTGTTCAAGTTCAAGACGGCGGTGCTGGCGTAGCCGGTCGCGAACTGGGCCATCAGCGGCACGACCAGCGAGCCGCCGGAGCTGACGCTGAAGCCGTACATGATGACGGCGAAGGCGAAGACGACGGTCATGGTCGGCAGCTGCGCGAGGCGGGCGCGCTCGAGCGGGAAGTCGGCGGGCATGTCGGACTTGGGCAGCTTGTGGTCGCGCGGCAGGTCGTGCGCGTACTTGTACGAGTCCTCGGCCAGGCGGAACTCCTTGTCCATCTGCCGGCCGGCGATGGTGGAGCCGATGGCGCAGCCGATGCCGTTGGGGAGGAAGCACGCGCCGATTCTATCGGTTTTCGGTATATGTCAGTTACGGCCCATTGAGAATGCACAGCGATGGGATGGGTGGGGGGGAGTGGAGGACTGACTGTATGGTCGAGAGGTGATAGGCGTGGAGCAAGATGAAGGTCGTGCTCGCGCTGACCATGGACCAAACGGTGTAGATGACGGCACCGAAGAAGAGAGTGCATGCAACGTCTTTCTCGAGGAGGAAGAGCATCGGCTCGAGAAACATTCGCACTGTCATCCTCTCAGGCACCTTGTCGGCCGTCGAATCCGTCGACATAGCAGCGCCCTCCTTCCGCCACGGCGCCCATTTGCGATACAGAGGCTCGTAGCGTGGCCCAGTTAGTGGCACACTCCCATTGCCTGCAATCGCTCTTAACGTCTCAGGAAGTAATATGACAATAAGGATGACGACAAAGCCGCCCAGGAGTACGAGCGCCCAGAAAATAGAGGGGAAGCCGAGTGTTCCGGCCAGGACGCCGCCCAGGACGGGTCCAATGGCCATGGAGAACTGCCGGACTGTATTTTTGTCAGTATTTGGAAGCAAGTGAAGCTAGAATAGGGCAACTCACTTCCAGCAAAGGCGCCAATGAAGCCACCCCTTTCCTTTGCTGGGGCAATATCAGCAATTACGCCCGCACCTGAGTGGAACATTAGAGAAAGCTTTCCGTCTAGTGTCATTGGCAGTCTTTACCGATGGAGATGGTAGAAGAGCTGCCGGCAGCTTGCAAAAAGCGGAAGAACATGATCACTCCGATGTTTCGTGCGAGCGCGAGGCCGACATTGGCTCCAACGAAAAGCTACGAGGGATCCGTTACAGGAGAATGTCTAGTGGCATAGGCATGGCACGTACCACAAGCGTATAAATCAGCACTTGACGCCGACCCAAGCAGTCTGCAATAGGACCCCAAATCGATGGCGCGATCCCTTGAGCAATCCTGAGTTCCCACATATGAGTAGAGGCCGCCATGAAAGAATCTCTAACCTACATGTAGGTTGTTATGGTCAGCGATGCGGCCTGGTTGCTGGCATCGATGGTATCTGCAATGTCATCGAGAGCTGGGAAGTATATGTTGCTGGCTAAGGGTGAAAAGGTAGCTGCGAGAGAAACGAGTAGCACAAGGCTATTTTCTTGTCAGTGCAAAGCTTATAACGTATTCATAACAACTCACAGGAATTTCTCCCGGTAATTGAGCACATGGTAGGTGTCCTCCTGCTCAAGTGGTTGACTGTTTGTCGTACTATGCGGTGGTGAGCCGGATCCTTCATCTCCTCCCATCGTGTCAACTCTTTTTTTTTTCGGGACGGAAGTAAGGGGCTAACGAGAGGTTACTGGGCGGATTACTACCGGACACACGTCGTCGAGCTTCGCGGCGCTTTTATATATAGCTTAAAATCTAATGGGGATGAGACGTGCGACGTATAATAGCTCCAATCTTAAGACATAGCACCAACAAATCTTGTGCCTAAAACCGGGGTTCATGTTGAAGTCGCAGAGTGTTCGCGCTCCCAAAAGGATGCATCTGCCAGCGATCAAACCCAAAAAAGCCAATGAGCATCCTGATTAGTGTTAGAGCGCTAGCCTCCCGCTCCGTGGCTATGCAAAGTCAACAGCGGTTCGCGCTACCACATGTGAAACATGAATTGATGATTGGGCACGTTTACACGGCAGCAAAATGCGAGCCTTTTATCAGTGCTGGAGCATCGATACGAGCTTGTGGGACTGGTACACTTATTGGGTGCTGCCGATCAAGTGTACTTGCAGCAGCTGCTGCATTCTTCAGTTTCAAGGCATACGGCGCTAAGATAGTGACCGGTCTTATTTTCGCATTAGGTTTTCTTGGCCGAGGCTTGGGAGCTGACGACGCGCTTCTTGCGCACCGCATGGTGGAAAGGCTATTGGCGAGAATTAGGCGCAACATACGTCTGGCTGGCTGTGGAGCCTCGGGCGCATCGGGATCGTCCTGCAAAAGAGGAATCTCAATGCCATTCATTGCAATGCAAAACAGTGGATGCGGGAGGGGAGCTTTAAGCAAAAGGGAGAAGCATGTGTCGCTTTTACAGGCTATAGATGCAGGTTCCCAACGACGACTGTTGTGGATCCCAATGATGGGACCCCTTTGGTGGAGCCACACCACCCACAACGTTCGCGATCTCGGAATGCTAGAAAGGCGCCTGATCGCTTTGCAGCTGGTCAGTGCCCGGAAATCGGCTGCCTGAGAACTAGTCACTGAGATCACTGAGTGTACGATTGACGGTCTTTGTGGCTCAGCGGGCCTCGCGTCTCTTGCACGCCTTGATCAGAGTGTTTGATTCTGATCCAACTAGTGCCGGTGGTCGTGATGAAAATTTTTGTGAGAGAAACCCCTGATTGTAGGTCTGGTTGATCCATCTCATCATTTTTTACTGAATTCCATCTAAATAAAGGATGAGGCATGCTGGTGCGTTGAGTTTGATCGAGGAGCTGGTAGTTGTCTGTGAGGGTCTCCTGATGTAACGGTTCAACACCTCATTCTGGTTCACCAGCACTCAATATGGTTGATTGAGGACCCTTCGAGCCCAATAGACCCTGTTGAGCTTGGTACACTACCACGGGACACATTAAATAGAATGAGAGGATCTATATAAATAATGCATTCACCCAGGCGAATCTTCTCTTCAGCGATTCATTCCGGATATCTATTATGTTCATTATTGCTCCTTGATCCATCACCTTAACACCCGGCGTCTACATCATGTTCAAAAAAGAATCATCAGTTCTTCCCGTGCAGAGTTGAACAGAAGGTGATTAGAAAGAGTGAATTCAGTCTATAAATACGAAGAGCGTGAGATTATAGGTGAGCAGGCACTGTTTTCGCAGCTGAGACCGAGCCGACTTAACGACTTCTTCTGGCGGGAAGGCGCCGGCCTATTGCAACTATCTAAAGTCTCCATGATCCCGATTCCTACATCCCGTCCAAAACCTTGGAATGCCATGGACATCATAGCACCGCAACAGTTCCTTGATGTCTTAGAGCGTCCAGCTTGTAGCATGCTAGACTAGCCGCATCTTGAGCACACGTTGCAGCACCAACAACACGGCAGCTTTTCTACATCATCCAGTCCCAGCCTTTTGACCACATTGTTGAGCGACTGTGGAAGCTTGAGCTATCCTCTGGAAGCCCTGGATGAGGGGCCCGCGGTTTGATATTGTGCGGTGAGGAGGCAGTGTACAGGAAGGGAGCGGAGGCGGTGGGTCGGACCGTTCGCAATGGTGGGCCTGGAAAACCATGTCGTAGTAGCGGGAATTACGATCGGAGAGGAAGGGTATGGGCTTGCCGTTGAGGTAGAGAGCTCCTGTGTGATACTGATCATGATGGCTGAGCAGTGATACGGGGCAAGGGGGATCGTGGGGAGGACGAGGATAGGGAGGTAGGTGATGACAATGCCAGTCTGGGTCTAGATCAAGATGCGAAGGATGAAAGAGTAGTCCTGCTCGTCTGTGCTGCGTGAAGGGCCGGTAGAGAAAGGGGTGGTGACGCGGAGGGAGGCGCAGGATGGACGAAGGAGGCTTAGATGTCGATGCGCAGGATGGCGTTGTACAACGGCCACCACGGTGCGTGATGTCTATGGCATGCCGTTGCGACATTCCATGAATAGTTGACAGACAACGATACATATGAACGTCGAAGGACTCGATGGCGACACGCAGCTTGAGGGAGACAGCCAAGGTTGTGGCCCGTGCACGCATCACCAGAAGGCAGAGGTGACTAAAATGCCACGAACAAGATCCAAAACTTGATTTTTAAGATGCAATAGGCGTTACTTTCTGCTTTCCTGTAGCAAGACAGACAGGCTTAGAGATGGCGGTTTTCCAAAGATGTTGGCTGATTCTGGCGTGGCACATGTTGGATTCCAAAATAGGCATCTGGACTTGTCATCGGTGAATTGGGAACTGTGTGTCCGGTTTGCCGGAGGAAAGTCAGCATTCTGAGTGATGTGGAAGGCCTAGTTTACGTAAAGTTCACTAATGTAGTACTGTGTAGATCGGAGAGGAGCGGTGCAGCTTGACACGGACGGCGCTCAAGCAGGCCACTGAGAGAAAAATTTGACACGAGTTGAGAGCACCGTTGAGAGCGGGTAGTGGCTCCAAGTGATGAAGATGAGCGGGTTCAAAGAGCCCAACAGTGCCATGGCTCCGTTTCGGCTCGCTTGAGGTGGCACTTGCTAAAGGTCGGTTGGAAAAGTTGCCGCAATTGGAAAGCGGCAGGGTACACAGTAGATTTTCGCAGCCGCATAGGATGAGCTCCAGTGCTTCGATAGCAAGCACATGGGTCAAATGAGGGCTCTGATTGGCCGCTGGATTTTGTGGGGCGCGAGGCAGACTCCGGAGGGATCTTCGTATTGTAAGCAAGTAGGTAATGCAAGGCTGAACGGCCTCACGTGCCGGATTAACGGATTTGACAATCTGATAAGCATAGGGCCTAGGCCCGGATTTAAGGGCGGCGTTGACCGGTGTGTGTTTTGCATGTCGGCCCAATCTGGGGAGGTTGGGATTGGGAAGGAGGACACGAGGGTGGGGGCGTGCGCTCATCTGATTAGATTTTTACCCGCCAAAATGTGGGCCGACTGCCAAGGCGATCTGCTCGGGCTTATTCAAATTTGGCTTTCCAGGGTCAGTGCACTTGGGTCTTGGCAGAATCTTCAAACGACGTCTGACGCATCTGTTTATCCCCGCTCCCAGCTGAAACACTTTCTCATCACGTGCGCAAACATCCATGGTATGCTACAGTACAACTGACATTCCTGCTACGCCCTCTGTTCCATCCCTCTACTTGCTCATCGGCGCAGCTCCGTACCTGTCGAGATCAGCGGTGAACAATAAGTCAGTCATGGCTCCGTGCGCTTACCAAGAAATTGCTGCCAGCCCGACAAACGCCGCAATGCAGCTAAAAACTAGAGCGACAATCCCTCTGGCGGTAAATCCCGCCGGAAGGCGGTCCACAGGCTTGTGCTCTCCCGTCAGGTCGTAAAAGTCTTTGGTGTTCCCAGCAGCGTTGCCCGATGTCAGAGTCCCGCTTGCATTGCAAACCTCGTAGTGGTTCGCAGGCACCGTCAGCGTCTTCTGCAGTTCGAGCGGAGCCTCGATCATGGTTGCCGCAAGGCCCGAGTCCATGTGCCATTCAATGTGGCAGTGGAAGAACCACACGCCTGGGTTGTCTGCCTTGAAACGAATGACAAAATTCCCATTCGGCCGAACAAGGACCGTGTCCCTACGCACCGGCACCGACGCGAAAGCAGAGTGGTTGCTTGCGTCAAAGTGTCCCTCGTCGTCATCGCTGCGATAGATTACTTGGAAGGCACTGGTCGAGTCAGTCGTGCCTATCAGAGTAAGACGAGCGGGTCTGCTTACTGGCCGTGAAGATGAAACGGGTGCTTGCCCGAGTCGTCATTGTTGAGGACGATATCGATGATCTGGTTCTTCTCGAAAACGAAGGGATTCGTGTATTTCCCGTACACGACAGGGTCGCTTGCTGCAGATCCCGTGGTGAGGACCGTGTAGAGGGTTGGCACGACGGGCCTGGTGTAAGTGATTTCATTGAAGAAAGCGTAGTTGGCGCCATCGCCAAGATTGTCCATGGTAAGATCCAAAGTCACCGTGTAGTCTGCCTCGTCGAGCAACTCCATGCCGTCGTAAGGTACAAGATTAAAGTCGTCATAGGGATCGAACGAATCGACCTCTGCTGCTGCTGGCTTGTCGGCCCCCTCATTGTATACGAGCCAGCCAGTGACATTCCAATTCAGATCGGATGGGAGGGTATCAAAGAGATCCTGGTCAAGTCAACAAACGAAACGCGGCGAAACAGGCGTACATACAGTGTCCATGCTACCAACCATGGCGAAGTTGGCGCTCGTGTCGTTCTTGGTCGTGACCAGAACGCTGTACCGCTGAGCACTTGCGAGGTAGACCATATCGGCCTCTGCGGGCTCGGTCCAGATGCCGTCGGTCTCGACAATCCGCATGGTATGGCCCTCGATCCAGAAGTACTGTCCTGCAAATGCTCCCACATTGGCCAAGTGCAGGAGGTACGTCTTGTTCGGCTCGACCGAGAAGGTGAAGTTCTGTGTGTCGTTCATCAATGCGGCCTTGGGCACCGGCTCAGCCCCAGTGGGGTTCGACACGCTGATAAAGCCCTTCAGAAGTTCCGGCATCTGCTCGTGGTACCAGTCCGACAAGCTTATAACCACCGCCTCGTCGTATTGGCCCGCATAAGGATCGTCGGGATCCGAAATGGTGTAGACCTGACGCAGGCCGTCGGGATATTGACCTTTGGTGTGCGAGTGGTACCAGTACGTTCCGATTTGGTCAACCTGTCGACCATCAGAAGACTAGAGGCGGGTGTTGGAGCTGCAGGCTTACTGTGAAATTATACACCATGGTCGAACCCGGCGAGATTTCACACTGAGTCATTCCCGGCGGGCCATCCATGGTATTGGTGCCATTCTGATACAGGCCGTGGAAATGGATGCTCGTAGACTCGTTACCAAGGCCGTTGAAGACGTTGGCGACGACGCGGTCGCCGCGGGTAAAGTTGAGGACCGGCGGCGGCCATTGGCCATTGATGCCAATCACGGGCCTGTCGAGCGCCGAATCAGGGTTGGCAGTGACCCATGTGATGTTCCAGTCGAGCGTAATGGTGGCAGCGCTCACAACCACCGGTGCGACGAGCATCAAAACAGCATTGCGAATGAAGGCGGCCATGGCTTCGCGACGCGGAAAAGATGAGAAACGAAGAGAGAGCTCTGGGCAGCATGTCTTATCAGATCACTCGCGCGCCACTTATGGGTGCTGGCGCTGACTCTGCACCCCTGCCCGCCCTAGCGCCAAGCGTCTGATCACGCCGGCTTGGCTGCGGTACCTCGGAGCAGCTTCCTAAGATGGAAGACGCTTGATGCAACCCCATGACTACGTAGCAAAGGCTATCAGGCCAGAGCTGCCGTGTTTCCAACGCACCCAGTCAAAACGCCCCTCTGTGCCGTCCGCTATCGGCCTGCCGCCGGATGCGCTTCCAGCGGCCCGTTCTTGCGATCAGCGCGTGCTTATATGTTGCCGTTTGTTTGCCGTTTCTTTGAACGCTCCGAGCTTCCAGAACGTGCGTGCTCTCCTCTGCTGCTTCCTCGCCCAACACCGCAAAAATGACAGTCAACGTCTTTGCCGTCCCTGGTAAGATGCCTCTACTTTCTCTACTTTCCCACGCTCACCCAGTCCAGTCTTCTTCATCGTCTTCCGAGAATGTCTCGAAACGGTCATAGTTGTCTCGGTCTTGCTGGCCTTCTTGAAGCAGACCCTTGGGGCCGAGGGTGATACTGCGACCTACAGGAAGCTCTTAAAACAGGTAAGCAATTGTCTAGCCTACCTTGAGCGCTGGTATGTTGACCCGTGACAGGTTTGGTGGGGAGTCGGCCTTGGCCTGGCCATTTGCCTTTGCATTGGTGCGGGTATGATTGGTGCCTTTTACGGCTTCGGCAAAGACCACTTCGCCAATACCGAAGATATCTGGGAAGGTGTCTTTGGCATAATTGCCTCTGTTATCATCTCCATCATGGGCGCTGCACTTCTCCGCGTCAATAAACTGCAAGACAAGTGGCGCGTCAAGCTTGCCCGAGCCCTGGACGCGAAGGCGACCACTGAGGGCTCCCAGAAACGTGGCCAAAGATTCCGTCGCTGGGCAGAGAAGTACTCCATGTTCATGTTGCCCTTTATCACTGTTCTGCGCGAAGGCCTCGAAGCTGTCGTCTACATTGGTGGAGTCAGCTTAGGCCTGCCTGCTTCTGCTTTTCCTCTCGCCGTTGTCTGCGGACTAGCGGCTGGACTCGCCATTGGCTACATCCTCTATCGGTTCGTGCAGTCATCTCCCCATTTTCAACGCCGTAAATTGCTAACATCACCAAGTGGCGGAAACTCAGCGCGACTACAACTGTTCCTGATTATCTCAACTTGTTTCCTTTACCTTGTTGCCGCTGGGCTGTTCTCCAGGGCTGTCTGGTACTTTGAGAACAACGCCTGGAACAAGATCATTGGCGGTGATGCTTCCGAGACTGGGTCTGGTCCTGGTTCCTACGACATTAGACAGAGCGTTTGGCACGTAAACTGCTGCAACCCCGAACTCAATGGCGGCGGTGGATGGGGTATCTTCAACGCCCTCTTCGGTTGGCAGAACTCGGCCACTTACGGCTCCGTCATCTCCTACAACCTTTACTGGGTCTGCGTCATTGTCGCTTTTGTCTGGATGCGTTTCCAGGAGCGCAAGCAAATCTCTGCTGAGAGAGGCGCGTCGGCTTCCGAAGAATCGAACAACGCTGAACCCATGGTCGAGGCGACAAGCAAGAAAGGCGAGGGCATTGGTCCTGAAACTAAGGTCCAGGAGATGCACGACTAAGCTACTCTCCTCGATGGAAAAACGACACCTCAATTTGCTAGATAGCCGCAAATAAGCCAATCACATCGTCTCTCGATCCGCTGCATGATATCGTATCTGTACCATTTGAAATGCATATCGCGTGCCATTCTCGAGAAAATTCATAGCCCTGTTACGGCCCGGCCCCCGCCCCCAAATTTAGCTCAAGAGGTCGGCGGGGGGTTCGTGATCCACTTGAGTCATCCAGAAGAAATTCGGGGGGCCCAGCGGGCTCTTCGAGTCAAGGCATGGAGACAAGTCGTCCGTGCCTTTCTAAGCGACCTACCCTAAAAGTTAGTAGTGTACCCAAAGGCTTTGTAATCTAATCGAATCAGATGATCGCGATTGTCACTCGGCCCTTTTTATCCTACATAGCTCGGTCATTATACTTCATCCGGCAGGCCTTAAACTTCTCGTATCCCATCGCATTCAAATGTGACACGAGCCAGTCGTAGCTTAAAATGTACCTCTAAGAAATTTAGGCGTGGCAGAGAAGAAGTGCATGGTGAATCAATTGAGCAGGTGGGAAAGCAGAATGGTAACATCTCAGTAGCTTAGTATGGAAGCTTAATAGTTCGCCCGATGCTTGACTAAGAGCCAAGCCGGGTGTGGCGGCATTAGGTATCATTGTCTTATCAGACCCGAGATGTCAAGGCCTCGGTCCCGAGGAAAATTTTTATCTCATCAGATCCAGATGGCGGACCAAGTACGGGAAGTGGGTCTCGTTCCTTATGTCCGGCTTGATGGCTCAACTAAAGACTCAATCATCACTTCATGATTCAGAAAATGTCATCGTAAAAAGTGCGTCACTACAGGTCGCCAGTCATACGTCTCATTCCATTGGCTCAGCAAAATAAGGCCTCTCATAGTCGAGTCTGTATGAGTAGTGCGGCGAGTTATCTTGACATTTTCATACCTGTGAAAGAGTCAGATCCTCCTAGCACCCCTCTCCGCTACTAATTTCTGTCGAATCGAATCCTCCAATACCATGCAGACGACCCACCAACACGTACGCCACCCCGCGCAGAAAATAGCGGCGCATGATTCTAAGAGCGCCAAGTGATATGGATTTTCCCAACACTGGAAAAAATGGAGAAGGTTGCATCAGATAGAACCGGGGAAGTGAATGGCTCACGGAGCATACCGCTTTAGTATCTCCGGCTTGCTTCCAGGGTAGGTAGCATTTTGCCGGGATGAATCAGGGAAGTTCAAGAGCGATACCGGCTCTTCCATAAACGATATCTGGTTCCATCGCCAGATTCTGAAGAGGTATCGGCACCAGTTCAAGTCTAGGATTATCTTTTCCATCAGACACAATGATTTGGTTTTCATCGTTATATCTGGTTTTCACAATTTTTTCCATCGATGTTCTTGCAAAGAGCTACACCCCTGAGCTTTGGAGCCAGTATTGCTTCTACTCCATCTACGATTCCCTGAACTCCTTAACCTGGACCAATCATGGCTCAGCACACGTGAAACGAGCGAGTTCTGCCAAAGGATGCAACAACACCGCTCTAGTCACTTCGATCTACGCGTCCTGCAAGGTTTACTGCTCTCCGCTCCAACTCGAGGCGGGTCTGGAGTTCTGGGAAGATTTGTGCCACCACGAAAAATCAACATTGATGGATCTCTCTAACGTCACCAACACTGTTACGGACTCTTATGTGACACAACTGGCGATTGTTGACCCGGAGTCGAACAGCACGGCCAAATTAGCTGAACCAGTTCTCCTTCGCCGCTCGTATTTCGTGCGGGCCTACAAAAGCTGGGTACGTCACTTTGCATCTATTTCACTTGGATTCATTCTGACATCAAGCAGAAACTCAAGTTTGAGGCCAGCCCCCGGAGCAAAAGATTCGGCTGGGCTCTTGAATGCTACTGGGCCGGGATAATTATCCTAGGGGTTCTAAAAGCTTGCTTTGATTCTATCAGCAGCCGACGAGGTGTTAGCAGAATTTCAGATCCCGAAAAGACAGGCTTCGCAAGTCGCAAGTTTAACAAGGCATTTGCTCCGCTGGAGTCGGCAAAATTCTGGCTTCGAACACATGTCCTCGTCCCAGCAGCATTTGGCACACGATGCCAGAGGACGTTATTTGGATGTACGATTCCTCAGCGCTCCACGTCAATATGCGTCGCTGGCTTTTGGTGTCTTTGCATCATCCTAGGCTTTTCAGGCTATCCCACAGTTGATGGTAACACATTGTGAGTCTGCTCTTTCATCTCCTTGTATCAGAGCGGTGCAACTGATCAGTTACAAGGACTCCAAACGTTCATCAATATCTTTGGAACACTGCTGCAGTGAGGGGTGGCTATTTCGCTTACTCACTACTGCCTTGGGTCTGGATGTTTGCGCAGAGAAACAACATATTCATTTGGGCAACCGGATGGAGCTACCAGACGTTTAATATCTTCCACCGCCATTGTGCAAGAGCTGCAACAATATTCGGCATCGTGCACGGAATTTCTTATTCGGTTGTGTACGCTCGATACAGTATGTGTGGATAATCCTAAGCGGGACTGATGCTGACGAAGCTAGAATACACTTACCATAAGTCGTTGCAGGAGCATTGGTTTCAATTCGGCATCGTGGTAGGGAATAGACAAGTTTCAAAGCTCTCCATCGCCATGACTAAATCTGTAAACAGGCACTCATCCTCATGTCTTTGCTACTGGTACTCTCGGTGTCTTTCTTGAGATCCAAGTCTTACGAGATCTTCTTGATGATTCATATCAGCTTCAGCATAGTAGTGCTGTATGCTCTCTTTACGTTCGTACAAGCCTCTATCCGACTTTGATGAGCCGTACTTAATGAGCGACAGGCACACGTCCAAATTCACCAGCCGCGAATACAATGTCTATCTTTGGCCCCTCGTAGCGGTTTGGGCATTTGATCGCCTTCTACGCCTTCTGCGGCTCCTCTACTGCAACCTTCGCGCCAGCTTGGACAAAAGTGTGTCTCGAGCACCCTTCGCAACCGTGCGATACAGCGCAGCCACCGACGTTATCCGTATTCACATCCAGTCCAGTTCGTTGCCGCTCAAACCTGGGCCTGGCCAGTACTATTATCTGTACCAGCCCTTCGCTCTCAAGGGCTGGGAAAACCATCCATTCTCCCTGGGTGCGTACAGCACCCAGCAAGAAGCCTCCAGTCGAGCACAACCCAGGATAGACGAGGCTTCTAGCAAAGAGATGACCACCACTGCTGCCGCCGCCACTGGCGTGATATCCTCCTCCGAATCATCATCTTCCTTATCCGACGCAGCCGGCGCCGATGTGCCCAACGACTTTGTCTTCTGGGTCCGCCCCTACGACGGATGGACGCGTCGCCTCCGCGACCAGTGTCTCAAATCCACTGACTCTGAGTCCTCGATCGAGCCGAGCCTCCTCATCGAAGGCCCGTATGGACACTCCAAGCCGCTGCACACATTCGACACGGTTGTCTTGATCGCAGGCGGTACGGGCATTGCGGCGGCGGCGCCGTACATGATTGATCACCAGGCTCGGTGCAGCTCGACCAATCCCAGCTACCGCACGCGCACCACCAAGATTAAACTCGTGTGGGCGGTGAAGCAGGCAGCGTTTCTCCGTGATGTTTGTAACAACGAGCTGGCAACCGCGCTCCAGCGTGAGGACACTCAGTGTGCGTTGTTCGCGACTAGCGGTGCGGCAGGAGCGCGTGGTGATGGCGGCGATGGAGAGGACGGTGCGGAGGAGGAGGGGGCGATGGCTGCTGGCGAAGGCTTCGAGATCCACCATGGGCGGCCGGATGTCGCGGCCATCGTCGCGGAAACGGCGCGGGAGGCGATGGAGGGCGGGGCGAGGACTGCGGTTTTCGTTTGCGGACCGGCTGGGATGGTGGATGAGACGAGGGCGGCGGTTCATGCGGAGATGAAGAAGGGGTGTCGGCTGATCAGTTACGTGGAGGAATGTTTTGGGTGGTAGATGGCTACTGGGCAACACGGCCCCCCTCCAAATTCGAAGCGCCTACACTTTGACTGTCAGAAATCTAGAGAAGCAGAATGTTTTGCTACGAACGCCCTGAAAGTTGCTGTTCCCAAGTGAGATTCCAAGCGAAGGACTAGAGACTACCGCTGCCCTTCTGTGCGAAGGGATCATCGACGGCTGTGGCAGGATCAGACACCCAAACACGTCTTGTGTTATCGCTTAGATTCGTGCTACTAGGAGGCAGGTTAAAATGAGACGCTGCACTCTCATCAAAGAGGAGATAAGCTCCAACTGCAGGCGGAGAATATTCCTTAGAGTATCCCCCGAAAACCGAGCCTGTAGAGGCTAGCGGGAGGGGAGAACAGTCGAACACTAGCTCAGACAAGATGCCAAGACACATTTGCGTACTGGCCATTTCACCCTTCTAGGTTTGGATAAAGGGCGGGGTAGATCGTGTGTGCTTACTTATTGTAAGCTATAGTCAGTCTAAACGCCCGGCTAATTATGGTCCAAGCGTTCAAAGATGGTTCATACTTTGACAGGGAACTTTGTTGGGACAACAGGCGGTGTCCTTGGCGGCGGTATATTCCGCTGCGGCGGATGCTCCGTTACGAATTTCACTACTAAGTGTCATATTTAGGTTTTATTCGTAAGATTCCTCGCGAAGTCTTTGCTTCGTCACGGCGTATTATGCACAGTTCGACATGCCTGGCTGTGATACAAAGAATCTACGTTTTCTTCTCACTTAGCTCAACCATATAGATAATCTACACAACCTATCAACTCAATCATCCTACAATCGTATGAAATGTTATCTTTTCGTATGTATCAACTTTAGAATTCTTGATATACGAAGATATAAAGACACGAACATGAAAATAAATACCTCTTTAGCTATATCACTCTTTCAAGATACCCTTTAAGCTATCTAAAGAATTTAAGAAGGTTAATCCCTAGTCGTGCATCTCTTAAATCTTGTAAATCGCACTGTTAAATAAAGATGCAAAGTCTATCAAAGTCCTCTCAAGGTAGCTTGAAAGAAGGATGATAGCGGAAGAGATGTCCAACTAAATGACTATCTAGGTATCGAAACCCGTACATTGTAAGAACTTTTTACTTTCTTGTCGTTTTTATCCCTTTCCGATTGTTGAGGTACAAAGTAAGTAGTAAAACCCACTTGTAAGTAACACCTTGCATGTATATTTATCGAACATGTTGTTATATCGCTGCTGGATCGGAGGCCGCCGGTTTTGCCCATTCCCCTTTGCCACAACTGTTGGCGTGTCGTTACATTTCGGTTGACGAGTAGCACCGAAACGGGACCCACACCGTGCCGGATACCCCTCGGATTCGGGTATAACCGAGGCCATTAGCACTGAGGCGACCCTTAGCGATGTAAATTGGGCCGATTCTAAGTATATCACCGCTTATCTCCACCAATCATATTGAGGTTCGATGAGGCTGCCCATCCTATCCCCATACCACACTCTGATCAACGCCGCCATCGTACTGTCCACCCTGTATGTTATTCCCGATCCGATTCACGTGGTCAAATTAGAACTCGTGATTGGATGCAATCGTTCGGCCTTTTCTGGGCCAGGTTATGAGGCACGCGAGCGATCAATTAGGTCGCAACACAGGTGGCAGTGTAGGAGGCTTAGATCTCGACGCAAGGTTGTCAGACGCGTAATGCCTAATGATCAAGGAGTGTGCTACCACGATTCAATCTTGATACAGAACACCAGGGCTAATCTTAGCCCTTTCTATTTTCGATGCACTTAGGCTGATAAGCTTCTCCAAGCTTTGTTTCTTTGATAACCTTTGTTTCCGACTCCAACATTCAGAACAGATACCACAAGTTTCAAAATGCAATACTTCAACAGGCTCACCTTCTCCTACGTCCTCGACTGTGCTGTGCTTTGGTAAGGTGACTCGATCAGCCTTGGACGAGAGCACATTCTAATGTAATGCATCCAGTGCTTTCGCGGTCATCGGTGGGATCTTCTCCATCGTCTCGCCTAAGAGACGAGCCTTCTCTCTTACCGACCCCTCCATCTCATTCCCATACGGGCCGGACACCGTCTCCGTTTCGACGGTTTTCCTCGCTACAGTTGTTGCGCCAGCAGCCATCGTTACAGTCGTCTGTCTTGCCGTCGTTCCACACCCTTCTGGCAATGGAACACCAACATCTCCGTCGCTTAAATGGCGCCGAAAACTGTGGGAACTATTCACCAGCTTGCTCGGCCTTGCATTTGCGGCGATTCTCGGGTTCTTCCTGACGCAGAGCATGAAGAACCTCTTTGGGAAGCCGCGCCCCGACTTTCTCGATAGATGCAACCCGAACATAACGCTCATGCAGCAGTACGATGTCGGTGGCTTCAGCAGCGAGTTTCTGGAGGGTACATCTGTCCATGTCACCTGGGAGATATGCCAAAGCAAGAATGGAAGCGGGGTTGGTCTGTCTGAGTTCGATGATGGATTCAGGAGTTTTCCAAGCGGCCACTGCACGAGTAAGCATGCTCACAACTGCGTGGAGGAAACAAACTGTTGACCATGGACGCTCCATAGTTTCTTTCGCCGGCCTGGTATACTTAAGCCTCTTCCTAGCTGCCAAGTTCTCGGTTACGATCCCATTCCTCGCCCCGGCTCCATTCCAAGAGCACATAACGCAGCCTGTAATAGGGGGCTTGAGAGATTCGGTTTCGCAGTCTTATCAACCGCCGAGAACAAGCCCACGTAGCCAGGCGGCAGCTCCACCTATCCACCTGTTCGTATTTGTTTTCATCCCTATCGGAGCAGCTATCTACATCGCCTCGACCCGGTACACGGACTACAAGCATCATGGTTTCGACGTGCTCTTCAGCTCTCTTGAAGGCTCTCTCTGTGCCTGGTTCGCATTCCGCTGGTACCATATGCCGATTCGGCGTGGCGCTGGGTGGGCGTGGGGTCCACGGAGCAACGATAGAGCATTTGGGATTGGCATCGGAGTTGGCTCGTACCATCAGTCAAAATTCCAGAGGGATAGAAAAGGCACGCAGGACTTGGAGGGGAATCGGCAGCATAGTCAAGGGACTGAAGGCATTGAACTGACTTCGAGAGAGACGTCCAATTCCTCCGAAGGCCAGCGCAGTGTAAGGAATATCTTGGGCAATACGCGCCATTAAACTCTCGACTGTCTATCGCCCGTCGCGTTTTGCAGACTGTAGCTCTAGTAGCCTTTAGCTCATCCATGGTTGGCGTCAACAACACTCTATAGCAATGCAGACGATCACACAACTGTCTTCACTATCTAAAGCCGTTTGATCCAGTTCCCTTGCATTGGCGCTTAAAGCGGGGTATCGTCAGTGGAATGATTGGGACAGCCAAGCCGGGACACTAAGCCGGAGGATAAACTGCCTGACACTGATTGCGAAACCGAGAGTGCCAGCGGACAATTCTCCTTCTGGTATGGGAGAAGTAAGGGGGAGGCGGTGTGACTAGCTGCAGTCTATACGAACGGGTTGGCACAGCCTCCCAAGCTTGGCATGCTACGAGTTGCTCTTTGAATCGTAACAGGCAGCAGCGTTTTACATGAGCCTCGTCGGCTAAGCGGTACAACCACACCAGCGCCAATCGAATTTGCTACGCTATCAACGACTCTGATTCATGGAAAAAATTGGGGCTTCAGGGCGCAACCGCCGCTTTGAGTGGGGCGGAGCAAGAGGAGCAATGCTTGGCGGGCTTAAAATTGCTTGATAGCTGACGGATTAAGCTAGAATGGGAATCTGAACGGTTCAACAGTCGACACTCGTGTTTCCATCGAGCGTCGTCATCCAGCCAAGCCTCGACAAGCCTATCGGGAGAAGGAGCGCTTGGCGTAACCTTAGTGTGGTTTTGGCTTCCAGCGGCACGACTTGCAGATCAGCTATGGAAATGGATGGTCTCAGGCCCCAGGAGGCGCAGCGAAACACTTGGAACTATGACGGGCTCAAACGTAGGTGGATATCATGACACATGGTCCAGGACAAAGTCTCCTGAGCAAACGGGCCTGAGCAGTGTCGGCGCCGAGTCAAGACGAATTGACTTGCACGACTCATTAAACCGACCAACGTCACAAAGCCGCTCAACGTCGATCATCTGGGGTAGAAAGCCACTGAACCAGACATGGAAGGACTGCACGTGTTGGTACGGCACTCAAGGCCAACAGTCGTATGGAAGTCTCTTGGAAGCTTTCTCGAGGTACAGGGTAGTATGAAGTATCAATGGAAGGCCAAGAAAAGGCGACAGACTATCCAAACTTATACGCCTTCTGATATTTCATTAGATGGCATGTGTGGTTTTTCCAGGAGCTTTAAGGCCAAACGGTTCGGTGCTGCCTAAGGCATTTAGGACGCGCGTCCCGTTAAGAGCATCGGACTAAACTACTAGCCTATTTCTAGTTTCGAAAGTCCATAACGATGTATATGAAGTCCATCATTTTCGCCTCCAAAGCTCTCAAATATGCTATGTTCCTAGTTTTTGATTAACTTCTGCAACGACAAAAATAATGGACCCTCTATTGGTGGATGACGAGGCTCAAACAAGCCAGAACCAGCATCGATGGGGAAGCATCACTCGAATTCATCGTAGGGTAGGGATTTGAAGCACCAACAAAGCCCATGAAGTAGCTCACTGTTGATAGGGATGGCTGTGGCGAGGGGGCAAACTTGGCAGACCAACCTGGATATTGCAAGCGAGCCGGACCTGTCTCCTTTTGCTGAGCGGTGCTTTCATCTACGCGTGCGCATGTCCCAACTCCCCACGCAGACCAGATCTGACATTCGCCCTAGACTGCTGAGCACCTTCCTCAGATGGATGGCAATGGACCCCTTTGATGTCACCTTTGCTTCGTTCTCAAGAAGCAAGGACACAAAAATGCCTGACGACCACCGGCTTTACTCAGCCAGTTACTTCCAAAACGTGCTGCCTGTGCCCTGTCACTCCCACAACGACTACTGGCGCACCACTCCTCTCTACGCCGCGCTTGGCAGCGGATGCGTGAGCGTCGAGGCCGACGTCTGGCTCCGAAACGGCGAGCTGTACGTAGGCCACTCCGCCTTCGAGCTAACAGAAGGAAAAACACTATCAAACACCTACCTCAACCCCCTCCACAGCATCCTCCAGACCACGAACAACAACGCCGCCAGCAAATCCGCCGCCGCCGCCTCGGACCCCCACCGCCGCGGCGTCTTCTACATGACCCCAACCCAAACCCTCACCCTCCTCATCGACCTCAAAACCGCCGGTGACGACACCCTCGCCGCCCTGCACGCACAGCTCGAACCGCTCCGCGCCGGCGGGTGGCTGACGCACTGGAACGGCAGCGCGCGCGTCGAGCGGCCGGTGACGGTCGTCGCGTCGGGCAACGCGCCGTTCGACGCCCTCGTCGCCAACACCACCTACCGCGACGTCTTCTTCGACGCGCCGCTCGCCGCCCTGCACGACCCGGCGTCCGACAGCCCCACCGCCTTCGTCGCCGCCGACGGCACGACGCCGCTGACCAAATACAACCCGTCCAACTCGCACCTCGCCAGCGCCAAGCTCGCCGACGCCGTGGGCCCGCTCAGGCACGGGAGGCTGAGCGCGTGGCAGCTGCGCGCGCTGCAGGGGCAGATACTCGCGGCGAAGCGGAGGGGCCTTGTGCCAAGGTACTGGGGCACGCCGAGGTGGCCGAGGGGGTTGAGGGATGAGATATGGGAGGTTTTGGTGAGGGAGGAGGTGGGGTTGTTGAGTGTGGATGATTTGAGGGCGGCGAGGAAGGGACTTTGGGGCCTTTGGCCGCAGGATGGTGGTGGTGGTGGGAGGGGATGACAAGGTCATTGAAGGTGCTTCAGGTGTTTGAAATTTCTTGATAGGGCCGTAGCAAGGTTGAGGGCACTTAGCAAGACATTTTAAGAACCGCTAGAGATATTGAAACATTCTCTACAACGAGTTATGGAAATTTATACATATTTCTTCTCAAGTCTCGTTAATTTGACACCTGTGCATCTTAGAGTTAATGCAGGAGTTCAAGCATTTTACATTCGTGGAATTTGGTTTTCAAACTTCCAGAACTGAGAGATCGTGATTCTCACTAGCAACTATTGAAGATACTAAAGATCACCAAGTTTCCTAAGAGCGGACGCAACAGATTCCATAGAAAATTTGTCACTTGAGTTAATCATACTATTAGACCACTGCACCCCAGAGCAGTCATTGTCGAGGGTACTGCCAGACCACGAAGAGCCATATGGCCAATCGAGCAGAGCTGCGGGGATCTGAGAGTCGGTTTGTCGCAGTTTTTCGCTTCTTTTTCTGTGGTTGTGCACCCAGCATGCCGATTTCCATGGTTGCGAAGCTGCACGAGACCACTTCAAGGCGGGTTGTCCACGAGCAATTCAATCTTCCGGGTCTTTAAATTGCTCTTCGGGTGTTGTAAGTGTCCTTATACTGTGTCTCACACTGTCTGACAAACGCGTAGGATAATGCGGCATGATTTTCAATTCACTCTCTGCTTCATCGAAAACATCACGCACTTTGCATACCTGATACTTTGAAGCTTAGATCACACTTTCGTACATATATGCCAGTTTTTAAGTACAGAAAATTCCAATCTTCTTAATGAATCATAATACTGTTCATCATTAGGAAGTATTTGATGATCAACATCGATGAGCGTGATTGGAGTATAGTTCGCTCCATCTCATAGCAACAACGAAATGTTTGGAAGATATATTTTAAGCGCAGTCCGAGGTGTCTAGAAACTCCTTAGGTTTCAAACTGAAATTTTTTAGTGTAGAGATTACGTTGATGACAAGCCCAACTTCAAGTGAGAGTTCTACATACTTATATTTCAGCTCAAGAGAATCATACCCGCTAGCTGACTACTACAGTGCCACGGCACGCAAACAGAAGCAGTGTTCACCAGCTGGAGGAATAATGCAGATGGGTAGGCGGTAAGCCCACAAGACCCCATCACAGATTTACTGTGTCTTCAATATAAGAACCCCATCCTTCTTCACCCTCTAATGTTCTCCCGGATCGAGTTGTGAGACTTTCGACGCATCAACATAGAATAGTAAAATTTCTCTGCGCTGTAGAATCCAAATAATCAAGAAAGAAGATTCACTGGTCTCTCCTTCCGCCGTTTGTGAAGTCAGAGTTTCGCCCCTTACGCATATGCATGTTATAAGGTGCCCACACGAACGAAAAATGTTGAAAGTCTTCGCTATCATAGCTTCATTTGGTTCAGCACCATTGAACACCCATGAAGCAAACGATATTAAGCTCAAACCTTCCCGGACTTCTTACGAATATATCTACCGTCACAAAACGGACAGTGTTGAAGTACTCTGGGCCGCACGGGTCTAGATACCGCAATAGGAGAATGTCGACTATCTTTCTTCCTTAGCACAGAAACGGTTAAGCTCGACTAAATACTCCAATGTACTTCGTCTTTGCTGGCCTTTTGGTCTTTGCAGCTGAGCCGATGTTGAAGTCACATGGAGAAACCTCCTCAACTTCGAGATTTCGTCGTTATTCTCATCGATATTTCGCTATCTGAGGTATCATTTATCCATGCCGATCTTACGCAATCGCCTTTGGTCATACAAGCTCCTGTCATCGCAAAAGCTCCCACTTCTGCGCCTTGAAATCAACCCGCAAAGCCTCTCAGACCCTCACCTTTTATCTCTTTTAGCATCGTAATCTTCACCCCCACAATCACCAACCATTTACCCAAATCGAAGCCACCACACCAAAAGCCACCCCATCACACCAACTTCAAACTGAACCCGGCACCACCCTCCTCCCTCCCCGCGAAGATTCCACTGAAATCCACCACCTCCTTCGAGCCGCCCGCACCTCCACCGCCCAGTCTCGGCGCATCTCCTCTCTCAGGCGCCCTCGGGCTGGCCCTCTTCCTCCTCCTCTCCTGGCCCGCCTTGCTCGGGAAAGTCGGGAACATCTCCGTCCTCTTCGGCCGGGGGGTCTCGGTGAAGTACGGGTGCTCGAGGACCTCCTCGGCGGACGGGCGCTTGGCGGGATTGAGGGCGAGGAGCGAGGAGAGGAGGTCGACGCCGGCGTTGGTGAGGAAAGGGAACTTGGAGCGGATGAGCGACGTCGTCGAGTGCGGGTCGGGATCGCGGGGCAGGCGGAGTGCTTTCACGTTAGGCAGGCGGCGGAACGATGGCCAGGATTTGTCGGTGGGGAGGCCGCAGAGCTTGAAGATCTGGTACGAAGGCTGGGTGTTAGTCGGTGGGTGGTTCGTATTGTTGTAACAGGATGGACGGAGGGGAGACGTGCCTTGTATAACTCATCGACCTCGTTGCTGCCTTGAAGGAGCGGCTCTTTGGTCAAGAGCTCACCGAAGATGCAGCCTATGCTCCACATGTCGATTGCGCTGTCGTACTCTTTGGCGCCAAGGAGCAGTTCGGGCGCGCGATACCAGAGCGTCACGACGAGTTGTGTCAGGTCGGGAGGAGCTGGGTCGCCGACGTAGCGGGCCATGCCGAAGTCTGCAATCTTGATCTCGCCGCGGTTGTTCATCAGGATGTTGGAAGTCTTCAGGTCTCGCTTGGGGTAAGTTAGCAAGAGCTACAGAAGGGGCGCTGGTACAATGCTTACATGTAATATCCAGTGTTCGTGGAGGAAGCCAACAGCAGAGGTCAGCTGCAGCATCAATGTCTTGACCTCGGACGGTAAGAAAGGCTCGGCCATATCCTCTTGTAGTGTCTTGAGGTCGTGCTCGAGGAAATCCATAACCAAGAAGACATCATTGAGAGTGTCTCCGACTACAACTTCGCGCAGGCCGACAATATGGCGGTGGTCTCGGGACTCCTTCAACGTCTGGATCTCGCGCAGGGCGGTAACTGGGAAGCCGTCGTTCAGGTTGTCCATCTTCAGCTTCTTGAGGGCGACAACCTCGCCGGTGGCGGTTTCGCGGGCGCGCGACACCCAGCCGTATGAGCCCTCCTCGATGTGGTTCAGCCTCTCGAAATTGTCGACGCGGCGGCAGGGTCCCCAGCCAGGCGCGGCGAAGCGCAGCATCCGTCTCGGGCCATCTCCGTCGCCTGGCTGCGAAACTCTCCGTCTCTTCGCGGGGCGGTCTTCGTCAGCGGTTGCAGCTTCCTGTTCCTTCTTGCGGCGCTCCTCGGCGATGCGGGCCTCCTCCTCGAGCTTGCGCTGCTTCTCTGCCTTGGCGCGCTTCTTTTCCTCCTTCTCGCGCTTGCGCTGGGCCTCGATCTCGGCGTCCTCCTCCTCATCGGCCCATCGCGACTGGCCGGCCATGGCGAATTGACTGGGTGGAAACGAGCGTATGCGGGTCGCGAGGCGCGGTGGTGGGGCGTTGGCGGTGGTGGTGCGGACGATGATGTCGGCGGAGGTGTTGCGGAGCTCGTCCGGCGCCGCCACGGGAAACTTTCCCAAGCTCCAGAGCACAACCTCCGCCGCCATGCGCCCCCAGAGCTCCCCGCCCACCGCTGCCCCGCCATCATGCGCATACCTGCGAAACTACCGTCTCGCATCCTGAGTCGCGCTGTATCCCGCCAGCTGCGCGCGCCGCTAGCGGCCTATCTCGGCGCAAGATGGTCGTCTACCAGTGAAGGCCGCCAGTGGTCCACGCCGCTGGCGAAGACCTTGACTGAAGCTATCACCGTAAGTGCTGTGCTTCAATGCCCGATCTGCGGTATATTTCATGACCTCTAACCACTAACAGACCACCGGTCCGGTTCCTGTGGCAGCATACATGCGACAAGTCCTCACCGCGCCCGATAGCGGTTACTATACCTCGCGGCCTGAAGGTGGAGACCAGTTCGGCCAGAAGGGAGACTTCATCACCTCCCCCGAGATTTCACAAATATTTGGGGAGCTTGTTGGGCTGTGGTTCGTCGCCGAATGGATGCTTCAAGGCAGGAAGAGCTCGGGAGTGCAGTTGATCGAGGTTGGCCCGGGAAGAGGCACGTTGATGGACGACATGCTGCGGGTATTTCCCAACTGCTCCGCATATGATGATTCCGGGTGCTCAAATTGTACAGGCCATCCGTAATTTCAAGTCAATGTCTTCAGCAATCGAGACGGTCTATCTCATCGAGGCCAGCCCAACCCTGCGCGCTGCTCAGCACAAGCTGCTTTGCGGCGATGCTCCATTGAAAGAGACGGATATTGGCCATGAAAGCACCAGCAAGTATTCCAACTTGAAGATAGTGTGGTCAGAGGATATCCGCCTCGTTCCTAAGGGTATATCAATCTCCTTCCTTCCAATTGAAGTACATTGAGTGCTTACCAAACCTAGACGCCTCCAAAACGCCCTTTATCGTAGCTCATGAGTTCTTCGACGCCCTGCCCATCCACATCTTCGAAAGTGTCGCACCCCCTCCACCCACCGACACACCCAGCCCTCCTGAGCCCCCAGCCGACCTCACCAACCCAGCCTCCGTTGCCGCCGCCGCTGCACGGCAGCAACAAAAACGTCCCCAAAAGACCAATGAATGGCGCGAACTCCTCGTCTCTCCCGTGCCTCCCAACTCCACCCACGCCACCCTCAACACACCCGTCTCTCTCCGTGACTCCACGCCGGTTCCCGACTTCCAGCTCACCAAGAGCACCGGCCCGACGCCGCACAGCATGTACCTGCCGCACACGTCCGCCCGCTACGCCGCGCTGCTCCAGCGGCCGGGCTCCGTCATCGAGATCTCGCCCGAGTCGCTCTCCTACGTCTCCGACTTCGCCGAGCGCATCGGCGGCAAGGCCCTCGTCTCGCCGCAAAAGAAGGCCTTCGGCTCCGCAACACAAGACTCGGCCCCGAGCTCGAAGCCCACGCCCTCGGGCGCCGCGCTCATCCTCGACTACGGCCCGCTGGACACGGTCCCGACCAACTCGCTGCGCGGAATCCGTCACCACCGCGCCGTCTCGCCCCTCGCCCTGCCCGGCCAGGTCGACGTCAGCGCCGATGTCGACTTCGTCGCGCTGGCTGAGGCTGCTATCGGAGCTAGTCCGGGCGTCGAGGTGCATGGGCCGGTGGAACAGGCGGCCTTTTTGGAGGCTATGGGTGTGAGGGAGAGGGCTAAGATGTTGGTGAGGAAGGCCGAGGGCGCGAAGCAGGGTGACGAAGGGAAGGAGTTTAAGGAGAGGATCGAGAAGGGTGCGCAGAGATTGGTGGATAGGGGTCCGAATGGAATGGGGAAGTTGTACAAGGCTCTGGCGATTGTGCCGCATTTTCCAGAGAAGGCGGGGAGAAGGCCTGTGGGATTTGGAGGAGATGTGAAGGTTTGATGAGGGAAATGATGGTATGGAGGGTGAAGGGCTGTACATGTGTAAAGTTGGTCATGCCAAGTGTATTTTCAAGTCACCAATGCCAGCGTAAAGATGGTTGGGGTTTTGCTGCCATGTCGGAATTTCTGGCCTCCTCTGCTATAAAAATAGCTTCCTGCTGCTCGCTTTCGCCCTCATGTCTTCTCATCAGTCGCCGGACACAATGAGTCGCGTGTTCATGACCGCTTCCATGCCTCTACTGCTCCTGTGTCTCTTTTGCCCGCAGATCTGCGGCGTTAGTCAAAAAAATCTTACCCAGGACTTCCACTTTTTCCCACAATCAGCCTACTGGTGTCAACCACCTTCTTGCTGTCGTACATCTCGCCATCATTGTTCAATTGTGGTGCAGGTCTCAATAAATTGACTTTGGTTAGCATTCTGGCTGGCCCTCGGCGGATGCCATGTTCCACAGACGCGGAAAGTCAGGATGTAGCTATGTGCTAGAGAATGGCGGAAGAGCTCGTCCAAAATGTAGCGATCGTGATGGTCCTGTCGAGATATCAAGTGGATCGTCTTTTATAGACAATTTTGAAGGGGGAAAAATTATTTCCATCACGGGAATCCACACATGATTCAGCGCTGTGCATGTGTTCCAGTTTCGGTGTTGAGGCACCCAGTAGGCTTTCAAGGTCGATTCGTTTGAGTCATCTTCATCAGAGCATCACTGTGTCATTCAAGGGGCGCTAGAAGCAAATCAATGAGATCACTCGCTGTCAGTCCGCTCCTCCGGTCTGACTGGGGAAGCGTACAATGGTAGGTGAAACCGGTCCCTCACTAATCTTTTACTTATCTCTTTTTTTTTTCAGAGCATAGATTGTTCGTAGCAGCAGTCGACATTACTCTTTCATCGATCTAAACTTCATCACATCTATTTACTACACATCTTCATCACCAACCGTTATTACTCATTATGTACCAGCTTTGGGTTCGGAAATACCGCGGCCGCACGAACGTGTGAAACCCCGTAGGCAAAAAAATAGCCGGTAACTCGAAAACTGCGCTCAAAGACAAGTATTTGATTTTTTGAAGAAGCATATTTGAGGGAATGGTGGTGCGGTGATGTTCTCGGGGGAGAGGGGTATTGTCTTTAAACTATTTTATAAAACATTCTACAGTTTCCGCTTTGCCAGGGACACGGGTACATTTAGGTTCATTTCCATTTCTGTACATGCAATCTTGGCGGTCACATGTGTCACCGCTATTACAGGATACCCTTTCTCCTAATATTCAATAAGCACATGTGGCGGGTTGACGATACTCTGTGCCATTAAGGCATGGGTAACCCGGGTTCAGAGTTTTGCTTGGCTCCTTCTCTTACAAACACTTGATCTCTTACTCCCCACCTGGCACAAAGATTGGTTGCGTCCTTCCTATCAGTGATTATTCTTTTTGATTCCCTTTTGAAATCCCAGCTTTGAATAAGCTGTTCAAATCTAATTTTTCATGTTTACGGGCCCAAGCCAAACATTGTAGAAATATTCATACATCTTAGAGTTTCTGAGCACCGCTATCTCGTCTTTGTGCTAAAAGTCACTATGTTGAAGCAGTGGCGGTCTGCTCTCCTCTTTTTTTTTTTCTTCAAGTGTTTTATTAGCAACGCTACTAGTTAGGAAGAAGCCATGAAGAAGGGCTGGGTGAGAGAATATCAAAGTGATGAGCATTGGCCGGCTGTACAGACCAACGGCTGATACACACACATTTGAGAAGAAATTTCGAATGTAATCTTCAGAGGGTCAATTAATCATGCTTTGTAACTGCTTCTGGTATACTCAGGACAATGTGCAGTAATGGTCTATGAGGCGTATGTCTTCGCTGAGGGCATGAGTATTTGCATTACGAGCCCACGTAATAAATATCAAGCTCCTACCGTTCACAAGGAGCATCACTTCATCTTTAAGTCTGTTGCCTTACACAGTTCTGGGCATGCATATAAAGGATTGGACAATAGAGAAATAATTGTTGAAATCGCGGTCTCTAATTCCGTCCACCTATTCGGTTCTGCTGCTACCGCCACCAGATCAAGAGAAAACTCAAATTAAGGTAGCTTCACCATCCTGCAAACCACCGAAAGTGTTCCACTAATCAAGACGCATCATCCACTTAAAACCGCAACGGAATTCAGTGCAGGCCGCATCCACCAACGCATGGTTTTGCTCCTCTTCGACCACCGCATGCTTACTGCTCAAACTTAATGGCCGCGCTTCACTCGTTTGTATCCCTACGGTCCCAAATCATCCCTTCCGATCACAAATTTCCTTTTCTACGAGTTTGAAACAAGGAACAGATACCGTCCGAATCACTGTACCTCTAAGTCAGGCGTTTGAATGCACCACTGCAAGACGCTGAACCTTCTACTTTACTACAGCATTGCACAGGGTAGCATGACTTAGGCACAGACCAAGAAGACCTCTGAAGACGGTCTTGGGCAAGCCGATACAGATTGTGCAAATTTCCGGTGAAAGTAGACAGCCGCAAAAATTTCCGTCAGCTGGACCGCGAAAGAGAACTGTGATATCGAGAAACAGGTGTAGTCTGGGCGACGATAGCGTAAATCCATTCGCCGCCATCTTCGTAAAGGGTTTTCCGCAGTAACGGCCATTTCCGTGTTCGTTTCATACGCTTTGTGATTTGTCTTTTCTCATTCCCATGTTGCTTGACTTGTTCGTGGTTCATTCGGATCTCCCACCTCTGCTCCTCCTGCTGAGCAGCTCGGTCTCTAACGGGCACGTCTGGTCTCGATTCTTTGGGAATTTATCCTCAGCGCAAAGCGACCATTATCGGTTCGTAGGCAGGTGGTTGGATATTGTGAGGTATTCGATGGCCAAAAATATCTCGAGACTGGGCGATAATATGACAGCGCGGTTCTCTGCATCGCTCTTCCCAGTTCATTCACGGATCAGGAAGCCATTCGGTGCTTTTCGAGCCAACATTTTTGCGGAGGATCTTCTTGTTCATTTCTCTTGCAATTTCAAACACTTTCAAAACAATCCCAAGCTCTTCCTTTCCTCCAACCACCCGCCGCCAACTTCTGCATTACGCACCTCAACCAGACACTGCTATCATCAATGTTTCTCTTGATAGGCCAGGGCCGTGGTATTGGCATCGGCGTCTCGAATATGCAACGTTCCTCGAGGTCACAACAAAGGATTTCGGCCGTAACCAAGTAAATTGTCAGCACTGCCTCATCAGCCACTCACCCTCAGAACGGGAGCCGCGGTTCAACGTGAGCATCGATCACGATTTCCAACATCTCTTGACTCGCAGTCTCCACCTTCACCCGTGTTTGGCCAAATAGAGCGTTCATGCAGTTTCGCAGATCGCATGAACTGCCCGGAGCAAGGCGTCCATGTATACACCCAAGTTACGTCAACACCTTCGTCACCACCATTGTCACATACTCGACGGAACCTCGGTTGGACGCGTAATCTGTAGAAATGGCCTGCTCCAGGTAGATACGCCCGCCAAGGTGGGACGCTCTGTAATGGTGTCCACCCGTTTCAGTGAGCGGGGAAAGTAGCGGCCTAGATGCGATGTCCACCGCGACAACAGTCCGAGAGTGGTGCAAGTTTGTCTATTGGCAAGACTGGTGCGACGCCACTAGCCAGCAGCAGGAAAAAACCGTTAGGTCCAAACCAAACTGCGGAACAAGAACAGGCTGAGTCCGACCGAGAGAGGAAAGGAGGGAAAGCCGTATCGAGTGTAACGGTTCGGATCGAACTTGCCCAGTTGCAAAGACAAGCCAGTGTTTGAGGGGTCGCGTTGTGTCAAGGCCCAGAAAGTCCAACGAGAATCTCGGTATCCACGCGTCGTGCTTCGCCCAAAACAGCGCCGGAGTCCAGTCTCGGTATCAACGGCGCCCATCCCTCGCTTCTCCTCGGTAAGTGAAAGGGTCGGGCAGGATCTCGCGATGGCGCGACGGAAGAATTGCGGGTCGCTCTCGGTCTCAATTTCCAACATATTCATTCGAAAACGTATCTGAAGCGTAGGTTGTCTTTGTCATCGGCCTAGAATCCATCAGCAGCGGTCTCGCGACCGGACAAACCAGTCCTTTAGAAGACTCTCAAAATTTCCGATGGCCTTGAGGCAACCACAGCCGGTTTGATTTCCTTGGGGTGTGAGACTCTCATGGTCGCAACACGTGCGATTGGGGATAATCCGTTTCTCCGACGCAACAAATGGCGTCTGATGGGCGCCCCCCCTCGGCGAGACGATCCGAGCTGCAGCGGAGTACGAACGGAGTGGTATGACGAAGCCTTCGTGGTTTTCCTCGTTTGGCAAACGAGTTTGTCGTGCCGGCCGGGAGGCGGGGTATGCCGCGAAACCGCGTGCTGGTCACCGCATGTGGCTGCCGGTGTTTGCATCCACGTCGAGAAATCAGATGTTGTCTCAGAAGCGTATCGAGGCCTCGCGTTCGCTCTGAACGGTCTGCGGGTTAGCCTGGACGCAACAATCACGTCCTGTGGTTAGCCACTCGGGATGGAGAGAAAGGGGCGAGAAGTCGACCAGCATGAACGTCGACCTTGATCTCCGAGTTGCCAGCACGGGATTCTCGCATGACCGAAAACCCCGACGGCGTTTGCTGGCAAGGATCCGGAGAAATTGGTGGGAGGAACGACTTCGATGCGGGAAAGGTTTCGTTTTTCAAACTTTCTCGCGGCCTGACAGGAGGGGCCACGATCATGTGCATAGCAAGGTTTCCAAACAATCACGGAAACAGACTGGATTCTGATATATGAAAGGATGCGATCGAAGATTGTCCGGCGTCGCCAATCGAGCGGGGAAACAACTGGCAGTCCGTAACGCGCATGAAAGAGGCCCGTCGGACAAAGGCCTGTTGAATCTCGCTAAAGGCGTCGAGGGCAATGAAGTAGAAACGCACCCACGAGGCAGCCCGCGGGGCCGAGGCGTAAACGTGGTGGAAATGTTTTCAGGCCGCGAAGGGCGAGGCAGGACGGAGAATCTTTTTCCTGAGCGGCGGCGCATGACTGGCTGTCCTGCGATTTGGCTCTGCAATCCTCCTACACGCCAGCGCCCCGGTCGGCACTGTACCTCGCGCAAACCACGTCGTCGATGTCGGCAATTTTTGGGAGCGTTGTGGGTGTTGCGGGAGCCGAAACGCGCGACAAATTACGGCGGCGAGGTTGCACCGCTAAGTAAAATCGAAGGCGGACCTATCGTGTCAGCGTATCTGCAGGCTTCAGGAGGCAAGGCGTGAGGCTTAGACAACTTGCAGGTACCGCAGTGGCGGCTATACCGCCTGTCTATTCTGCGTGAAGAAGGATGGGGGGACTTTGACCGGTGTCTCCACAGTGCCACGTCGAGGCACCACACCTGTCGTACCAACTTCTCTCCCGCCCCCGGACTGAAACGCGCAAACACCACACCGCTCCGGTAGATCTCCCTTGTGCTGTCGAGGACAATTGCTGATCTGGCTCGCTGCGCTCCCTGCCTCCCTCCCGAACGCCCCCGCGGTGCCGTGCACAAGTGGAGGCCGAGCTGCATAACTGCTTCCCCTGGTGCGAGCATCGTGAGCTGCCAACGCACAGGTTCCCGTCGCGGCGATGCGCGCTTCCCGAACGAAAAAATAAAAAGGAGAGGCGCAAAATCAACCCACCTGATGACGGCCCAGGCCGCTGCGCTGGCGAGCCCGAACCATCAATCAAACAAAAAATCCAGAGCGGGCGGGCCCCTCATTAAAGCCAGCAAAAGAAAGTTGGGGAAATGAGCTTGGCGCTGACAGAGTTGAGGCTCAAGTCGCCCGCTCCGCCGGCTGGCCCGTGACAGGCTCGCGACGGATGCTTGCTTGGGCGGCGCTGTGGTTAAAAAAAGGTGCCCGAACAAGAGAACGCTCTGGAGTGGTTCGGCTCGTTAGATCGCGTCGCGAGATCAGGTACGGGCGATGCTACAGCGACATGCGCCAGCACAGCGCCCGAGCGGTGAGCTGAATCCACTCGCTGCCGCGCTCGCTTTCGTTTCGTTCGTCGCCCTACGCAAGGGCAGCGAGTGTTGCGCGCCAGCCACAGTTCCAACAAAGGGGCCATCCGCCGACTCGTCGCCTTGTAGCCTGAGGTGCTTACATGTTGCATCGCGATCGTGATGCTATAGGCAGTCAGCCAGCGGGGACGGAACCGAGGGCGCAGCGAAGCGAATCCGCGGCGAGGGAGACGGGGTAACCGACTGAAGGGGCTGTGCGACTTGGGCGCTGCAAAAGGTGCTTACTACGGGCTTCTTGTACGCAGGGCAGAGGGCAGAGCGCAGCAGCACCTCACCGCATGGCCATTCCCCAGTGCTATTGCGTGCATATGCGGAGGCCCGTCGCACGAACAGGCACCGCGGTGCCCAAATTTGGACGCAAAGGGTTGCAGCGCGTGGTCAAGCCTGCGCTCGCTCGCTTCTGGAAAGGCTGTCAGTCACTGCGTGCAGCCGCAATTAATCATCGATGACGGGTGCCCGCCCTGACAAACACCGCATTGCTCAAACAGGCGCTTGCTCACAACCCTATTTGTGGGCGCACGTCGCTTTTTGTCAGCAGAGGGCTGGGGTTGGTGCATGTGTAAGCCAGCCCTACGAGCCGGCAATGTGGTCATCATCCTGGAGTTACTGTGATTAAGCCCGCCCGTTCGCGCCCGGGCCATGACGCAGTCGGCTCGCAAATAACTAAACGCGAGCATCACCATGGCTCATAGATCGCGTGCGCGCGTGCGGCCCGCCGCGGCGGAGTGCGCGACTGCGGCATGCGGAACGGGCAGCAGCTCATTTATTGGCAATGCGAGGTACGAGTTGCGGGCAGAGCAGAGCCCTTGGTCGTACGAAGCGCCAAGCGCAGGCCGATCGACCGCGGGGCGGTAGTCCTCGGGCTCGCGTTTTGCGCCGGAAGAGGGAGCAGCCGCGACAGAAGCGACTCCGGGAACCGACGACGTGAGCCTTCCGGATGATCGGCCTGGCCCAAGGCAGCAAGAACTGCCCCAGCCTAACTCCGAGATTCATCGTCCGGCATCCCTGAGCGATCAGAGTGACTCAACGACGGTGACGGATGATGAGCATGGCGTGCCGGTGAGCCGCAGTTCGACGCTGGCTGGCGCTGCGACCCTGCGGCCGGCGAACGCAACGCACCGACGGAACTTGGCGCGGCCGACTGGACACAAGCCGCTTGGCAGGGCACCTGGTGCCTGGAGAAAGGGCGGAGGAATGCGCTGGGCTGTGGCTTGCGAGCGAGCTGACAAACTAGGCGCCAACCCTGCCGCTCATCTAAAGGGCCTGCGCAAGGAGGCACGAGGGCACGGAGTTCGCGGCGGACGCCGCCCAAACGCGCCGTGTCGCCAGCAGATTGCGGCAGTCGAGATGAGTGGCCCGTGGGCGCTGTTTGGGCGCGGCTGTTTTGTTTCCTGCTGAAACAGCTTGCGGCGGGCGCGCGGAGCGTTTGCAGAGAATCTTTCCGAGCAGTGCGCTGGCGTCTCGGGCGACGAGCGGTCGACTAGCCGGGTTGCGGCCGAGGGCGGGCAGCGCGGGCACCACATGCGCGAGCCGGGGTGTTGTGTAAGCCGACGATCTGCGCATTGAGGGCACTTGCATGGATGGGGCGGCCTTTACAGCTCGGGCCCGGAGACAATCATCAGCCTCGCGGCGGTGAGCACGCACGCACGACGGTAACGCCGGGGTCATCTACGCTGTTTAGGAATCTGAGGCATGGCATAAGTATACCGCCAGACCCGCCCCTCTGTCCACCAGACACCACAACACTTTCACACGTCGACTTCGACAACAAGCAAGACGATCGTCGCCACGGCACGCTCTCCGCATCGCTTCGCTACGCTGCGCCCACGCCTATTACGCAACGCACACCCTTGCCTGCTCGGCCCTTCTTCCCGCCTGCTCACCGCCCGCGGTCTGCACCCCCATACGTAGGTTCCAGTCATAGCTGCTCCGAGTTTCGCGCTTTTATTGACTCACCCCTCTAGGCACACTGCACTATTTCACATTAAAGGCCCTCACCATGCCTTCGCATCTACGACTCCAATCAAACTTCGAGCCCTTTTCGGCTGAGACCACCCGCTCCTACTTCCCCACTGCCGCCGCCCCGCCGGCCAAGAAGCAGAAGATGTCTCTCTCGCAAACCTACTACATCGCCGCCTCGGCCCGCACCAAGCTCACCCACGAGGCCCAGAAGAGCGACCACGACCTGAGGCTGCTCGTCGGCCACGCCAACCTTCTCGACTCCCTGATGCTCGAGCTCGCCGACGCCGAGCGCGAGCAGGAGGCCTGGTTCAACAAGACCGTCAACAAGGCCGCCCGTGCCGAGAGGCACATCCAGTGGGCCGACACGATTGACGAGGAGGCCATGGAGGATGACGACGACGAGGAGGACGACGACGACTTCATTTCCGACAGCGAATCCGACTCCGACTACGACGAGGACTCCGAGGACTTCGACATGATCCCCCCGCTCAGGCGGATTCCCTCGCCGCCGGTGCGCATCACCACCACCGAGCTCGACGACGATGAGGACGACGAGGAGGAGGATGACGAGGAGTACTACGAGGACGAGGAGTTCGACGACGAGCACGCACTTGTCCGCTCGCCATCGCAACAAACGCCGCCCGAGCTCGTCCACGAGGAGGACTCGGACTCAGACGACGACGCAACGCCCACAACACCGCCTCAGCCTACTCTCGAGTACAGCGAGAAGGAGAGGCAAGCCATCGCAACAACAGCATATCTCGAAAGCAAGGAGGCACAATTACAAGCCACACCCGATCAAGCAGCCTATCTACCCAAAGGCTACTTCCTCGAACAACGCAACGCACCGCTCATAACATCGTATTGAGCGATCCGCAACGTCTCCTGTCTCCTTCTTGTATCTGTTTATGGCCTCATGAGCGAAGCGAATCATCATCAGCATGGAGTTTGGGCGTTTTTCACTTGATACCTATTTTCCTTTTCTTACGAAGCATTTTCACTTGGCTGGGGATATCTAGAAATGCGCGACGATGCATTCCGCGCAGGGTCATGTTTGCACTCTCCTACATCTTTTCCGCACGGGTTCGCTTTCGCAGCTCAGCGGTTCTCCCTCCTGCTAGACAGTCGACGGTCGAGACCCAGCTCGCAGCAGCAAGTTAGCTAGCAACAAATCCCCACCTCTACCTACAAACAATTGAAACAAACAATCACACGAAACCAAACCAATGACCACTTATTGTCTCATCGTGAAATGCATCGCATCGTATCGCAGCTTATTCCCCTTTTCGACCAAGGCAGGGTCGTACAGATCAGGCAAGCATGTGATGGGCCCTGCCTGCAGCTGCCAGCGCAGCTGACTACTGCGAAAAAGGGCCCTGCCCCACGCACCCTGCAGCAACCGCGCAAAGAAGAGAGCAGAAGCGCGTAAGCCGCTGGGTCTGCACATTCCGAAACGGAAGCGGCGGGGTGGGCAAGAGACCAGCTGACCAACAAATCCCACTCATCTGCGATTTTTCCCTGCCTACCTACGATGCGAACGGCGTTTCTCGCGCCTTCGCGCGTTTACTCGTGCCCACCCTATCCTCGCACGAGTGAACGCCGGACCGACGCCACGCCCCCGCTTCGGCTGCCTGCCTGTCCGTCTGCTTGCCTTGCCTTCTTTGCCTGCTTGCCTTGGCCGCACTTGCCGACCGGCACGCCGACGGTCACCGAGAGGGAGATAGATGCTGGCTCTCCTCTCTTCACCGTTCCCCCATCCTTCAGAAACCCGGCGGGCCCCGGTCCATTCCGTCGCGCGGCAAGCCCGCGTTAGCTGGTCGGCAGGATTCCACACCGGTGCCATCAATCTGCATGTCGATGCGGGCGGGTGAATCATCAAACCCCGATGCCTTATTCCCACATACCGCTTTCTGCTGAAATTGCTAATAATCCAGCCTCGGAAGACGACGGCTCGGCCACGCAAAATAGGCACCGAAAGTTCGGACGCTTTCTATTCGATAGATCGTGAGCCGGAACCTTCCACGGACGCGACAGACGAGTCGTTTTGGTTCTGACTGTCTCGCCTGCAGGGGGCCCAGGCCTGTCCATGATGATGAGATGTGTTGGTGCATTGCGAGAGACAGGTCGGATTACAAAACCATTGCAGCCACGGTCATTTAGAACATCCACGAGGTACTTCCAGGTCATTCGCTGGCTTGCTTCTTTGTCTGTCTCGCTAAGACTAGGCGTCTGCGTTGTCTTTCCTTGGGCCCCTTTACGCGTTGTTCCCCCATCTCCCCTGCCGACATCGGCCGGCACGGGGCGGGCTCGGGAATGCGCCAAAAACTCTCAGATGCGGTTGACCATGCAGAGTGACGATGAGAGAGGCTTTTTCCTTCTTCTTCTCACAGCATCTTGATTTTTTTCGGATTACGATACAAGATCCGGTCGGGCTCCCGCCGGCAAGGTTAATAATAACACCTCGGTCCAGCCTCCGCAGATAAGTGATCTGGCACCATGGTGGGTACCTCATCACAATTTTTCCTTTGCCCGCGGCGTGATCGCTCGCCTTGTCATGATGTGAAACTCCACACAAATAAATTTTGAAGCAGGGTGCGAAGCGGACAAGAGGAAGATCCTGCTCGCTAGCGCCGCGGCGTTTAAAGGCGGGCATAAGGTGATGTAGCTTTGTTTGAAGCGGAGGTGGAGGAACCTTGAATGTTATACGGACGGAACTTAACGACGGAGTTAAGGCTTCGGATGGGTGCCTAGACACCCACAACACCAGCGAATCCCATCGTGACTGTTCCAACGCCCTGTGAGTGCATGGCACGCACAAAGAAATTAGAGGCGGGCCAGCCTTTTCTCCACAGTGTCGCTTGCAAGCCCGTCGTTTGGTCTCTGACGAGCGGCTCGCCGTCCTTCCTGTTCAAGCACTGGTTTCAATGCGAGGTGGAATGGAGCTTTTCTCCTTCTCGCCTTGCGCTCCGTCTCACCATCTCCGCTTTCAACAGCAGCTACATACGGAAATATCATGCCATGGGCCGACTGACTGACTCTTCATAGCCGAAGCACCAGACGCGACTAACGTCGTTTCGCGTCTATCGCCTTCCTACCCGCCAAGCTGCTGCAAGTCAACAAAACTACTGCAGGGCCTCCTCTAGAGGGCCCATAATTATTTTTTTCCGTCCTCACCATCTGCCATTTCTCCGGCGCTTATTGGGTAGTAGGCTCCGCCTGCATTGAAGAAACAAAGATTATTTCCGGCGCTTCTCTACTCCGCCGAGGTTGGGGTAGAATTGCTCATCAATGAAAAAAATGAAGCTTACTAGGTAGGTAGGCGATTTGCAGCTAAGCAGATAGGCCGACGGGCTTCCGGCACTTGACATGTCCCGGGGCGGAGGGGGGTCGTGCACAGAGGACCCTTCTGCTCTGCAGAAATTGAGCGAGAGTGTGCCGGGACTCGGAGCGTCTTGCTGTCCGCTTCGCCAAGCCACACGAGATCAGACTTTGAATACGGATAAGTTTGCGTGTGGCGGATATTATATCATCGCGGCAGTGGAGATCCCATGTTTCCTCCGGACAATCACCGGCCGCCGTCCGCAATGATATGCGGTGCATCGTGTTGATTGAAAACTAGCGACTGAATAATTGCGGAGGTGATCGCTGACACACTGGGCCCTCCCCTCCATTGCGGTTGATGACACAGCGACACTCATCCGTGGTACGGCATGCGGGAAACGAATGAGAAAGCGACGAAATTCCATTCGCAAATTGTTACACTGGGCCAGCCCTAGCGCTGCCGGCTCGGATCTGGGGGAGCGGAACCAGGGCTCACACGCTCGCACCAGCGGTCGAGTAACGGAACGCGCTCGCTCTCTCTTCTCGCCCGGCCGGATGGCCGAACGCCCGAACAGGCCGAGCGAAGCCCACTCGTACCTTATTCGTGAACCCTGGATCTCCGCGGCAGAAAAACGCCACAGTGCCATCATACATCATGTCCGCATCGAGCTGCAAAGTGCACCCATCCGCGTGCGTCCGAGTCAACGATGATGAAAAGAGGGAGCTTTTTTTCTTTGCTTTTCGGGCCACGACTCAAGGTCTCGACCGCAGATACGTCATCGAAGACGTACTCCAAGCCGTCTCTCAAGCGGGATCTACTGCGAATCGCGGTCGTCATCGTGTTTGAGGTTTGCAAGTTTTTTACGACGTCTCCGGGGTCGCTGACAGAGGCACACCAAGGCAGGACGAGGGCATGTCGCAATTGTGCGACGCGGCTGGCTGGGCAACAGGCCGGAGCAGCCAACGAGACGGGAACAACAGCACAGCGCGGGCGAGGAAAAAAGTTGGCAGAAGTAAAGGCAGGTACAGCGAGCCATTGTGACGATCGCCTGCAGGCATGCTGTCGTTTTTCGCTCCGTCTCGCGTCTGCCTTGCGACGACAAATCATTACTGCCGGCAGAAAAACGCCTTCTGATTGGTGCAGCCGCGCAGGCATCCAAACCAGGGCAGATGACAAAACACACAGCAAGCCCTGTGCCCGCACTGCCGCAGTCGGCCGCGCAATATAGCTGTTGGGAAGGAAAAAACTGCGCCTTGCCCTCTGATCGATCCCACGCGCATCGCGGCACGCAGTTGATGGCTGGGCGAAAAATTCTTGCATTGGCTTGAAACAGACCGACTCACTCGCATAGCGATGACTCCCGCACGTGAACCGTGGATAGCTGGCACGTTAGTGTCGTTCTCGACCGGCTTCGGGTCTTTGTCGACTCGCCGGCTCGGCCAGCGCGGCAAAGGCTATCTGCTGCTGTCGCAATCTCCGCCTACTGCGGCTAAGCTCACCGGTGGGAAGCCTCATTTCAACGAGGCGGGGCGGGCGTTCGAGGCGGTGTCGCAATACTCAGTTCCTCCTAGATGTCCTGCAGTAGTTCCACGTTGGTCGTCCTCAGAATAGGCGGCCTTGCTGCCAATCACGGCGGGTTGCTGTGCCACTCTTCAGGGCTTGCCGTGGCGGGTTGCCCAAAAGAGGGGCTACCGGAATGGGAAGCAGGGTTAGCGCGGGGGGAGGCCAAGCGTGTGGCACCTTGCGGTGTGTGTGGTGAGCGAAGACGATGGGGAGGCTTGCGCTTTGTGGGGTGGCTTGGTCCGTGCTGCGGGGCAGCCGCGGTTGTGTTGCACGGTGATTGGGCTGAGATTTGGGGCGTGGAGGGGTAGCTCTGCTAGCTACAGTGCCTTGAGCCTCAGGTGATGGCGGATGAGGGGTTGGGGGCCGATCGGTGGTTTGCTGATAGCTAGTAATATGCAGGATGGGTGGTTGGGGAGGACGGAATTGCTCTGTGGGGAGGACCAGAGGCGGGATGCGGCAAGTGATGGTGTTGAGGCAGCTCAGCTGGCCGCTTTGGGGTATTGCAACGCTCCGATGAGGGCCGGCCGGCCGGCGGTTGGGGTCCTCGATGCGCCGCCGTCGGCGCGGGAGAGCAGCGGAAAAGCAGCAAAAGGATGGCCCGAGGCGGACGCTTGTGCATGCCGTGCATGATCTCTGCTACGGCGGGAGCTGCGCGTGAGTGCTGCGCTTGGGTCTTGGGTTCCTGCGGTGTCGGGTGCGTACGGAGATTGAGGCTGGTCACGCCCTCGTCCGGAATGTCTGTCCCTCCGCATCGGCGGACCACGGGACCTCGACAGCGGAATATGGCTGCCTTGCGCATTACGCGCTGCGGAACGCGCGGAGGACGGGGGCTCATCACCGCCGACGTCTGCCTCGCTGGCCACCTATGCTCGGCGCACCGCCGTCGGCGCCGTCCGCGGATGCCGCGACACCTGCAGCAGTCGAGACGAGATGATGCATGCGAGACGGGACCTGAACGACGCGCGACACGGGCTGACGCGGAC